TCGGGGACAAATTGAAGTCCGACGGACGTTGGAGACTAGTCGTGTTCTGTGGCGACTTGACCGATAAAACCTCCGTTGCGAGATTGAGCAGAGTAGGCGAGCGTCTTTGCCAGCCCTCCTCACTATCAAGACGGCTTATTCTAGGCGATGACACTATCACTTCTCCTCCTATCGAAGTTCTCTTGTTGCATTCATCCCCTAGAAGAAGCATTGAGCTGGTAGATCTTCCAGATGTGTTTGTTCGTGTGGGATTAACCAAGCAATATGACTACTATAGAGTCTTTGCAGATGACTCGACCTACCATCATGGCCATGGAAATGCATACCGAGGTTATGATGTAGACAAAGAGACGGGTTGTTCGGCTCTTCTTCGACCTGATCAATATATCGGATGGATGGGCGGCCTTGAGGACTATGAGCAGATGGAGCAATACCTATCATACATATTTCGATGACGGGCATTAGGAATCTCTTTCAAACTTATTTTAATCTCAATTCCAGGATAGAACTGCAAGACTATGTCCTCCGAGTAGTGTCATATTGGACTGTTGGCTTGCCGCGTCCGGTTCACTGCGTCACCAATGACTTCCTTTACCACATTATCGACATGGCTCGTCTCCACCAGGGCCATGACGCCATTTTAGCCCGTTGAGCTTTGATCGCATCCCAGTCATGCGCACGTACACCAGCATCAAGATCGATTTCTTCCAGCTTGTGAAATCCTTGCCTTTTCATGGCGTAAGCCACAGCCCAGAAGAATAGAACAATAGGCACCGTGAGAAAGCTTCTGAAGAAGTCTTCGGCACTGGCAACCCCCTTGACTCCTGGTGGCGAAAGAGAAATGTAGAATTGGCCCGCGAAGAATAGTAGAATTAGCACTAATGAACACCATGAGCCATAAACACCAAAAGGTGCCTGGAAAGGAATCTCGTCCACGGAACGACCCTGTTTTGCCCAAGCTGCCCTAAAACGGAGGTGGGCGCAGCAAATCGAGAACCAGGTGAAGAGGAGACATAGTCCACTGATAGAAAGAAGCCAGCTGAAGACTGTTGTTCCCGATGAGGCCAGGCCAATATAGGCGATGAGGCCGCAGGCCAGGAGAAGCAGGACAGCTGGCAACGGCCGGCCAGACCTATCGATGTACGAAAAGACCTTTGGGAGATATCCTTGAGTCGACAAGGCGTTGACCGTCCGAGATCCAGCGTACACGCAGGAGACGCCGATAGAGACAACCGAAACCAGGATAACGACGTTCATAAAGCTGTCATAGCCATGCAGTCCCGCATCAACTCCAGCAATCACAAACGGCGATGTTCCCTCAGAATATCTGTTATGGGCATTGAGGAGGCGGGGGTCGTTGGATGAAACCAATAAGCCAACTAAAGTCAGCCCGATGATGTAGAAGATGGTGATTCGCCAAAAGACTTGCTTCACAGCTGTAGGGAGCGACTTTCCAGGATTTTCAGCCTCTGCGCCGGTCAGTCCGATAAGCTCAACACCACCGAAGGAAAATGCCGCATTAATAAAGCAGGCACAAAAGCCATCAATGCCATTTTTGAACGGTCCAGGATCGTGCCATAGTCGGGCACCCCAATACTCGCTGAATTTGCCGTTTGAGGGACCGCCGCCACATATTAAGACGACTGCTATAATCATAAAGATTATAGTGGCTATCAGTTTGAAAGCAGATGAGAAGAACTCCTCTTCAGCATAACCAAGAGTGCCAAAGATATTGAACAGAACAATCACTACCCAAAAGATAGTGATCCAGATTGCTATGTTCTGCTCTTTATCCCAGAACTGTACTGTGAATGAACATATAGTCAACTCCAGAGGCAGTACCATCATCCATTGGAAAGCCTTGGACAGAGAATGTCAGTGTTGAAACCAAGTGACGCACAAAGGATAGAGCTTACATAATTCCAACCCATGGCCGTGCCCCAAGATGGACTAATGAAGCGCGACGAATATGTGTAGAAACCTCCTGCAACAGGATACATCACCGCCAATTCACCAAGTGCATAAACAACATTGAATATAAGCACGCCAGCGATGAGGAAGCTGATGAACATAGAGCCAGGTCCGCCATTGGCAAGCGCATTTCCGGAACCCACGAAAAACCCAGCACCGATAGCACCGCCAATGGCGATCATATTCAGGTGACGTGGTTTCATAGAACGGTCCAGTTGCTCAAATCCGGTACCCCATTCACCTGCATCGCGTATCATGTTAGTCCTATTGCATCGGCATAAGACCTTGGTCCTTTGGAGACACTTACGTCGCTGAAAACTTTTGAAATTGAGGCCATTGCGAGTGAAGAAGTCGGCTTCGCGATTATTCTCTGGTACATAACCAACATCTCCTGGGAATGCAGCCCGCCGGTCTCCAGTTTCGAAGTCCGAGTTGCTGGGCGACCGAGTGGTGTCAACGGCTTCTTTTGATTCAGCCATTGTGATGACAGAAAAAAGCTCTTCAAGATCAAAGAGATGGAGAAGCTCCACGATCAGAATTCGAGGTTCCAGTGCGTGGAAGGTGAGGGTATGCCGGCCATGGTCGATCGTATTGCCTTGCGTCTTTATAGAAGAGAGAGGTGATGTTCTGTTCAACACACTGACTCTATCTTGGTTTGGAGGATCTTTGGTCCAAGGATAAGGCGGCCTATACCCAATCAATTCGTAACCTCGCCGGCAAGGGATAGGTCAAACTGCAATGCATTTGGCTGGTTCATGTTATGTGGAGCTGCTTAGTGGCTCTTATCTCTTAGCCCGTCACTCCACCCCGTCTTTGCCACGCCGGCTTGGGGTATGTCAACTCAACTTACTATACACCTTGTAGTCTGTCAGCTCATCTGGGATGTTTCAATGATAGACACTTTTAGCTAATATCTGCAATCCGTCCGGAGAGTCCACAGATTGGCATCTGTAATCTGTAGCCGAAGTGATCTATTCTGTTATCAGCGCGTAGTGGTGAGCACGAGACTGGGCTCATTCGTGAGCCACTACCCTGACAGGGGCGGTAGCAAGTTAACACAACTTCAAAACTGAATTCGTACATAGTGATAGGAAGTCGGCAGAGAATGGCTCGAGGACAGGGTACAATCATAGTTTAGCAGGAATTGCTCCTAAACCTCCACTTCTAATGAAAGTCGTCTACCGAGAGGCCTATTGATGCACTAGTTTCTAAGGATCTACGAATGATCTATCGAGGAGCCAGATGCAACCCCAAGCAGATTCACGCTCCTGTTACAGCCAGCGTCGGTGAGCTTGTCAATATAATGGCATCGTTCCTTCCGTTGTTGCGAATGCGCGCTCTATGATATCGATTGCTTCATCGAGCAATTCCCGGGTAATGGTAATCGGAGGGGAGAATCTGAAAGAGCACCCAAAGGCTGGACTGTTACTGAAGTACGTCCACAGCCCAAGCTCGTACATTTTGTCCGCAAGCCCTTTAGCAACCGCTCGAGCAGGGGCCTTCGTGTCTCGGTCGGCCACTAATTCGATGGCTTGCATGAGGCCACGGCCGCGGACATCACCAATACAACCGTAACGAGACTGCAAGGTTTGCAGAGCCTCGGCAAGATGAAGGCCCATGAGACGGGCGTTTTCGACTAAGTTATCTCGCACAACGATCTCGAGAACTTTGTCCCCAACCGCAGCTGGTAGAGGGTCGTTCATGTGCGTAGTAATGAAGAAGAAGCCCTGCTCACTAGCCACTCGGTCAATCTCTGGCGTCGTAACGACTGCAGAGATGGCAATACCATTGCCTAGAGTCTTGCTTAGGGTAAGGATGTCCGGAACCACGTCCTCATGGTTGAAGGCGAAGAAGTCGCCTGTCCGGCCGACACCTGTTTGCGCTTCGTCGATTATAAGTAGCATTCCTCGTCGTTCGCAGTGCTTCTTAAGTGCAGCCAAGTAGCCTGGAGGCAAGACGTGCATACCCCCGGCAGACTGAATACATTCCACGATACATGCGGCCAGAGATCCACATGATGCCTGATCAATCATCTTCCAACCATAGTCGAGCTCTGTTTCCCAGTCGTAGCTACCATCTGCCTTGCGAAAAATCGACCGATAGGCATTAGGCGCAGGTAATTGATGGGACCCAGGCATCAGCGGACCGTGCCCCTGGCGACCATATAGATACTGCGCAGACTGCGCTAGAGCAGTCATTCCGTGGTATGAGGCGCCCAGCCCAACTATCTCGAACTTTCCAGTATAGAACTTAGCCATCTTGATCGCTGCTTCATTCGATTCTCCGCCGGTGGAGAGAAAGAGGGTTTTGGATAGGGGATGAGGCAAAACGGACGCAAGCCTCTTCGCGAGATTAACGACTGGCGGGGAAATCATGAGGCTGAACGTATGATCTAGATTCTGGGCCGACTCGTGTATCGTAGACACGATCTCAGGGTGACCATGGCCAATCAAGCATGACATTTGCCCAGAGGTCCAATCCTGTAGTTTGTGGTTGTTGGAATCGTAGAAGTGGAGATCACGGGCTCTCGTGATTATATGATCTGAGTATTGGAAACCAACGTGGGCTAGAAACTCCTTTGAATCTCGCTTCAAGGCCTCTGTATCGCTGCTCTCATGATGGCTCTCAACTGAGCCATTGAGCTTCTTCGTTGACACGAGGCTAGATACACCGCTGTTGTCTGCATGTGGCGCCATCCTGGATTCTCTGCAGTCTGTGCTTGCAGTGTTCGAGTAGTGATTTCTAAAGATAATGTAAGTTAGAGAGGCATAGATATGAAAGAAATACGGGCTGTTCGTCAAACCCTGAATGGAGCAACGAGGGATATGGAAGAATAGTGGAGAATCACTGACGGCGAAACTTTCGTCTCATTGGTATGTGAGAGCTGCGAAATAACTCTTTGATTGGACGCTCCGTTAGTATAACCTATAATTTAGTTAGGGAAATAGCCCCCTCGGCCTTATCTCATCCCCAACATGTCCCATCTGTTCTGGACCCGTCATAATCTCCAGATTTCATGATTTAAAAACCCTCCCATGAGGAGACATCACGACAAATGCTCAATTTCCAATCATAGATCAACTTCGCCGAGATGAGGACTGGGCGGCCATATGGATCGCATCGATACCCTGCATGCGCACTATGCCATCAACGTCGGTCACGCTGTGTCATCGACATTCCAGGCCAATCCTGCTCTCACTGTCGCAGACGTGGCATAGTATGTTCGTTAGCAGGCATGAAGAATCATTCTGGGGTGAAAGTCGGCTTCACCCACCGCTCACTCCTAGCCGACGATCATTCTCTGGACTACCAAGCTCGAGTTGTCGGCCCCGTTGTTGCACGCGACACCCAGGTTCTTGACCAGCATTATCCGCATCAGCGTATCCCAGAAGATTACAACAAGCCGCAGGAAATGCCTATTTTGTCGGTTCCGAGTGAACGGGAATCTCGAGAAGCCGTCTATGTGATGCGCCTTCCCCCCCGAGTTCCAAGTCCAATAGGTTTCACACAGTACTCGAACGACCTGTCCGAAAAGCTACTGGCCCAAGTGGAACCTTTCTTGGATAAGTTATTGGCCAATTACTTTGACAAACTGGCACCGTGCTACCCTCTCACCGATGAAGACTATATTTTGATGCGAATCAAGAATCACAACACTCCACCGAAGATATTTCTACTCCTCCTTGTCTCCCACGCACTATTTTACTGGGACACCTGTCCGGCACTCCGCACATATACTCGGCCAGATCAAGATGTTGCCTGGCAGATCTCCGCCATGTCCAATGCCATGAACGTACACGGAGGAGATCTTGCCACTATTGGAGCCATCTGTCTTGGTGTAGCTGGGCGACCGTATCAAAGTGTAATCCACAACGCAGGCAACGTGGCACGTGCGGTGGCAGTGGGACACATGATCGGGCTCAACCATGACTGCATGGGATGGAAGACCGCTAGCGACATAGAGAAAAGCATGCGCTGGAAGATCTGGTGGGCCGTCCTTATCCAGGATCGATGGTTCAATTTCGCCCAAGGCGTGCCTAACTATATCACCAAAAGCCAATGTGATGTCCCTCTACCAACCATGAGACTACTAATCACCCAAGCTCGAAGCGGATCCTTGGACCACATCCGCGCCTCTGAAGTCTATATTCAATTATGTCGGCTGACAGAAATACTCGGTGACATATTGCCACTGATCTACCAGGTTCGCGCTGGCGCTGATGAAGAGATGATCGCCAGCCAGATAGCTCGGTCAGAAATAGAGCTTGACCAGTGGGTTGAAATCCAACCAAGTTGGCTACAGATTGACGACCTCTGCGATCGGTCTTCCATCCCAGGCGTGCGAAATCTACAACTCTCCTATCTCTCAGTGAGAATGCTACTTCAACGCGTTGCATGGCATGAGACTACTCGATATCAGCGCGAGTCAGAGCCAGTATCATCATTGCTATCTCGGTGCCAAATGGCAGCGGACGATATCGTCCGGTTCGTCATGTCGTTAGACAAGAATGACCTGATGGGGTTCTGGCTCCCATACAACGCCCAACATTTCACCTCAGCTGTGACACTGCTACTCCGGTGCGCACTTCAGACAAGTGACAGTCACACGCAGGTCCATTGCATGACCAGCGCGCGGACATTAGTTGATTGCCTACAAAAATACCACGACGAGGACAAATGGGACCTCGCCGAGCTCTGCCTGGTGCAAACTCGGACGGTTCTGAAACGAATTGAGGATGCGCGCCCCCTAAAGCCGGCCAAAAGTAGCACCGCTCCTCCGATAATGGAATCCGTCGTCCACGATCAAAACAGCTACGAGCGAAACTATATGGACAATCCTCTACAAGAGGAGATTATATCAGGAGATGTTTTCGACGCCCTACAGGAGGGTGCGACTAGCCTTCAAGATCTCTTCCCAGAGCTATTCCCAGACTGGATCAACGATAACTCTGCTGCTGGGGAGAACTTCTTCACATTCAACGACTAGAAGATCTGGGTTTCACCAACGAAGGATTGCAATATGGCCACTATTATAAGACAGCAGGAGCTGCCTTAAACTAAATAATGGGGAAAGGAAAGGTTCGTTCCACTACTCCTCGACCCCTCCAGGGTTTACTGTTCTATGGATCCAGATTCGCAGGCAAGACCACATCCATGCCTGAGCCCCCGAACCTACTCTACTGGCAACTACGCGCCAACAAGAATCAACGAGCCTCAAGCCCTTGTTCCAAGGATTACAGCCTCGACGGAGACTTATATCACGTGGCTTATATCTCGATCATGTTATCAACCCTCGGATAACCGTGACCACCATGAGTCGTCAGCTCATACCCCGCATCCAAGTCTGGATCCTAGATCAACAGGCCTCCGGCTGGCCGGCACAAATATCGATAATGATGGTTTGGAAGAAGCGACCAGTCTAGGTACGGGTGTAATCTTCAAGCCGAGGAGTTCTCACTTACTATAAAGCTCCACGAAGCCACTGCGTTTGGATCGCGTATTGTGGTCATCTCCAGTGCTGCACCGGCGGCTTCTGACGGCGGCTCATAGGTCTGGAATCTGGATACATTTCCGTGGTCAGTATCTTCAATTCCTCTGGACCTGATGAGGAACTGTAGGGATAAGAAGTCAATGGACTGGGCCGCCATAAAGGATCATTTTCCTTCTGCACTTGAGTTTACATTCAAGCATACCATCAAGCACAATGTTGAATAGTACAAATTGGACCAACTTAATGAGATGTTTGATCTCATAGGAAGCAGCAATTCAAACTCGAGAATTGTGTTAGTATTCTGATGAAGGCCACCAGATCTTCCGCCCTCTCAATTGTGCGTCCTAATGTCTCTATCCAGATAGTAGACTACATAGGATTGATTTATCCGTTAATCCTCGGTTAAACTACTGTTTCGAACGTAGGCCACGCAAAGGCATCCAAAAGATCTGCTCATGTTCGCTGAAGATTATATTTAAGTTTCGCTTCTCCACAGATGATTTCACCACGATATGGGGTAACAGTATCTCCAAGAGTAAGTTCGTATAATGGGATCCTAGTTCTAATGCTTCGTCTGTTCAATTGGCCGGTGTTGATGTAGCGAGGAGATGGCCCGAGGTCCACACTGGCTGCCCCAGGCGGGGTTGGACTCACCACCCCTAACATCTATGGCTCTCGGAAAATGTTGTCCGTGATCAGTGTGGACTGACCACCCTGTCCAAGATTCAGGGTTCTACTATAAACAACCTAGGATGCATTCGTGACTCAGAGTTCCATGGCAGACTCTCCAAACAACGTTTTGCCTCAGTATTGGTTTACACCACCTTGATTTAGGAGTTATCAGTGTGCTCCGCTAGTTCCCAAGTACTGGCTGCTTAAGGTCGACGTAGAATTGTTTACACCGCGTATCTGATGGGCTCTCTCGGCTCAACTCGCAGTCAACGTGAAGTGGTGGTGATCGGAGCAGGTTTTTCTGGAATTTACGAGTTGCATAGGTTGAAGGATGCTGGGTTCGATGTTCATCTCTATGAAGCGGGCTCATCTACAGGTGGGATCTGGCATTGGAATTGTTACCCAGGGGCAAGAGTCGATACTCCAGTTCCGACCTACCAATTGACTGAGGATGAGACGTGGATCGACTGGAACTGGTCACAAAGGTTTCCTGACTACTCAGAGTTGCGCCTCTATTTCCAGCATTTAGTGAAAATTTGGGGGTTGCATGATCTTATGACGTTTAACACCCGCGTTCAAAAGATGACCTGGGATGATCGTGTGCATATGTGGAATCTGGAAATGACAAACTCAAGCGGCCAGAATGAGGATATCGCTGCTCGACATGTTGTCTTATGTACTGGCTTCGGCTCCAAGCCCTATATCCCTGCGATTCCTGGCATTGAGACTTTCAAGGGAGAACTCTATCATACAGGACTCTGGCCCCAGACCGGGGTTGAGATGAAAGGAAAACGAGTTGCTATCATCGGTACAGGAGCCAGTGGTGTACAGCTGATACAGGAAACCGCAAAAGTCGCCAAACATCTTACGGTTTTTCAACGAACCCCAAATACAGCCCTGCCTATGGAGAATCCACAATACGATAAGAATGCCAATGACATATGGAAAAGCACGTTTGCCGAGACCAGGCAATTAATGCTGAAAACATTTGCAGGGTTTGACTACGGGTTCTCACCGGAATCAGCGCTTAAGGTTTCGCCCGAAGCCAGGAAAATCTTCTACAACAAACTGCTTCGAACGGGAGGGTTACACTTTTGGCTTGGCACGTATCAAGATGTCCTCTATGATGAAGAGGCTAACGCCGAAGCTTACGAATACTGGCGGCAGAGCGTTATACCTCGAATTCATGATCCTCGAAACCAGGAAATACTTGCACCAACAGTTGCGCCTCATCCCTTTGGAACTAAGAGGATAAGTCTGGAGAAGCACTACTTCGAAGTCTTCAACCAAGAGAACGTTGATCTCGTGAGCTTATTGGATAACCCTATTCTTGAAATCACAGAGAGAGGCATCAAGACAGCCGATGGAGCTGTTCACGAAGTCGATATTCTCGTTACGGCAACTGGATTTGATAGTATCACGGGAGGAATTACGAACATCGATATCCACGGAGTAGATCCAGACATCTCGATTAAGGAGAAATGGAGCAAAGGCACCTATACATTCCTTGGAATGACAACAGCAGGGTTTCCCAATCTATTTTGGATGTATGGACCTCAGGCGCCAACTGCCTTTGCTACAGGTCCATCCTCTGCCGAGTGTCAAGGGACTTGGATAACGACCTGCCTCACACGCCTTCGAGAACAAGGCCTCACTAAAATAGATGCAACGCGACAAGCTGAACAGGCTTGGAGAGACCATACCCTTGAAATGGGCGAGAAGGGTCTATTCACACGAGCCCGGAGCTGGTACTATGGAGACAATATTCCCGGTAAGCCACGAGAGGCTTTGAATTACATGGCTGGCCTTCCAATGTATAGAAAGAAGCTCTGGGAGTCCGCAGACAATGGGTATGAGGGCTTTGAATTGACTGCATGACGGAGAAGCACACATGCGCCCTCGCGTGAATACAACATGACGAGGGATTCTGAATCAGATGTATATTGTTTGTGTTCGGAATGTAACATTCAGTCCACAATTGAACTCACAGGCAAGACCTTTCTCATTCAACGGAATATATAACGGCAGCCCTACGTAGAAAAGGAGCCAAGGATATTTCTGGAGCGCAATCGACGACACAAGGTGATTGCAATTAGTAGATCGCCTCCTTCCAAACTATGCGGCTTTTTTGGAAGCTGATGCATGTAGATACCGAACCATGTCCTCGATTTCGGAGGAGCTATGCTTCATCGACACTGTATTCTCGCCTTTTTGGTCCGTGTCGGCAGTGATGTAAGCGTTGTCAGAAACAATATCTGGGGATTCATGATGCATATATTTCTGAGCAGCCGCTTTCCGACGGGCGTACTCGTTCTTCTTCTTGGTCAACAACTCTTCTGAGCCAAGCCTTTCGAATCCCAGACGGACGAGATATCGCGTTCCGAGGTAGATATGCTCGGCAACAAATATTGTGATTGGCAAGGTCCACCAAGTTCGTATATCGGAGAGGCGTGCCTCTCCATGAAACAAATGCATGACGGCAGAGCTGACAATGCTGCCCAACCAAGCCAGGAAATTTAGAGAGTCATTCCACGCTCCGATTCCATCTGTGCGCACCGGATGAGGTCGCTGATGGTCGATGCTGATCTTGAGCAGGTCGGATCGAAGTTCAATCCAATTGTTAATCAAGAACCCAAGAGGCACCAGTGGCCAGATGGGACAGAACAGGGCCAAGTATCCAAATTGGGTGACCATCTGCTGGATGTCTTCCTGAACGTTGTATGGCTCGCGGAGACCTTCGTCTCGCGCTTGTGCCAGGAGTTTGGACGCGTTTGAATTTCCCGGAGTTACACCTCGTGTGTTGCTCCGGCCCATCCATCTGTTGTACCATTTTCTGGCTCGCAGTTTGACCAAAGGCAAAATGAGCTCTTCGGCAAACGAAGAAATCTGCTCGGTGACTACCAGAGCCACCACCTCACTCTTTAGTCTCGAATTCTCAACCCGAAATTCAGAGTTCAGAAGATCGCTTGATCTGTCCCCAAGAATATTGCGCATATGGCTCTGTAGTCCAGAGATGATACCCTCTCCGAAGGGCACGTAGACAAACGCCGTCAAGAAGATTGGGAGAAATTTCGTGATTGAGTTGAGGACAAATACCTTCTGTGTAAGCGATTCTTCATGCCGGTCTGCTGTTCTATGATTCTCCCATGTAGTGAGTTTATTGGCGATCTTCTCAAGGAAGGAACTGATTGAAGGGAGACTCAAGGCTAGCATGACGGTGGGCAAGTGATCCTGCAGTTTGGTTAATGGAGGAAATTTCGAAACGAAATTCAGGCAACATACTATCCAGTCTTTGTACTCGCCGGCATATACGTGCGAGATCAAGAGCTCGATTCCGAATATCGCAGTAGTGATTGCTCCAAGAACGAGCAATGCAACCAACGCAAATGGCAAAGACACCAGTTGGCGAGCAATTCGCTTCCTCTTAGGAAAGTATATGATGGTCTCACCAGTAGCAGGATCTTGTAGTTCCTTTTCATACTTGTACTCTCGACGATCGACCTATTGGAAGTCAGCATAGTCTTCCGTTGGCGGGAAGGGAGGAACGCTGTCAGTGACTGAGCAAACGTACCTTGAGGTTTCCAACACCCCGTACGTGCCAGCGAAGGCTAAGATTGATTTCTTGCATCCTCCAATATTCCAGAAACACAATGCACCAGGCAATCGTGATTATGGCATAGAAATATGAGCAGCCGCTCCCAAAGGTCCAAGCAAAGATGCCAGTTGCTGTCGGGAATACCAGGGCGACCATATAGGTCTGTAGGAAGCAGAAATAAAAGCCAACCTAAACGACGATTAGCACTTCCACCCAAATGGGGCACGCTTCGTTCGAACCTTCTCTCCGTAAACAGACCGGATACGGTCTAGGTCATCCATATTCAGGATGAGTTTTCGGCTGAACTCGTACAGCATCTGGTTGTTCATTTTCTTATTGTGCAATGGGAAGACAGAAGTCACATTCTCACAATGATCATTGCCCGGCATGAGCTCAGCCCCTCCCAACTGCTTGGACCAGGTGACAAGGTGATACATCGATCGGAGGTTTTCACTCTCGGTTTCTGCTTTGGCAACTGTGTCGTACGAGCCTTCTGGTCGTTCGTCGATGATTCCATACAGCCAGTCCTTGACCCTGCACCACTATTAATGTCGTTATCTGAGATGACTGCCTGTAATTGCTCACCGTGATCGGTGGACCGCATTGCCAAGTAAGGTCTTGGGGGCTCTCAAAATGAGCAGAAGAGAACAAAACTCGCCCAACTTGACCTCTGTCTCTAGTCCTGCTGCAGCACAATCACGAAGGATCGTCTCTACCTCCTGTATGGCTTTTTCTTGGGCTGCATTCGCCAGCATCAGCATAACCGGCTCGAGTGTTGGACCATGGATATTCTTACGGGTGTCCTTGATGGCATATCTTGCGACATAGATATCGTCATTGGTTCCAGATAACTCTTCGAGTCCGATAAGAGGTTTGGAACTCTCCGCACCAACCAGCTTCTCTGCCATACTTTGACCACCGATCCACCCGTCTCGTGGACCGGCTTTGTCGGTTTTGTCAGCCAGTGCGGTGGATGGCTTCGGAATCTGTTGCGTCCTCGAATCTTTCGGCGCAAGTCTGTCGTCACAGAGCTACAGAACGCCCGATGAGTAGCAAGCATGAAGTTAAGTCACAGAGTTGAGAGATTTTGTGCTGTTGATATATGATGTCAAATCTGACGCGTCCGATCCATATATTCTGCTTGGCAGATGAATCATACTGATAGGTTTAGCCAGAATGATTACGGAGTACTTTGTCGATGCCATGAGAAAAGCTTAGCATTTAACGATTGAGTGCATACTAATAATAAGTGCCCAATCCCACTTAATAATGTCAAGTTCTAGTGCAGTATTACAATCTAATCAAATCCTTTAGAGCCGCGAGGCTGCCCAGGCTGGTCTACAAATGCCCAGAGCCAAGATATCGCATATAGTCGGCATCCTGACTGGGTGGTATTGTGGGCCTGCTGAAGTCCTCCGCTCTTGTCAAAAGTACAGGATCGTCCTCATGCGTATCTGGGTGGACTTCAAGGCAGTATTGTGGGTCAGGCCTCTGGGCCTTGGCCGAGTTGATTAAAGCAGTCAAATCAATGTCGCCTGCTTCACTTCCACTTGACGATGAGCGGGTCGCAACACGATCTAACTTCATCTCCTCGGCGGTAGGCGGCCCATTGTCATCGGTCGTGGGAAGTATAGGCTGTGGTGGAATAGCTTCTCGTCTGAACCCAGATATCGCTCTCTGAAGAAATCCTGGCTTTGGTGGGGACTCAGCCTTGCGTTGTTTCTTCGTCCTCTTTCTTCTCATCCGAATGTGAAAGAGTTTTCTTATTGGCGTCACCAGCCACAAGAAATATTTGTTTGGAATTAAGCGCACGAGAGCCCCATATGGCAGGGTTATGAGTCCGAGAATAATGGATGTGGCCCATTGCGGCCCAGTTGGGCGTGCAGTCTGGAACGCATTTCCGCCAAACATAACAATCAATGTTTGGCCAGCGATAGTGACGATCTGCACAAAGAAAAACCAAGGGTTCCTGAGGATGCCCTCGAAAACATTTAGACCAGAATCTGCACGCCGGCAGTTGGTTTGATTGAAGACTTGCATGTAAATGTAGGTGTTGAAAGCTGTTGTCTGAAGTCGTCGTTTTTGGATTTCGGTGTCGAAGGCAAAGAAAGCGTAACCGCCGTAGTGAAGGACAAAAATGACAATTATTTGATAGATAGACTGTGCAAGGATCATTTTCCACATTGCAACAGTAATGATGGCGGTGCCTCGGGGTTCTGGTTTTCGGTTCAGGACGCCACGAGTGGGATAATCCGTTGCTAACGAAAGAGCAGCGAACGTGTCCATGATAATGTTGACCCAGAGGAGTTGCACAACGGAGAAAACTGCATCATCACTTCCTCCCACTAGAGCAGTTACCGCCGTAAGGAAACCAGCTCCGAAATTGATCGTCAGTTGAAACTATAAAACTGTCAATGTATCGAAAATGCCGCGGACTTGGGGAGACGAACTTGGAGGAATTTCTTGACTGCATCGTTAATTGTACGGCCCCACTGCACGGCTTTCACAATCGAGGTGAAATTGTCGTCCATCAAGATGATCGATGATGCTTCTTTCGCAACATCAGTGCCAGCAATACCCATGGCAAAGCCGACATTGGCAGCTTTGAGAGCCAGTGCATCATTGGTTCCGTCGCCAGTGACAGCGACTATTTCGTATTGAGCTCGTAACCGGAGCACTAGAATACGTTTATCTTCAGGAGAGGATCGTGCCAGAACCTGGAGCCGTGGCACAACAAGGTCCAATTGGGCGGGGCTCAGCTTTCGAAATGTTGGCCCGTCCATTGCAATGCCGCCTGAGGTATATATTCCGCATTCCTTCGAAATCGCCTTGGCTGTTTCGAAATTATCGCCAGTGACCATCCGAACGAACACTCCAGCTGATTGACACTGTTGGACCGAAGTGACAACGTCCGGACGAAGGGGATCTTGCAGGCCAACTAGGCTGACGAGTATCAGGTTGTGAAGAAGATCATGAATTCGTGGTTGACCGTCATTGTTTGCATTAGGCTTAGCTGGAGGCCAAACCTCAAAGTCACGGTATGCCAAAGCGAGGGGACGAAGACTCCGTTGTGCAAGACTGTTGACATATTCCCCAAGGTGATCTTGAATGTCGGTACTGATTTCGGTGGTGGTCTCAACTTCGTCAAGCTTATCAACGATGCTGACGCACCGGAGGATGATAACTTCTGCAGCACCTTTGACGTACATCCTGAAGTTCCCATTGGGCAACTCTATCACCGCTGCCATAGATTTGTGTCTGGCATCAAATGGAAACAGGTGAACAACTGGGACCTTTTCCCTCAATTCCGCGAGGTCGTTCAAGCCAAGATGATTGTATACGAAACGAATAAGTGCAATCTCTGTGCTTGATCCCACAAATTCTCCTCCCTTTGAATCTTCTTTTTCGGTGGCTGTCGTGTTCAGACAGATTGCATCACGAAGCAGGTCTTTGATGGTATCTGGTAGGGTTGAGATGGTCTCCATTGGTTTGACACTGGTCTCTGGCAACCCGGATTCCTTGGATTTATCCGAGTCTTCGAGAATCGTTTGTCCAAAATTGCTCGAAAGTCCGAGGCGACATGAGACAACTGTCATCTTGTTCTGGGTCAAAGTTCCAGTCTTGTCCGAGCAGATTGTGGTCGCATTTCCCATGATCTCACAAGATCTTAAAAGCCGAACCAAGTTTTTGTCCTTGAGCATTCTGGTTGTTGCGAAGGCGAGTGCAAGTGTGACGGCTAAAGCCAGACCTTCTGGCACACCAATGACCACCATTGTAACCGACAGCATGAAGATTCCCAGAAAATCCTCGCCCTTGGCTCGAGGGCCGCCCTCGATAGTAGGCAGTCGGACGAGAAAACGGACGAAGAGAATAAAGAAGAAGACAAGACCGAACAGGCAACCTCCGAACAAAATGTACTTCGAAAGTGACCCTAGCTTTTGTTGTAGAGGCGTCTCTTGTGGTTCATCTCGCAGCGACATCAAGATCCTGCCATAGCTTGAATTGATGCCAACCGATGTGACCAGTAAAGTGCCAACTCCATTAGAGATCTTGCTCCCACTGACGATGAAAGGGTCCGAGTGCTTGGGACGGATTGCGATTTCAGATGGATGGGGGTCGTTCCAGGGAGTTTTGTGTATCAGATCGGATTCACCAGTGACAGAGGATTCATCACATTCGATATCAAACCCTTCAGCAAGAATTCCATCAACGGGGACAATATCTCCAGTCGCCAGATGAACCAGGTCACCAACAAGAATATCAAAAGTCGAAATATGCCTCAGTTTTCCAGAGCGAACCACATTGACAAAGCGCTCACTCTTCTTTTGATTGAGCTTCTCAAATTTATGGTTCTTTTGCCAGTCGTTAGTGGCTGTTGCCATGAGAATGATGAGAATGGCGATAACAATGGTGACACCTTCGACCCATTCCACATTCGAACCTGGCTCTGAGGGATTAACAGATTGGTAGATACCAAGAGCAAGCGAGACAACAGCTGAAAAAGCCAAGAGGAACATCAACTTGTCGTTGAAGGCATCCCAGACGAGGCGAAGAAATGATTTGGGCTTGCGAGGCGGTAGCCGATTGTCCCCATAAGCTTCACGGCGGTCAGTGAAGGTGGTTTGTGTATGAGAGTGATCTGGTAATTGAAGATCTGGTAATTGGATGATAGATTTCCGTGGTTTGGAAACATGGCTTTCGCGATTTGGCAGGGGTTCCAAGATATCCTCATCAACGCTGAGGCCATGCTTGAGGTCAGTCCGAAGGGCATTAGCTAAGCCAGACAAGCCACCAAGTGCGTGGACCTTTTCAGGCTTTCTTTCCTCGATCAACTTGTGCAGTAAATTGGGCGACAGGCTGAATTTTGCATTGTAGCTCTCTGCACTTGAGGGTAATCGCAGAGCCTCAATATCACGGGTTATTTCCTCCCCCTTCGACCCTGGAGCGTCACTTTCTGAGCCGGCCATAGATGGTGGCTTCCAAGGGTCCCCAAATTTGGTGCTGGGAGATTCATCGTCGCGCGTCATCTCCAAGGATGCTTCATGTCGACGACTACTGGGAGAAATTATCATCTGATGAGAGCGTCAGCAAGATAACATGGGACATTTGTCACTTTTGCAACTTCTATGAATTGTTGACGTGGACTCACAGCTTGGCGGTCGCCTCGAAGGCCCACGCTATCTATCCACTGCGGCCAAACCCTGCCGATCAAGGTCACCAGCAATTAGAGCCTGCCACGCCTTTCCCTAGGCATGGCTTCTTCGCCTACCAGTGTTTCACGTCTTGTGCTAGATGGCCCCGTGGCCCCTTACCAAAGGGACAAGCTTTCCGATCTATGCTCAGTCAGTCCTGTTCGTTGGTTTCCAGAGTCTCTGGAACAGGCGATTGAACAATCCACAAGGTAACACTTTGGACGCCTTTTTGCGCAGCAGTTGCCAAGTCACAGAAGACTACAGTAGTATATGTGCTGTGCCACCATCATTGTCCATAGAACGCATGATGCCTCTTAAAACGCTGCACCAAGGCTACTTTCGCCATCAGGAGTTGGCTGTACGCAGGGCTGGCGCTTGTCAGGCATCCCTTGATTGGAACGGGCCAATCACGCAGAAGTGAGAGTAAAATATGATGCATATGCGTAGATTACCAGTCACCAAAAACGAAGCACCTTGACAAAAGCTACGCATAATGTCAAATACAGAGGCAAACGTGACACGATCCGCATGATACTGTTTGCCTGTGAAAAGGACACATGACACTCCATGCTGACTAGCAACCTCACTTGACCCATAAGGGCCCCGTACGTAGCACAGAATTCGAAATTCTGCTCTGCCTCAAAGGATTTCCAAGTTCTTCGGTAGGGTTGCTTGGCAATCTTGGCACTGGAATGCGCCCCCGCCAAGCAGCGACACAATTGGCTACGACAGAACCTCGCCCATGCTTGGCGCGTTTAGGTTGCTCGACGCCAAGAAGGCTCCTCAGGAGGAAAGGAAACTGTCGGGGCGGCCTCCACCACTTTCAACTACGGATGTACATACTTCCTCCCTCCCCAAAATCTGGGATTCGCACCTCTAGGGTTGTACCCCATGGAAACGGTTGCATATAAACCAATCTCACAGAATGGTGGACCCTCGGCAACAGGCGAGTTCTCGAAATGTTCGGGAGCATCTAGAGCTCCCTCAACAGCTTCGCCGCCGAGCACATTCACTCAAGCACCTAGCATTGTGGCATGGCATCTCCGCCCTCTGCACATGTGGCTGGAGCCGAATGGTCTCCAAACGTCTAGCAACATGCACGTGGGTGGAACCAATGACTTCATCCCGACCCGAGCAACGTCATCCACGATTCCCCAGAAAGGTCACGTTCACACCTGATCTTGGATGTTATCGGCCTCCCAGACTTCGTACGTCGGCCACGCACCGAGATCCATTCCCTGACTAACATAACCCATCAACTCGTGTTGGCATGACTCGTTTCCGAAAAAAGAGAGATCAGAGAAATGTTATAACAGTCCCAGATAACACCCGCCTCGATTACTGACCCTCACTCGATCTTGCTCTTGAGGCAAACCGAAGGTACCATCCTCTAGCGGCTCTGAGAGCCCTTCCCTGAATGCTGATGGCCTGTCCCAATCCGGGGGAAACGAGAGGGGAATGCCTGCCACCTCCCTCTTCTTCCGGATATCCGAGTTTGGATCCGACAGGTACGAATGCTTTGTCAACCATTGACACGGTTCGACGCGATTTTTAACCTTGAGGAGCTCTTGGTCTGGGCAGATAGCGAGGGCTGAGGCATTACCCTACTACTGCAAGAGTGTACGAGTATACCAGAGGTAAGGATAACGTAATGTCGGTGTTGGACTTGTTGTTTATCAGGACTCGTCTTGCCAAGTTGAGCCTTGATAAGACCAGTGCGGGGTCTCTTTGATAACCATATCGATAATGCATTCTCAGCTGCCTTATACAGACAAGTCAACATCACCTTGGTATCAACAGATAGCACTAGCATCCGGATTCCGGAGAAAACGTGCTTTGCCCCAGTGGTCCATGTACGACATCACCTCAACATCGATTTACCAGTCTCTCTCCAGCTTTCGATAAATGAAGATATACTTTCAGACTAACCCGCACCGAGGCGGACTTGGGCGCTTTCTTGTGAATACTGTTCATCCACAACCCTCCTCCGTCTACGTCCTGGCCAGTATATCAATGACTCCTCATTGCTATGGCTTCCGTGGATCCTCTGAGAAACTAAGCTAGACTAGTTTCTGCTAGGATTCGACTGGATATGACTGGACACGGCAACCAGTGGTTCTCAAAGGTAGGCCTTCACCGTCGACAGTGTATTGCGACTCTTATCATGAGACCCATTCATATAGTATCCAAGACACTTGCCCAGACTATTAACCTTGGCTGGACTCCATGGATCCATACCCTAGTGTCGGTTTAGTCGTTGTTCTACCTCTATAAAAGACTGGCAAGAGCGCTTGGTCATGAGAAAATAACTGTATTCCAAGCAGAGCCACCCAAGGCAGATCATTCGCCATGCTACGACACGGAGCTTTTGCCCTCTCCCTTGTCGGGCTTGCTCTCTCCAGCCCAATTCTCAAGCGAGACGAATTGAAATCTTGGACAAGCATCACGGGCGGGGATATTGTCTTCAAGCTTGGTAATGTCTCCTACCTTGGGTTGACATCTACCCCGGCTGCGAAGACGAAAGGCGACATCCTTGGTGATCCCATTCCATTCACTGTTGTGAAAACCACGGAATGCGAAATTACCTCAGAAGTGATTGAAGGCACCATTGCCAAATATCTTTCAGGGGATGATGTCTATTCAGAAGCCTTTCTAGAAGGAATATATATCAGCTCAACATGCGAAGGGGGAGCCACGCTTGATGCCTCTGCATATGGTTTTGTCAAGTCAACTGGCTGTTCCAAATTCTTGGTTGACACCGCCATCAAAGTGACCGATGCTTCAGCGTCAGCGGTCGACGGACTCTCTACCCTAGAGCCCGGTCCATATGTTGCCAAGATCGGAGACGGATCTGCGAGCTTCTCTCTTGCTTATCGTCTCTATCAGGACCGCTATCGCACCTTTGTATTCGGAGCATATCCCAATCTTGATGTCGAAGGTTCTTTCAAAGCCCTTCCAGATATTTTGACCGATTATCAGGATCCGCTTATTCCTGTCCCTTCCAGGATCTACAGCTGGTCCGACCCTCGACCTTTCGCTGGTCTCCGCATCGGGGTCAAGGACTTGTACGATGTCCAAGGTCTGCAAACCGCCGGAGGCAGTCGAGCTTGGGCTGAGTATTACCCAATCTCCCCGGTCACCGCGCCCGCTATCCAAAGAATCATTGATCTTGGTGGTCAAGTCGTTGGAAAGCAAAAGACTGCACAGTTTGCATCTGGTGCAGATCCTTGGGGTTGGTTCGATGTGCAGTACCCATTCAACCCCAGAGGTGATGGATGGCTGACATGCTCGGCGTCCTCGTCTGGGGGTGGATGCTCCATTGCTGCATATGACTGGCTTGACAACACCATTGGTTCCGACACTGGATCGTCGATGCGTCGTCCTGCGTCAGTTTCAGGGACGTACGGCAACCGTCCAAGTCAAGGAATGATGTCACTAGAGAAGGTCCAGCCCTTGGGTGCAGCCCAGGACACGGCTGGAGTTTTCTCCAGAGATCCATATCAGTTTGCTTATTTTGCAAAGAATTGGTACATCCCTGAGCTGCATCAAGATGCTTCCATCAATGGACTTGCACCCATGTCTGCCCCGGATAACTACTCTCTTCCCAAGACCGTTTATTACGATCCCGGATACCTTCCGGTCCGAAATGAGGCAGCCGATGCACTCGTGCAGCAGTTCTACGAAAGCCTCCAGACCGTGATTGGCATGACCAAGGTCGACGTCAATTTGTCTGAAATCGTGATCAACCATCCCGAGCCAGCTGTGTACAATACCACCTTCCGAGGGGCTGCCTCTTCCCTGCTGAACACTCGTTCTCAGTGGCTGGCAGTCGCGGAGCCGTTGCTGACTTATTACGCCGAGACATATGAAGGCCGCTTCCCTCCCATTGATCCGGCCAGACGCCCAGGCTGGATTGCGCGGACCCCTGAGAGATTCACCGACGAGGATTATGCGAATGCCTTGGAAATCAAGAGATCCTTTTCCGACTGGATGAATGAGGACTTTTTGGGATACAGTGATGAGACATGCTCGGACGCCATCTGGATTTACGATGTCGGAACTGGAGGGTTGCCCTCGTATCGAGAAGAGCCACTCTTGGTGGACAACCCGAATGCCACCAGGCTGAACTACTCGCCCCCAAACACTGTGACCAACGGCGTTAGTTACTGCTCATTTGCCGGTTGTGTAGACATCACAATCCCGATTGGCCAAGTCCCCTACTTTAGCAACGTCACACGGACCGAGGAACAAGTGCCAGTGGCGGTCAATCTTGTGGCACGACGAGGCTGCGACTTTGTCATTTTTGATCTCATCACCGCCCTTGCTGACGCTGGCGTATTAAAGGTAAGCCCGATTCAGTTCTGCCTGATTATATTCTCTAACAAAATCTACAGACCGTAAAGACCGGCCGCGAAGCGTTCTAGCTGGAGGTTGTCCCGTAGTAGAGGCATGAAAATTAGCAACGCGCAACGATCACATGATTATGAGATTGATAATGATAGGCGGCAGTGGTAGACATCATATAATAATCCTCAGCGGATAAGGGCCAGAACGTAGACGAAGTGATTACTGATCTCTCGTTCGACTCTTGATTAGTCTCATATGCCTTTGCAGTTGGCCCCAAAGACATGCAAGAGAACATCGGTGACTCGTTCAGAATATCCCAAGCCTTTCAGGCTGAGGCGGAAATGCTTAGAAGACCTCGGTCATTCTCGGTCACTCGCGGTCATCACTTGAGCAGTACGCATGAGTAGAGTGTCCATTCTAGTGCAGTTCAGAAGAACTGCCTGGGAACCGTTCGTCATTGCTCGGGTAAGCTCACAAAGCTCGCAATCCTTCAATGGGGGCTGGGTCAGCAAGCGAAACCGACACCGCCCGATTGCCGGCAGTTGGGCACCCATATTAGGATATGATTATTATCGATACAATCCCACGAACCAGTGGTAAGCGCGGCAGTGGGCATGCTCATTATTGCCGAAGTAACGCTTTCGTCTTGGAGGGGGCCTAAAAAATGCACCATTGCTCCGCGTCGTGCTGACTACCAAGCCACTTGGGACTTAGCCTCTCCTATTGTTAGGTGACATTCTTCTGAATCAGGAAAGTCGGGCTGATCATTCTCCACGTGGGATAGAACCTTGCCCGCAGCAAGACCGTCTTCCTTCGTTCCTACGGGAGTGCGTCTTCTATTTGTTGCCATTTTCACTGACGAAGCATCCATAATGGGATATGCGGTCTAGAATTTGTGGCGTAATTCCATAGAAGCCCAATTCCGCGCGTGGCCATGTATCTTACAGGCTACTCGGTGTTTGTCATGCAGTTCGGGGTCATCATGGGCAAAATTGGAACCTGGCAAAGATATAAGGAAGCATAGGCACACCTCTGTTCGAAATGATATCTTCATCAAACACAACAACCAATACAACAACATAATACTTTATCTCCTTTCGTTATTTCCTTATTTCCTTATTTCATTTCCTTATCAGTCAACCGTCGCTCTCTCAGCCACATCTTACCATCCTTAGACAAATCAACACGCTCAACGCAACAAAAACAATCCACAAAATGCAATACTCAGCCATCCTCGTCTCTCTCCTTGCTGCCACTGGCGCTTTGGCAGCCCCTTCATCTCGCCGATCAGTCGACAATGAGATTCGTGTTGTTCTCAGCGATCTCGGAGAAACAGGTGCTCAAGTCACTTTCAAAGAGGGCGTCCGCGACGTCCAAGTTCCAGCACTCAACGGACCCTTCGCCACTTTGGAAGTTCGTCTCGGAAAAGGCGTCGCACAACAAGATCTCCGCTGCCAAGCTCTTGATGAATCAGGAAACCCGATCGTCGGAGTGCGCGGCGCCAACGTCGACATCACCTTCGCTGACGGCGGAAACGGCCCGTGGACATTCAAGAAGCCCAGCCTAGTTAGCAAGGTCATCTGCGACCCTGCTTTCAAGAAGATCAGCCCTGGCGCCTTGGACGTGCGTGTTGTCCTTCAGAATCAAGCCACCGAACTTGGAACTCAGACAGTCTTGGCCTCAGGTGTTCGCGTAGAGTCCTCCCCCCAGGGATCTACCGGTCCTTATCAGACCGTGGAGCTTCGCGTCGGCGAACTGGTTGACCCAAGCTATCGGTGCAAGGTTCTCGACAACAAAGGACGCGCCATTACCCTTACCAGAGGTGCCAATGTTGACACTACCTTTGGCGACGGCGGCAACGGCCCATGGACCTTTGACAAGACCCGATCAGTCAGCAACATCATCTGTGACCCAACCTTTGTGAAGGCTGCATAAGTTCACCACCTATTTGCATCAGCGAAGGCGATTAACTGTTTCCTGGGCCGGAAAATGGGGGCATAAAGAAAAAGCATCAGCGTTGCATCGTGGAACCGGGCATGACATTGCATCTAGAAACTGGCGTTTTTGTAAATCTTGGATTTGTTGTGTGGACACTCCTTATAATATAATATAATCAATGACACTCATTACTGAAGAAGTCATCATCGTAGTAACTTGTTCTCCACGTGGCAATCAGCTTGCTTTGTGACCCTCTGACACCACGGGATAAGAAGTCTTCTCAGGCAATCAGACAAGTTCTCGCTATTATTGATCAACCTTGAAGAACGGGTTTTCGATGGTCACCTTATAGTGGGAGAAAAGTATTTCGGGTCGCGCCGAGCTAACCGAGGCTCACTAATTTCCAGAAATCCTTGGGGCCGCTGTGGCCCATCTGGACCCCCTGGAGTTCTGGCGTGGCGTGTGTGACAGCGACCGACACCTGCCATCCTTCAAATTTGTGAGAAAATCCCTTGAACAAGTTAGCTTGTCGGGACATCCAAGGGGGACAGCTTTCACAGCGAAACTTGCCATTAATGATCCCCTGAAGGTCGAGAGGGCACCGGTTGTGCCGACAGGATATCATGCGTCAATGGGTGTGGGCGATGCTTACACTTTACCGCTCGATAATCTTCAACTCATGAAATACTAGGTATCGAGGCTTTGAGCCGCCCTTTGGGATTCAGCTTTTGAGATGGCGTCCCTCTTAGCATTCATCGTCCGAGGCCGGATGCTCGCGACAATCTGGGTGTTTCTGGTGGTGGTGGGGACAATGATCGCTAGTGAGTGTGACACGAAGTCTTGAGAAACTGCAACGAGCGTTGCCCTGACGGCGAGATCAGTGAGGCAATCACAAGAACCACCAAGATGGATGCGTAAACTGGCCGAAACACAGGCGTCATCGCAACAACTATTGAGATTATCTGAGACACGACTTGCGGATGGAACTATGCAATTCGAGCGCGTCAGGACAAACATGGCGCCCGATGTAGTCTGGCTTTGCATGACCAAAGACCAGACCTCCTGGGGCCAGGTCAACAATGTCCAAAGAACATTTGATGATTTCATCAACTTGATGCGATCGAGCGGACTCGATCCTAGCCGAATCTCTCTGAGCATTTTGACCGGGTCCGAGCAAGAATATCGACATTTTCGTGCCGTGACCAAACGGTTTCATTTCGCCCGCTTCATTGTACTCTTGCATCCAGGCTTGTACGAACTGGAAAGTACATCAGCTGATTCGACAGCCGAGGAACGATGGAAACACCATCGCAGCGAAACAGCCAAACTACGCAATTACCTACTTCTAAGAACTCTACGGGACGAGCGCCATATTTTCTGGTTAGACCCCGATGTCTATGAAGTAACGCCTGGCATCATACCACGCATGATTGCGCATTCAGAGAGCCGCGAGGATGCCGGCATCATCACTGCACGGTGCTCGCCGACAGGGGATTCTGAATATGACCGACACTCGTGGAGTGGTACCAAGCAGGACCAGCACTATCTGAGCGAAACATTGCAAGGGACATCAGATGGCGATTTGGTGCCGTTGACGGCAGTTGGCGCCAGCGTTTTGTATATGCGGGCCTCGCTGATTTGGCAGGGTCTGACTTTTCCTGCATATTACACGATTGACTCTGGTTGGGACCATGAAGGTCATGATGGCATTGAAACAGACGGCCTTTGCCACCAGTCCCGAGGTCTTAAAGGCGGTGGCTGCTTTGCTCTTGGTGGCAACTGGTATGTAAGACACACTTCGTAGGAAGAAGCTGGGGTCCTGGTCCTGAGTGATAGCGTTCTGCACATTGCCAGTATCAAGGTTGCACCATATGAAAATAGTCATAAATGAATTCTATGTGCCGATATTTTTGACGGACACAAACCATTTGATTGTAATGGCATATGATCTTCACTTTCATTATTGCATATCCGAAGCCTATCAACCCCTTGCAAGAACGATGCCTCTGCTTGCTTATGTGCACAGTACCTCCTTTTTGATGATCCTTGCTTATTCATGCTTTTGTCTGCCCAGGACGGGACATTCGTTGCTCGATCCACCTTGAGAAGGTCACCGAAGGGAGATCGATAAACTTACAGAATAGCTCGGCAGCCCAGAACCAGAATGGAAGCATTATGATATAGCTGAGAATCCAGATAAAAAGGAATTGTCGAAGGTTGGTATCCTCGCGGGTGGTGGTGCCCATGACTCGACGGAAGAATCCTATCACCACGTACCCCAATGATCGAATCACCATCCCGTGAGACAGATAAAGCGCAAATGAGATCTTGCCCAGGTATTCTGCAAGACGGCTGGCGAAGATCCTTGATATTGCAGGTGAGTTGATACACGCCCATGTGGTCATGATAGAACCAATGGCGCGCAAAACCTTGTTCTTGTCCCACATATCAGGAAGAAGGCTGGCCAGCCAGGCGTGCGGCTGCATCGTGACCGGCTCGACCAAAGGAACACCCATGATGAAAAGGCCGAGAATGAAGGCACCGATCCATGACAGTGTGGCGAACCGAGGTGATCGGGGGTACTTGGACAAGAATAGTGGTAGCGTAAATCCGCTTCCATGAGACCCTGTCCCCGGAAAAGCACCGGGGCTTCTTCTAATAATGTCAAGCTCTGCCAGCACCATTCCTCCAATAAATAGGCTCGCGTTTCGAAAATCATTGAGAAGACAGTAATATGTGATACAGAAATGAATGATCAGTCGCCAGCCGGTCTTGAGTAGTGATGTGCCGGTCAGGACGAGGAAAAGGACCATGCTGCACTTGAACTCGACAGGTATCGTCCAAAGGTGTTTGTCGTGGTCGAATAGACCATCGAAGCTGTCAGCCCCAGGCAGAGATGCGCTTAGGAGAACGCGAACCTCCCTGAAGGCTCCAGTGATCTGAGAAGCGAATGTAGGTTCCATTGTGGGCGGCTGTTCCCTCAGAAGACCTTCAAAGGCTTCAAAGTTCGACCTGGCACCCTCGAAGATCCTCATTTGAGCCAAGATCGTAATGATGAAAATAGCTGCAATAGCCGGTAAAAAGAGCCGGAATGCTCGGCGGAAAATGGAAGAGGCAATCGTCTTCTGGATGGATTGGTCGGAATGAATCATCTTCAAGGACTTTTGCGACAAAACGTAGCCTGAGATGACAAAAAAGATGTTGACCATTGACTCGGCATCCCACACGAGTGAAACAAAAGGCTTCCACATGAAGCCTTGAGAACGCTCTTCGACATCGTTCTCCCACGGATCATCGACGGCACATGCCCAATGGCTGTTCAAGACGACCCAACAAGCAACCCCTCGTAAGCCATCTAAGGCGGCGATGTTACTTGAGGCTTTTGCTGGTTTTGGCGGTGTTGGAAATAGAAAACTTGGAAGGATGGCGTTTAGAATCTTGCTAAGTGACGTGGGATGTTTGGTGACTTCTGTGGTTAGAAACTGTTCCAGTCCAACCAAAGACGAAATGGCACTCACTCTGCTCATCATAATCGAGAGGGAATCTGCCAGCTGCAGGTATCGCATTGTGCCCGTCGTTCGCTAAAAGCGCCGGGCTCCCAGACATCATCCATAAAATCACTGAGGACAAATTCGGACGGCCTCACAGGACAGCACCACTATGCAGAGGGCAAACAGTACTATTCTTGTATGGAGGGCTTTTGACCGCCGACAAAGGAGCCCAGGGGTTCTGGAGGGGCAGAGGGGCGACTCAGCCCAAACCTTTCACTCGCCATTCAACGTGCCGTCACGAGCCTCGGCGATGTGGCAAAACCCAAGTGATGGAAATGGAACGAACGGGCGCATGGGCCACCGAAGGATGCAGTATTGATCGCATTGGGACAAGTAAAATAAGATCAGGGTCATCGTGTCCGACGTGTGATTGACTTCAAGCCACTGAGGCCTTGATGGCCCGTCAATAATCAAGACAATAGTCCAGGAGGATTTCCGAGTGGCTTCCGAGTGGATTTTGTGGGTAGGATCTGGGGAACAGGAAGCCCCCCCTGGCCCTGAGATGAAATCTCCCGACGTCAAGTTTCATCACTTGTCAGGCTGACATCTTCTCTTCAGAACTGGCGGCCGAGGGGCTAACGTGTTTAGGTCTCCGGGGCTCGTGCACAGAGTTCAACTGAGGGAAATGTTGCATTGCAAAGCGCAATTTTCGTCCGAGGTGCTAAGGGCCCCTGGAGCACGAGTTAACCGGGACTGGGGAAGCTGGTAAGCCTATAGTTCAAAGCCAAAAGGCCCGATGCCACCACTGTGGCTTGCAGCCAGTTACACCGACCCGCTGGACTGGGTTTCAGCTGACCACGAGGAAAGCCAACGACATCGACATTTCGATTGATGCTAATATAGATCTATGGTGACGCTGTGAATCATCATGGTCAAAGCTCATCTCAGCCTCTGCAGAAACACAAACTCAAACCACAAAATTCAAGGGCAATATTGAATCTCTTATTTTTCTTGAACACTATGAGAAAACTTCTCTCTGAGTAAGGAACAAAATGGGTACTTGAGTCTCAATCGTTGTGGAGATCTCAAAGTAAAAGAATTGAATGCGATATATCGCGTCGCTGATGATAAAAAGAGCGTCTCCTGGCCAAATACCAGTTTTCAAGAAACCGTTCCTTGATGCTCAGGAATAAACGAAAGGCCAGCATCTCGTCTTGTTGCCTATAGCCTCCCCACCATCCACCCCGCTCACACACTACTTAAGCCACTTGACCCAATCTCCCCCACAATTTCCGGCACCGGACTGAAACCAGTGGTCGAGACCAGATCGTTTATACCGAGCTGCTGTCTTTGGAGTCCATAGTAGCCTTGTCCCAACCTTCCTGCGAGCGGTGTTTGCGCAAACCCCACCTCTTAAATGCTTTCCAGGCTTCAATGGTTAAAATGTACAGCAGAAGACAGCCAAAGATGATTCCCCATTCATAAGTTATGGCCGAATGCTTGAAGACAATCGAATTAACCGAAGGGATGTAGATCAAAGGGAATACCAGGAGAAATCCGGAAACACAAGCCCAGAACAAGAACTTGTTATTGTAGATGGTTGGGAAAACTGAAAAGATCTTCGCGGCGCGGCCATCCGGACGTTGGCGTCCTCCGAGATACATGTTGAACAAAGATGCATTCATATCCTTAACCTCCCAAGCTGTGACGAGGAGGGCATAGCTGAGGAAGGCAAAGGTGGTGGCTCGGGCACGGAATACCACGTCGCAAGTTTCGTTGTAGTCCTGGTTGCATTCCAATCCGAGATCGCCGCCGCCAGTGCCGTAGACGACAGATACAAAGGCCACTAGGCACAATGAACCCATGGTAACTCCATACACCATCTTATCCAGGATCAGTTGCTTGGTGAACACCCCGACTCGCATCGATCGTGGGGGCCGGTTCATGATGTCGACTACTCCAGGCTCGAGACCAAGACCGAGTGCCAGTGGAGACGATGTCACCAAGTTGGCCCATAAGATCTCAATCGGTGAAAGCGGAAACACCGAGACATTGGAGGCATCCTTGAACGAAAGACCGATCATGAGCAGGACAACTTGCGCAATATTGGAGGTCAGAAGGTGAAGTAAGAACTGGTCCAGAGTAAGTCAGCAAGCCCAGCTCATCGGTGATTATCAGAACGTACCTTTTGAATATTGTCAAACAATCTTCGGCCTTCTTGAATGGCGCGCACGATGGAGGCGAAGTTGTCATCAGCTAAAACCATGTCGGCTGCTTGTTTAGCGACATCACTGCCGTTCAGCCCCATAGCGATACCAATATCGGCGAGTTTCAGGGCTGGCGAATCATTGATGCCATCACCAGTCATGATACAGAAGGCTCCTCGTCGGTGTAAGGCTTTTACCATGTTGACCTTGGTTGCGGGAGAGCAGCGGGCGATGACCAAGGGGAGCTTTTCCAGACGGTCTAGCTCAGCCTCAGACATCCGATCAAAGTCCTGTGCGGGCATGATTTCTCGTTGGCCCGACTGAGTAGGCATACTCAACAAACTAACATCAACAATGCCCACTTCAGCCGCGATAGCTGTTGCCGTTCGGATATGGTCACCAGTGAGCATATGGACCGTGATTCCAGCTTGACGACAAGTGCGAACAGCTTCAGCAGTCTCGGCTCGTGGAGGATCGTAAAGACCAATCAATCCAGCAAAGGTGAGGTCTGACTCGGCTGAGCTTCGCTCAGAAAATTGCATCTTGTCACCGGACTGTACAACCTTAGACGCTAGACAGAGCACTCGGAGGCCTTCTCCAGCCATTCGCTCTGCGTCTTCGGCAATACGAGTCTTCTCATCCTCAGAGCAGGTCATGATAGGCAACAGTGCTTCGGTTGCTCCCTTGGTGAACACATCGATTTCACCATCCCTATCACTGGTGTAGACCATGGACATTCTCTTGATGCTAGAGTCGAACGCGAACTCGGAGACCAGGGTACGGTTGCGTAAAGCAATTGCCTCTGACTTGCCATGGTTGAAACGCATGGCAAAGACATGAAGTGCGATCTCGGTGGGCTCCCCAATTGCGGTCCAGTTGCCCCTGCCGGTGACGGCTTGATTTCCTGCTCCAGATTCAGACCTAGCGAGGTTCTGAATGGTTGAGATATTGCAGAGAGAGATAATGTCGAGAAATCGATCCAAGGCAGTTTGGCCACCCAGTACAGTCTGGCTTTTGGGGGCGAGTTCAGTCTCCACATGGCCACTACCAGGATCAAACGGATTCGTTGTGTCGTGGACTATCAGGGTTTCTCCTTGGTGAACCAATGCTCTTCGGACAATCATCTTGCCCTGAGTAAGGGTTCCAGTTTTGTCAGAGCATATATTGGTTACACCCCCAACAGCCTCCAATGAAGCCAACTTGCGAATGACGATGTTGCTCTTTGCCATGGCTTTGGTACCAACTGCGATGGTGAGTGTCAAAACGGCGATCAAACTTTCCGGGATGACGGCCACTGCGACACAGATACCATAGATAAGGACTTCTCCTTCAACATCCCAGAGATTGGCCGAGAACACAATAATCGCCAGGAGGATAGCAAGGCCAAACAGGAGAAGAGCGAATTTGCTGAGCTTGACTTGGAGAGGGCTACCGACCAGACCCAAGGCGTGCTTGACACCGCCCCAAAGTCGTCCGACGAAATATCTGAAGGATGAAGTTGCCGTCTTTGTGTATTTCTTGTCTTGCAACAAAGCCGCGATCTTACCAACCTCGGTCGACATGCCGGTAGCCACCACAACTCCTGTAGCCCTTCCCCGGGTCACCATGGAAGCCGAGTACACCATGTTGGTTCGATCGCCTATCGGCATTTCAATGCTGTCGAAGGCCGAATGGTGGAACTTGGATATCGGAAGAGATTCACCGGTAAGCAAAGCCTCGTCAGTGGACAAATTGATAGACTCAATCAGTCGGAGATCTGCTGGAACCACTCCGCCAGCAGTCAATTGTACAATATCCCCGACAACAAGAGTCTCAGCCTTGACGACCTTGATTTGACTGTTCCGGACAACCTTGCATTCTGGAGTTGACAGAGCCTGGAGTGACAGAATGGTCTTTTCTGCGCGATAGTCTTGGACGAAACTGTGCTGTGTGTCAGGCTAAGAATTCAAACCAGAATGGTAGTCACGTACCCAACGACTATGTTCAGGACAATGACAAAGGTAATCACAGAGCCTTCGATATGGTCTTCTAGGCTGAAGGATAGAACCATGGTAATGAGAAGGACAAGAGTCAAACTGTTGGAGATCTGCCTCAAGAAAATTTGGAAAATGGAAACCCGTTCACTATCCTTAATCTTGTTCGGGCCATATTTCTCGAGGCGAGATGATGCTTCATTGTCGCTGAGGCCATTTCTTGAAAGGCTATGTTAGTTGGGTCTGAATTCAAGTGGCGATGTCACTCACTCCTTGACGACACCGAGTCGTTCGGTAACGACTGCAGCATCAAAGGTGTGGGCGTGGGCACAGACGTCTCGATTATTGTCGGTGTTGGCAATCAGTTTGGGGCCGGGGGCTTTCTCGTCAGGCTGGTTTTCGGGCTTGGTAGGTATTGCAGTAGCGTGCCCTCGTATAGGGGGTTCCTCTACGGATTCAGACGGCTCAAGCTGCGTCGAATCGCTGCCATTGGGGGGATTGGAGATAATAACCATTCAAGTAGAAGGCTTCGAGAAGGTGTTGATAGAACCTCGACAAGGGGGAACCTGTCGGTGGAAAATGTCGAGATCGATGAGTGTTAGATCAAGGTCTAATCCACAGCAGGATTGTGATCGATCTTGAGCACACGGCACTCGAGTCCTCGACTTATCAAGTCACGCCAGTCTGCCCTGTCTGGAAGAATCCGCCAAGATCCCCGCAGTATTGGCGGACATTGCACTGCCTCAATGCCATGGATGTTGACGTGCGGATACTGGATAAGCTCGCAGTAGCCAGCCAAGGTTTGTGCCATGGATGATCTTTCTGTGCTTGGCTATGCCAGTTCTTTGTAGCCTGGCACGCCTGGGCCATCGAAGGGGATGGGCAAGATATCAATATAAAAAAGTAGAAGTCAACCCAATCATATTGACCAGCCTCCTCTTCTCACCTTGTCTGATACTGCCAGAGAGCTCAAGTTCTATGAGAACACATCTGCTGCTTGCGTGCCAGATTCTTCGAAAGCTGACGAGAACTTGGTTGACCTCATGCCATCTTGGCAAAGCATCATTGTGGATTAGCGCTGCATATTATCTCGGTGGCCAACCAAGGAACAAATCATGATCTCTATCACTGAGGAATGTTGAAGCATGATCATCACCTTTCCATGTGACTGGTTGCAACATGCGTCAACATTTCCAAGTTCCGACGCGTCAATAGCCCTTGGCAAATTTGACATGATTGACTGCTCCCAGACCGCTATCAGCATGACTGGAGGTCCCTCCTTGTGCCTGGTACCTAAGCGAATGATTTCGAGCTTGATGAGCTATCGCGGAACTCTCTTGCAGTCACCTATTCACTGGCTGGTTTTAGTTGATTGGCCAGATGACGTGTTTTAGCGCTGAATCGCAACGCTCTCGCTAGGCGTTGCAACAATGGTTGAAGACACATTAATAAAACATTCAACAAAAATCACACACCACGTCGGGGCCATCGCCTGAGATCGTGTTCTCATTTTGGGAGGCTCCTCCCTTCAAACGAGTTCGGCAAAAGAATGATGATGGACCTACTGTGACAGAAAATCGCACAATCTGGTAAACAAGAACATACCCACACTGGATGATCACTTCGCCCAGCTTTTCTTTGGGTCATGACTCGCACTGTGAAATCTTATTGCGCCATGCCATCAACCTGCTTATCTATGGCATCATTTTAGTACCTGTTTGAATGCTGAGAGCCTATCCACCACTTGGAACAGACAATCAAGATGAGTTTCACGTGAAAGTTGCAAGCAAGAGGCCAGCTGCGCCACAGCTTACGCCACTGTCCCCTTCCGATGGTGGCGGATCGCTCTCAGGTGAATAAACGGCGACACTTTTCACCAAGCAATCATCAATATTCAGATTGTCCACTCCCAGTCTCGTTCATCTCGAGTTATGAGAACAGTGTCCACAGGGTATGTGCAGCGTGACAAGTTCATCGCCCACTGGGGTCTTACCCCTGACGGGTTTTTGCCAATGAGATCTGATTAACTAAAGCTCTCTGGCGTTTACGTATGATGCTGCTTCCTCGCTCGGTTCTCCTCGCCTCAGTCGAAGAACTGCCGAGTTGGCTAAGGGACGCAGTGTGCTTCTGATGCTGTCCTTGTGCCTGGCGCAATATTCCGCTTCGAGTCATCTTAATGTTTGTCAATCTCAGTCGGCAATTGAGGGGACAAATGGATCGCTACGATTAGCAGTCCAAAGAATGGAGAGGAGGGGTCCTTCCCCGCAAAGGCGGAATTGTTGCGATCTTTTCAACGTCAAACCCGATGCTGTCGCCGTTCTGACTCGTGTCTGAGATTGTCCGAAAAGGGTGCTGAGGGTTCAATGTCGGCTCATCTATTATTGAAATCAATCCAGCAATCTTTGTTTCATCGCGAGACGCCCATCGTCCAGCACCTTTTTCAAGAGACTAGCTGGACTTGATCAACCCCAAAGTTGAAAAGGGACACACTCGAGCCAACCATTTGAAAGTTGCTGCGATTCCCTCAAAATGATCACCTCGCACATCCAGGACCTCCATCTGGGACCAATTCTTGTCATAGTGGCCATTGTGCTCTTCCTATACTTGTTATATAACAAGTACTGCTATGGGCTGAATCACATTCCTGGGCCACTGCTCGCATGCTGCACAGACTTGTGGAGACTGCGGCAAGCCAAAAATCGAAGACCTGAGTTGGCACATATGATGTTGCATGAAAAGCATGGTTCTCTGGTCAGGATTGGACCTAATTCAGTGTCGGTGTCAGACCCTGCAGCCATACCCATCATTTATGCTCTGAACAGTGGCTTCGTCAAGTCAGACTTCTACGCTGTGCAGCAAACGCTGTCCAAAGGAACTCGGCTATTCACTTTATTTACGTCCTTGGACGAGCGATTCCACGCAAGGCTTCGACGCGCCGTCTCAAATGCGTACGCCATGAGTACCCTCGTTCAATTCGAGAAGTATATCGATTCTACAACCATCGCGTTCTTGGATCAGATGAAAGCTCGATTTGCGGATAAACCACAGTCTAGATGCAACCTGTCCGCCTGGTTACAATGGTATGCTTTTGATGTCATCGGTGAGCTCACGTTTTCCAAGCGGCTTGGCTTCATCGACGGTGGAGAAGATGTAGAAGGAGTGATACAAAGCATCGAGAATATGTTCGATTACGCCGCCGTGGTAAGATCTGACTCAAACTTGCAATGGAATCAACTGAACGACAATAGGTTGGACAAATCCCATTTCTGGACAACATTTTCCTCAAAAATCCCGTCCGCATTATGCTCAGCAAGTACGGCTTGATCAATGCCAACACTTTCATGGTCGATTTTGCTCGGAAGCGCCTAGCTGAACGTGCAGATCTGCAGAATACTGATACAGAGGAAGCGATGAAAAGGAGGTCATACGTGCGCAACGATTTTCTCTCACGGTTTCTCAGTGCGCAGGAGAAGGACCCTGACTTCATCACCAGTGATAGGGTGCTAGCTCTTACAGTTGCAAATATCTTCGCCGGGTCCGACACAACGGCAATCTCTCTGAGAGCCGTATTTTACTTCCTCCTAAAGAACCCATCCACCATGCAAGAACTCATGGCCGAATTGTGGGAGCAGAAAAGACTTGGCCACTTCAAACGCTCCGATGGCCTGGTTGACTGGGACGAAGCTCGAGATCTCCCCTACCTTGGTGCGGTCATCAAAGAGGCTTTACGATGTCATCCTGCCGTGGGGTTGACATTGGAACGCATCGTACCACCTCAAGGCGTTGTAGTCTGTGGTCAATTCATCCCTGGAGGGACCATCATTGGTTGCAGCGCGTGGACAGTTCATCGCGATGCAAAGACATTCGGAGAATTTCCAGAGGAGTTCAGACCCTCTCGTTGGATACATGCCTCCAAAGAGCAGAAGCGCATCATGGACAACTCGCTATTCGCGTTTGGAGCAGGGTCGCGAACTTGCATTGGGAAAAATATCAGTCTTCTGGAAATGTACAAGTTCATCCCGTCGCTGCTGATGGCTTTTGAGTTATCTTTGGCAGACCCGTCTGGCGAGTGGACTCTTCACAATGCCTGGTTCGTCAAACAGACAGATTTTGATGTTGAATTGCGATTGCGGAAAAGAGACGGAATTGAATTGAATTAAACGCATTGTTGTGGCAGTTCGGCATAGATTCTGGTCAATGTCGACCACTCTGTTGGCTTGCTTCTCATCCCCGAGGATCCAACTTCAAGCTCAGAGCAAGAGAAATGCTAGCACTCACTCATGCTTCTTGCCTCCTATCAATCGACTCACGGCAGGGAAGCGATGAATCCACTGCGGAGCACCATCCACTGCTGCATCCACCAGCCATTTGCCCAGCTGCCCTCGTCTCTGCACAAAGGAGTACCCCGGTTCCCCAACGTAGCCAGTAAATATCTCACCCTCTCGATCCTTGCGCCAGCTCTTCTCATCATGCCCCCCAGGAATCAGTCCCAGACGAAATGCTGTCCAGTCAATGTCTTTACTCTGTTCTTGGTCCTCAAATAGGTGCTGCATGCTATACATGTTCTTCTGGGCCATTCCAGCCACGAGCCAGACTCCGAAAGCCAGCAACCAGCGAAGAATGGACGGCTTGTCTTCAGGCCGGTAAACCGAAACGGTACTCATAGCGAATATCCGCTTGACGCCATGTTTGCGCATGAGTGGGAAAACAAACTGAGCGTAGATGTTGGCGTACGTGTCTGGCTTAAGGCCTCTGATGGAGCTGACGTTGGGCCCGAGGAGAGATATAATGACGGAGCACTGAGAGATCGCACTGGAGAGTTTGGCTTCGTCAGCAGTGGAGAAGCCACCTTGGATAACCTGAGATCGAATCAGCAATGTTACAAACCCAAGCATGTCGATGCTTCTTTTCGTTGGCTCGCACCTCGATGTATGGACTTTGACTAATTTCCGTGGGTATTTTAGATACTGTTCGAGCGTAAACCACGGTTGGGAGTTTCCGATACTCTAATTCGCGGAGAACGTTGATACCACTTGGGCCTGTCGCTCCGAGAACTAGAATTTTGGATCCTGCCATTTTGACTTGAAGTATTGGTGACCTAGAAAATGGCGAAGTCAAAGGATGCCAGGACGGCGTCTATATATATATTCCATGATATTCGTCCAAGGATGCCCCATCCTGCACCAACAGACCCTATCTAGTTCGGCAAGTAAGATTGATGAATTGTGCCTTTCGCGAGCGGTGGCGCTGTCAATAACCATGTTTATAAGCACCGCCCACAGTCCAAGCGATGGTGCTACACAAACCATCCAATGAAAGTTCGAACGCCGAGAGAAAAAGCCGCGCGCGATTCCTCCCGCGCGGGAATTCAACCTACTTGGCCACACCACATTAGGCCAGTACTTCCCACCCTCACATCTCCTGCGCACCTTTCGTCCTTTAATTCAGTGATGCCTGCCTGATCGGCCATGACATCAAAATTGGAAAAGACGCGCGGGTGTTGGACATGCCGTGCGCGGCGGAAGAAATGCCATGGCGAAAATCCCTGTCATGATTGCAAGACACTTGGCATCGACTGCTGCTTTCAAATCAATAAGCCAGAGTGGATGGACCATGGGCCAAATCAACTTAAGAAGGTCGAAGAGATCAAGGTCCAGATCAAACGAAATGCAAAACAGCGCCGTACGCAACAAAAACTGCAGACGCTCACCCAAAGACTGCGAGATGGGCAAGCATCCGGGGTCGCGAATCAGGCCGAGTCGGACCAGGTTCAGCTTTCTGCTGAAACTTCAAAGTCTGGCGATACAACCAGCAGATCTCATAGTCACGAGTTGGATGTTTCACCAGACGGATATTCCAGTACACCCCCCGTTGAGACGCCGAGCATCTCCCATGACTGCGATTCCGACCAGGTGGCACAATCGACCGATATTCTCGACCATGTCATGCTAATGGCCTTTTTGGATTACCTGTTCCCAGTCATGTACCCATTCTATAGAACTACAATGACTGTAGGCGGACGTGCCTGGATCTTGCATACTATACTAAGCAACAGATGCCTTCGGCATAGCATTCTTGCCCTTTCCTCACAGCAACTAGCTCAAGTCCAGGAGAAACCGGGCTCGTCAACTCAACTTTGTGGTGCACTGAACACCAGTCTACTGCACCAGCAGACACAGGCAGCTCTGCAGACAGCTCAGGCTAGTCTGCAGGCCGTGCGAAGCAAAGGGGGCAACACCACCGTTTTTGACAGCTCACACATGCTGAGCACTATCGTCCAGCTCATGACGGTGGAATTGCCCCTGGGCACCAACAACTGGACGCTTCATCTTGATGCAGCAACCTCACTGTTCCGACAAATGCTCCACAGCACTTACTTAAGCAACAATCCGGTTGATGCATTCGCCGCAATTATCCGTGAGCTCGGCTCTGGGGCAATCATTCCAGGCACCGATCCACCATTGCTGACGCCCAATCAGGCATGCTTTCGATTCTATGCCACAAAGCTGATATTCTCAGACTGTATCGCAGGGACGTCTCTGGAGCAAGAGCCCCACCTTCATCAGTATTCCTCAGAGCTTCTCAAAACCGATGTGAATCTTGCGCAGTTTGTTCAGATCAATGTCGCTGAGGTGTTTGGAGTGCAGAATGAGACACTTCTCCTCATATCTGCAACTGCATCACTCGCCGCATGGAAGAAAGCTGAAGAGGAAAGACAACGGCTCTGTGTGGCCGAGCTGGTCAGCAGAGCCAGTGAACTCGAAGTGAGACTTGAGAAACACATCCATGATCTAGAAACTTCTGTCTCAGAACCAAACTACCGGCGGAGCATACCACTTGATCTCCTGGCCGGCCGCTCCCCGGTCTCCAAACATACTGCTAGCACTGTCAGTCGCATCTGGGCTCTAGCCACAAAGTCATATCTCTTCGTCACAGCTTCTGGACTTCAGTTACATCATCCTCTCTTGCAGACCTCCGTCTCACAGACCATAAGCCTGCTCGAGACATTGGCCAACAAAGATGATGCTCAGGTGCCAGCATGGCTGAGAGCCCTATCTTGGCCTATATGTGTAACGGGGCTTCTAGTAACATCTTCAATCGAAAAGCACTTCCTGAAGAAGCTGTTCCACATTATGGAACCATGTACGGCACTTGGGACTGTACCAAGATTGAGAGACATCATCCAAAGAGCGTGGCACCGAGCTGAAATGTGTGATCAATATGATCCATTTGAGAGATCTACTTTGGGTACGCATATGCGTCGAGCCCTTTTCATCTGAGCATCATCATGAACCGATTTAGTTAGGTTTTGCATCAACAATCTCAGCAGGATCACATATGCTCGATATAGTGCTGGGGAGATGCGATTTGGCTACTCATTCGAGATGCAGGTCCAACTCTAAAGAACCCCATTCCACTATGCCATGTTCTAAATTACATTGCGCCACAGTGCCCGCCCTGATCAAACGCCGAATCAGAATCTAGGGAGATGTTTGCGTCATTACAATTCATCAAACGAATACAAATGTGCCCATCAGACCCCAATCTTGACGCTCTGGGCCTCCGCCTTCTCTGCCTCCCCGCCATTGGTTTTCGGGTTTTTGACGAGCAATCCCTGCTCGGTCTCCAGGGCCACATTCAAACTATACCGCTTGATGAACAAGCTGGAGATAGTGCTAACGCCAGCGACGGCAGTGAGGACAATGTAGACAGTCCTCAAACTATCGGTGTAGGCCTGCTGCAGCTCAAATTTGCCGTCGGCCATGGAAGTATGCTGAATCACCTCAACCAGAGCGGCGGCATCTCGCGCCAGCTCGTTTGCTTGGTCCGCCCATATAGGATAAGCTCTCAGATTGCTGGCCATCTCGTTTTGGAAAATGACCCCTCCGATGGCCACACCCAATGCTTGGCCAAAGCACCTGAAGAAAACAAACAAGGCGACTGCGAAGGCCATATCCTTATTGGTCGAGGCAGCTTGAAGCTGGAACTGCAAAGCAGGGAACAAGATCCCCATGCCGATCCCACCGACCAGGCAAATGAAAATCCATTGTTGAATCTTCGTGTCGACGTCGAGGATCACCAAGAGACCCAGACCTAAAGTGGTGAGAGCCCAACCCAACCAGATGGCCCAGCGGTAACGTCCAGTCTTGGTGATCAGGATGCCCGTCACCACAGACATGGGGGCGACGGTAAAGGTGGAAGGGAAGAGTGCCACGCCGGCAATTACTGGCCTGTATCCTTTAACAGCTTCAAAATAAAGAGGTTGGTAATACAGGAGACACCAAAGTATCAGGCCATGCATGGCGGTGGCGAAATACGCCAGATTGGTAGTCCTGTTGGCGAAGACAGACAGTCTGAGCAATGGCTCGACAGCGAGATGTTTTTCGTAGAAGCAGAAAACCACAAGACCAACCACGCCGATGAGAAGAGGTACCAGGGTACGCCAACTGGACCACGGATACATGATTCCTCCCCAAGTCAGAGGGATGAGGAAGCTGGTCATGGAGCCCACAAAGATGACTGTACCAAGCCAATCTACTCTCCTGAGCTTGGCTGCAATACTCTGTGGAATGACGTTGAGACGCAGAAAGAGGGGTATCATGATGCCGCCGATGCCTATGAACGGCAGATTGATCCAGAATATCCAACGCCATTGAACACCGGCGAAGGCGCCGCCTATGATGGGCCCAGACACTGAACCAAGCGCCCACATTCCTGCAATGATACCCGCCCACTGCCCTCGATAGCGAAGTGGGACTAGATCGGTGATGACGATCTCGGTCATGACCATGATGCCTGTTGATAAGCACAAGGATTCAGTATCTGAAAGAAAACGAGCGCGGCGCAGCCCTCCATGTTTGTGAGGAACACTTACCTCCGCCTCCGATACCTTGCAGGGAGCGACCAGTCAGGAGAATGGTGAAGTTGTTTGCCAGAGCGGCCATCATGACACCGATGAAGAAGAAGACCAGGCTGACCATGACGACGGGCATTCTTCCGAAGATGTGGCTGAATGATGCAATGTTAGGCTGGAAAACTGTCGAGGCCAACAGGAAGGATGTGCCGGCCCAGAACGCCTCGATCGCAGAACCCTGTAATTTTCGAGCGATGATGGGCAGAGCCACTGAGATGGAGGTCCCATCCAGCGCAACCATGAGCGTCAGAACTGCCAAAGCGGCAAACGCCATAATAAACTGCATCGAGGGTTTGAACTCTACAGTGGGTGAGGTTTCCTCCTTGGTGTCCCTATTGGACGACGCCGACGAGGAATTCTGTGTCTCATCCTGCTGTGCGGGTAGCGGACTTTGATCCGACTCTTGCAGTGTAGTCATGTTGGGCTGTTCTGGTTGAGCTCTAGGGAAATGAGGGTTCGGGGAATGAATGGGCCCTCGTATCTCCCAACTTTCAACTGTTGAAGGTGGGGTGAACAAGCGAAGCTGGGTGACAGTGATCGGAGGAGCTGAGAAGAGCAAATGAATTCGTTTATCAATATTTTCTATTTTGCTACACAAATAACAAGATCAAGACAGCCTAAAACGCGCTCGTCGGAGCAATACGAAGCCATCAAAAAGCTTTGTCGTACGTGCTTAGTTCCGATTTCATACCGACTCTGGGCCATTATTGTACGGAGTAGTGGGCCGTGGGGTGATCTCTACGAGGCTATACAATGGAGCCTCGACCCTCTAGGCTTGATACAGCGGCGCAGAGTTGTCCCGACTCCGATCCACAGGGACGAGATCAGGACAACACATGGATGAGGCGCTAAGACGATAACATAAGTCTTGTTTCACCACCGGAATCTCGACACCTCCCACCTGCACCTCCACGTGACTTGGTTCATCTTCGGGTCAGTGTCGCCTTGGCCACCTTACCCTGCGTATGACAAGGGGAGGTGACCTAAGTTTCTTCCCCCCTTCCAGACTGTCCAAAATCAAAACGAGGGCCCAAAGAAAGGCCCCAGGGTCTTTCTGTAGCATTGCCTACCCTATACTTCTGGCTTATTACAGTTCCCATAAATGGGCCCATGGTCTTCCCGACTTCTTTATGGCGTTCTCTTCCTTCCTACCCACTTGTTACGAACTAACCTTCATGCGACTTTGCCAGACTCTCAGGAAAGGCAACAATGTTGTTGACCCTTAACCCTAGTGTAGTAATGGAAATGTAAAGACTGTTGGAGATGAGTTAGGTAAGAGTTGTAGAGAGGAGAGAGTTCCCTGAGGCGGGAGATCTCTACTCCGTAGTAGTCCTGCCGAGCCAAATGAAGGAAGGTGCACATAGAGCAAAAAGCCTACACAAGCAAAAATTCACAAAAAAGAACTTGTCGTCTGTGTGGATTGAACACACGACCTTCAGATTTATCGACTGAGTTAGGCTTCAGTCTCTGTTTGTGCGAGTTAGAGATCATGTTTTGAATGAGATGGTTGGCAATGACATACGACGCTCTCCCAACTGAGCTAAGACGACCAATTGTTGGGAACAAATTGCTCATTATAAAATAATAACTACACAATTATTCCCCCCATCCGGCGCCAAGGAGCTAACGCCCGGAGTTACCTAGCCTCCCTTACCTTAGCTTGCCGTACCACACCAAAGATCCAAAACCATCACGCTATGCTCGACCGTGTGTATGAGAAGGCACAAGATTTACATTAGTATTCACGCCGTGGCAAATGTTTTGTAAGGTCATAAAAGCGACGGTCGGCCGTGTTTAGGGCAGGTCTTCCCTCGCGAAGCGGGTGATAATATAACAAAGGGAAGGGCTTTGAGCGAGCACATCAACAACATGAGCACGCACAAGACTAAAGGTGGTGTAACAGCGATGCAATTGTGGTCTGGACTTCTGCAACATGGAAACACCATGGGTAGGCAGCTAAATTTCAAGGACTTCCTATCTCTCGCAAGTAGTAGCCATGTTGACCTTTGTGGCATGATGCTTGCACCCGATGCTTGCACCCGAGAGACGGAAGAACCGAAGGGTAATTGAGGCCAGCAGTGTTTCTCAATGAGTCTGTTGACTACTAACCTTCCACTAAGCTCCCTTTAATACTCAGCCTTCCGCCAGCCTCTTGAGTATTGGGGGATTGTTTTGCCAAACCGTAGCTTTGCACTCACAGCCAAATGTTGTCGAGATTCGAAGTCGCTCTAGGTGGATAGAAGGACAGAACAAGAATCAATGCCCATCTGCAACAAATAGCGACTCCAAAGGGGTCCTACTCATCTGCATCCGGCCCGCTAACCGTGGTGCCGCCTCGCAGCAATGCTGCTTTTCGATGTTGACGTAAGGCTCTCATTCGTATCTTTGCCTTTTCATTTAGGTCGACTTTGTTTCGCTCCTGGTATGCCTGATTTTTGGCTTGCTTCTCCTCCTTGTTGGCCTCATAGTATGCTTTGTGATAGTCTGACCGAGTGTGGCTGCTCCCTAGTTGCGAGAATTTTGCTCTTCGAGTCGTACCACCCGCGACGTCAATTTCGAGGGACGCACCATTCCGATATGTGGAGACAATTCAGAGCTAAACAGCCAAGCTGCCAGGGCATCTGCATCTGGTTCGTTGGCGAGATCGGCCATTAGCCCGAAAGTTGACAGGGAGATTTACAGAAGGTCTGAAGTGCCCCCAGATACCTTCTTCTTATGGAGAACGTGGGCGACCTCACCTGGAATGGCCCGCACTTTTTCTGAAGGCGGAGGAACTATTCCACCGTCTGAAGTCATGACTGTTTTCGCACCCGTTCTTCTTTTCCCCCGAGTCAGGTGCCCTCTGGTCTTGGCGAATTGCTTCTCTTGTCGCAGGTCTCAGACGGTGCTAGCAATTCCCTACACCATCATATCATGCGTGTTCTACTGTTTCTTGACATGTAGATGCATTGTTTTACGCGAGTGACATGGAAAAATCGATGTGGAAGATAAACGCCTGTATATTGTTTGCTTCGCCTTGCCTTGCTGTGGAGGATGCAGGTGTACGACTCAGGCACCTTGGCAAGCACAGCATGATGACATCTCTTCTACATAATCACCCCGACCATGACGTTCGACCATAAGAGACCATCTTAAAACCATACTAGCTGGGTGAACAATCAAAGTTGGCAGCTGTTGGTGGGTTGTCGTCCCTCTTTTTCGAGTACTTCTTGCGGAGCGCTGCTTTGTCAATAGGGCGTGACTGTGAACTGGTATTGGTAGGCTTAGGCTCGGGATTCGGGGATTGAGATGTCTTTCGGAGTGATTCTTCGCCGCGTTGGATGGCACCATCTTCTGAATGCGGCTGTCTCTTCTCCTTGCGCCTCTTAGCCTCAACCTGTTGATACTCTTCTCCTGCTTCGGAGGTCGTCACCCGGAAGGCTTGTTGAGTGGGGTCATCGATTTTCTCGCGGAAACACATCTTATGTGACGAGAAGCCACGAAGGAACGCTCTGACAAGGATGATACTGTAACTGTCGTGAAAGAAGATCGGAAAGTGATTCTGCGAGACTATAACAGATAGAAATTGTGCCTTCTAGGATGGATTCTTCCTAGGTTATTCAATAAGCCAGAAGCAAATGCTACTGCGTTGTAGCACATTTATGAAATAAACACAGAGATCGACTAGACAGTCCTTTCGTGTTGATGAATACGATGTCATTCCCCGTACGTCGAAGATCACGAGGGCCCTCGCCTGTCTTCGCGTAGTCCCAACGACAAGGATTCTTGCCAAGATGGGATAAGAATAGATGAGGGGTTGGCATCTAGGGTAAAAGGTCATGACGCCATTCTCTTTGACTGGGGTACTCCTTCGCTAGACAGGAGCCTCGTAACGGCAGCTTTGTCACACACGAGGCCACCCGGGGTATAACTAGGGTAACAATGGTCTGAGTGAGTCATTCCACCCATCTCCTACAACCTCGTGTGTTGAAGTGCGGATCCCTAATATAGCAACTCTCCTCTCATAACGGGTCTCGATTGGCCAGAGAGGATGATGGTCTTGATGGCTTTGCCATCCTCCGAGAGATGCACCTCAGACCCAATTATACTGCGTCTTCCCATCTCTACGCCTTGTTCTAGTTCGAACTTATAAGGCGTTGACGGGTCACCTTTCTGCAAGGCAAGATACGCCGTCAATGCTGCGCTCGCAGAGCCGGTGGCAGGGTCTTCTAATCCGAGACCAATCATTCTCTGTTGGATACGGATGACTCCGTCTCCTTGGTCGGGTTTGTAAATATAGAACAAATCAGCAGTCAAGCCATCTTTCCAGCCGTCGTCCAGATCCGAGTGCGAGGGAATGTCATTCTTGGTAACTTGGACATTGCGGAGCAATTCTGGCTGTGCAGAGAGATTCAACAGGCCAAAGGTAACGCCTTTGACGATCGAGGCCACTGGAATCGTGCTGTGTTCGAACTCGGCCGACTTGAGCCCAGGCTGAGCGTCCACAACTCTTTTCCAAGGCACTTGTGCTGCATGTAGGCGAAAGTCATGTGGGATTTCAGCTGCAGCGCTCGCAAGATGGCGATCATATAATGCTTTGACTTGCCCGGCTTTCAGATTGATTGTTGCATTATTTCTGGTCGTTTCTAGGTTTTCAAAAATGTAACAGGCGGTTCCAATGGTTGGGTGTCCTGCAAAGGGAATTTCTGCTTCGGGGGTGAAGATATCGGCTTTGTACGTGGCGTCTGCGTCTTGGGGTGTAGGTTGGTGAAGAAAGACGGTCTCGGAGAAGTTGAATTCGATTGCGATACTTTGTTTCTCTGACTGTGTCAGAACAACATCCTGTGGTACATGGACGATCGCCAGTTGATTGCCCTTGAACGGTTGGTCTGTAAACACGTCACTAGTATTATACTGCAGTGTGCGCCCCATCTTGTTGGCTCAACAGGACAAATTAGTATGCAGAGAACCTGGGATTAAGCGAAATCCAACAACAGTCTCTGAACAAGACGAGTATGATGTGAAAAGAGATGGTGCCTACCAATGGCCAACAAGCTCTGAATGAAAGTTATCATGGAAAGAATATATAAACAGAATGAAGTGTTGACCGTACATGAGTCACAATGATGGAGTAAACAACGACTCTCAAGTGCCAGACAGGTCATCAAATTCTGCACCAGTACTTAGAGTTAACACTTGAAACTCCAAGACAATCGGCCAGAGCCACCCCGACATTCGGATCCCAAGACCCCGAATCTTGTGGTGTGATGAGGGGCAACACGGTGAATCTGCCCTTAGTCATGGATATTGACCTCCATGTCAGCATCTCGAACGATTGTTTCTCGCCCATGAAACGCCCATGAACACTCCTACAACGGGTTGACCCTGCTCCTGGGTCATCAGAACTCATAATAGCGACATGTCATATACAGGGCGGATTGCCATAATAGCGGGTGGAATAGGCATGATCTACTCCAATATCTTTAACAAGACACGCTAACAATTAGAGCAGGTGGGCTTGGTTCAACTACTGCCGTCAAACTTCGAGACAACGGGGCTCATGTGGCCTTGTTATATGCGCCATTTGAAGCCTCGCGGGTCAAGCAGACATTGGAGACTGTCTTCGGAAATGATTCTCCAGAAAGAGTATCAACCCACGAATGCGACATCACCTCGGAGCCGTCGGTAGCGGCAGTCTTCGATAGTATATCGCAGATTGAAGGATATCCGTGCATTCTTGTCAATGCAGCAGGCTATGTATCAGTGCAGCCGCTTGAAGAGACATCAGCCGAGGAAGCTTTGAAGAACTTTTTGCCTAATTTGCTTGGTCCTTTCATTACAAGCAATGCATTCTTCCGTCTCTATCAAGCCTCAGCACTGAGGTTAGGCGCAGAAAAGCCACCACCGGGTAGGATCGTCAGTATTTCGTCACAGGCTGCACATGTTGCACTGGATGGGCATGGGGCATACTGTGCGTCTAAAGCTGGGCTCTTGGGCCATACTCGATGTATGGCAAGTGAATGGGGTCCAAAGGGGATTACCGCCAACACCGTCAGTCCAACAGTGACTTGGACACCTCTTGCAGCCAAAGCGTGGGCCGACGAGGACAAGAAACAGAAACACTTGTCTCAGATCCCTACTGGGCGTTTCAGCGAGCCGTCCGAGGTGGCACATGCAATTGAATTCTTGTGTCGAGACGAGAGCGGCATGATTAATGGAGCAGATGTTCGTGTGGATGGAGGATTTACGATTAGCAGATAGAGCGATGTCACAGTATGGCAACATAACAACCTAATGCACTCCATTGGAAAGGCTTCATTTCCTAACACTACACCATATAGTCCTATCTCTTCCACAACTTCAATCTCAGCTTCATGCATCTACTCTGTATGTCTCTACCATGATTTGCCCAAACAAAAGTCCACTTGAAATATCCACTGACGTCATATTGGCAACTGCCCCGCGACTGCCATTCCTTCCTTCTTTACGGAGTAGTGTTTGGGAAGATGGGGAAAGTGCACAATCCAATCGGTTGGGTGACTTCCTTCCCATATTTGGCCAAGAAGAGTCGCGCCTACCGAGCCTAGATCTTGAGAGAGGAGGCTACACATCAGCTTTCTCGTATTCAACCTCACCTGGTCAATGTTAAGCTCGCTGGTGTAGCGACTAAGCAACGCCAGCGGCGCACTCTATACGAAGGCTATGCCTCACTTTCCTTGGAATCGACAGCTGAGAATCTGGTAGGGGGAAGGAGACAAGTCATGGTATTGGCTAAACAACAACCCGTCAAAACCCAAACATAAACGGCGTGACGATTAACTTGTATATGCTACGGTTTGTCTACCAGACAGTTCAATTTCTCCGCACTCTCGATCTGGCTCGCTCGTGTTCCGAGCCTGAAACTTTTCGAGCTGAAGCTGAGCTTTCCAAGGCAAGAGAAGAAGAAGAATTCAGGACCACGCTCATAAACATGGCCATCTCTGCTGTGATACTGGCAGTATTCTGTCCTCAAGCACTCACTAACATACCAGTACGGCGCAAAGATGAAATCTACTACAATTATTGCTACACTGTTCCTGCCTGTCGTTGGCCTTGTTCAGCAAGCCTTTGCCCAGAATAGCAGTTCGAGAGTCCACGTTCAGGCTGGCCAATCGATCCAGAAAGCGATTGACGCTGCTGAACCTGGCAGTCATATCGTCGTCGAGGCAGGCACATATACCGAACAGCTGACCATCACCAATGATGGCACTCTCCTCATCGGCCTGGGCGCAATCCTCGTTCCCCCAAGCAACATGACCAACAACACCTGCTCAGGCCTCGCTGGGCCAGACACGGAAGCGGGGATTTGCATTACTGGCGCTGACATAGAACTCGCTGATTTCGTGGTGGAGCATCGCAAGGTCATGTCGGTTGGAACTCCTGTCAAGGATGTCCTGGTGACCGGCTTTGAAGTGCACAACTTCACGGGTCAGAATATTGCCGTTGTTGGGGGCGACGGAGTGCTGATCACAGGAAACACCCTTCACAATGGTGACTCATACGGCGCCTTGACAGTCGGATCCAACAATACCATAATTGATGGGAACACTGTTGAATCAGCCGACGTCCTTAGATTCATCGGTATTTGCATGGACGACAAGGGTGACACCTGGGTGTCGGACAACCAAATCAGTGGCTATTATATTGGACTATGTTGCCAGACAGCAAATGCCAGAGTATTTGGGAATAACGTCACCAATAGCTGTGTCGGCGCCTTCGTTGATCCTGGGGTCAAAGGGGTTCACTTATTCAATAACTCCGTTGCCCAACCAAACCCCAACTGCACCGCGGAAGCTGGAACAGCAGGAATCGTTGTTGGCGGTGGCATCAATTCAACAATTGAATTCAATGAGGTTGAGGGTATGAAAACAGTCAACAAAACCGGCGCAGGCATTGCAATTATCGATTTTCCGAGCGGCGACACTGTTGCCATCCCCACCGACAATCGTGTTATTCACAACTTTGCGCATGACAATGACTACGACTTGGCCCTCGTCTCCAACGGGACAGGAAACGTTTTCCAAGACAATGACTGTGATACACCTGCAGAGCTCTGCAGCCCGAGTTAGTGCAGCGGAGGAGGGAAGTAACAGTTAGCGCAATTCATTGTAGCTTTGTACTCTCCATCCCTGTTCTCGTCAGTAGTGTGTTGCTGAAGAAGTCTGTGGCAGATATCATTGATTATGCCCACAATACAAGCATTGCAATTAAGCTTTCAAAAATACTACATCCCTCTCCTCTCCCCTCTTGACCTTGAGAGTGACTTCGAAGCCATCGCCAGATTGCAGGTCCTTTGTGGAGACCAATTCACCATCAACGTACAGACCCCAGTGCCCCGAGTCCAGGTTTCGGGCGATTGGGTTGATAGTGACACTATCGTCACAGCCCTTTCCAGAGTAGTCCCAACCCTTGACGGTCAAGACGAGGGCATTCAGCTCAGAATCCCACTGTCCACGAAGCACGCTGACCCCAGTTCCAGGGTTTACAAAGTCGAGGTTGTCGATCCAAGGGGTGCTCTTCAGCTGCTCACTAGACCAAGGATGTTCATACATAATCTTCTGGCCATCTTTGACGTTGAGACGGCCGTAGCCAATGGCAGCGTTGCCTGTGTATGGGCTCATGAAGGTCCACCTGATTGAGTCGTCCTCGTTGAGGTCATACGGATGGTCATTACGGCGATAGTACAAGCCACCGTTTTCCCACTCCGGATGTAGATTATGATCGGCGTATGAGAGAAGCTCATTGAGCTCGACGGTCTTGCCCAGCTCCGACAACCACTGCACCACATAGCCAAAGGACGGTTTATTGTAGGGGAAGCCCTTCTTGTTGCGGGCAGCAAGTTCCGCTTTGGTCAACTTGACTGCCTGCGACAGAATCTCCGGCTCGTCTTCTGGTGAAGGTTTGTCTTGAATCTGCTTTTCTGCCAGTATGGCCCGATAGTGTTTGGCCACGATGGGTGGTTGTAGATTGATGTGGCCGGACGCTGTCCTGGTCAAGAATCCAGTGGTCTGTTTCTCATACAGTGCCTCCACAAGTTTCGGGTTCCAGCTATGCATGAATGCCCCAGTCCTGTATCATGATGCATACGTATAGGTTAGTTGTCATGTCTGGCACTTATCGTGGAAGTATGAGTCTAGGATCGATCTTACCAGGCTGTCCATGCTACTTCGGTGGTTTCAACAACATGATCCTGCCTCACCATCCACCAATCCACGAACCGGCCGTCCTGTTGCGAGAAGCCGTTCTTCTTCTCCCATGCGGCCACATACTTGGGCATGATTTCTCCTGCGACGTTCGTCCCGTGACGGATGTCGTTGTAGCGAATGGCGATGAGCTGGTGCATGGTCAGCAGGTCTTGACGACAGTGGGCATGGGTTATTGGGGAGCTGAACTGACGGGAAACTGATTGCAGATAATAAAGACAACGTTCGGCTCACAGCAGACGCCAACCCAGTTGTTGCTTTCCATCTCATCGAGAATGACCTTCTGCAGGGTTTGTGTGCTGTATGTGAAGTTTTCAGGGCCGAATCCAAAAAAGACTGGGTCCCATTTGAAGACAATCGAGTCTTCCTTTTCAAACTCGTCCTCATCGAACAGCATAGCATAGAGACTGAGCATGAGTAGAAGATGTCCACTGTACATGATATTTTCCTTGACCACAGGATCGGCCCATGGCTTGCGGAGTTCTTTGAGCGAGGGATCGGTGACGACGTTGCCGTGGGAGGTGAGGAACCAGTAACCCCAGACATCACGACGGAGCATTTTCTGGATCAATTGACGGATGAGAGGCTTGAAGATGGTGCGTAGGGCAGGCAGACGATGATAATGTGTCAGGGATGCTGCATATACCATGGTGGCTAGCTGGTAGCGGTAGGCATCGAGAAACTCCTGGCCTGGGTCGGCCGATCCCATGAATCTCCATTCTCCATCTGGCTGGAAGGCGAGATTGTGATAATGGCGCAGATGGCCAACTTGTTCGGGGGAAAGTTTTTGATATCTTGACAAGTCAAATGATAGGGTTTTGTGGAGAGTCTCTTTCGCGCTCTCTCCCGTGACCGTGATTGTGGTCGGCAGCGTTTGAGTCACCGTCGTAGTCATTATGGACAAGTCTGTTGCTTATTTGAAGGAAGTACTGCAACTATTGACTTACGATCAGAGTCCTGGGGTCAGTGGTTTAAATCATAGAGATACAATCATAGCAAGACGGTACGTCTTCCGTATCATCATTCAGGCGTCTCGTCAATGTGGGACCATGCAGTTCTAAACGAGACGGGCGAGAAACATAACTCAATGATCAGCCGTACCATAATAACGGTTCACTTAAAATCCAGGCGCTCCAGGTCAGCACAAACTGGCGTGACTACTTAGCCTCGCTCGGGCCTCGGTAGTAGCAATTACCAGAGAGGGGTTGACGAGGCCGGCCCGCGTGGGCCGGGTGTGCACAACGTCGATATCATGGTCTTCAATACTAAAGTATCATCTGGGTCGGTGTTGTCGGCGTTAAGATATCTAGATTCGTGATAGAATCGGTGTAGCGGGTGTAGAAATGGAGGACGTGGTCCATGTTGTTGCCTTACCATTTTTTGCTAATAAGGCGTGCAATGACATCTGTAGGATTGAGCGCACGACAGGGATACATGTGGTCTGCTGTGGCGGATTCGGGGGATCAATATTGCTCCAAGGCAAGAGGTCAAGGAAGACCTAGGTTCAAACGTCGATTTGAGATCGCTATTGGGCATATGCATATCTATATATGATGTAGGTAAGGTACTTATGTACTGTAGGCATGAATTGCACCACTTTTTGGTGAGCCCATCACCCATCAGGCCACCCCGTGCCACATGTTGACAGTTCTTAGAAGTCTGAGGCGCTCCTTGACCCTCTCTGGTGCTCTGTGGCCACTCAGCCTAGGGCTGGGCGTCATTCGAGACCCATTGTGGATAAACCAAAATCCCCCCTTGGAGACTGATCAGAATCCCATGGGAAATCCCCCAATGCCACCCTTGAAATACTGGCAATCCTTCATTATCTAAGCGAGCCCTTAGGACCCATGAAGGGGATCCTGGGGGTTATTTTAATCCTCATTCATACTGTCCCCTTGACAAATTAACAAAGGACAAATCAGTCACTTGGAACCCCCGACCAGCAGCCCGGCATCGTGGTCATCATGTCCCTATCCCTATCGACTGCGTACAGGCACACAGGCAAGCCGCACGAGACTCTTACCGGGGGCAAGGATGTCCCTATTGGCGGTGGGAGTTAGACTTACTTAAGATTGCCACCAGGCATAAACTCTGTTTGTTCGAATCTTGCCCAGTCAATCGGTGGACAGATGGCTGCCGGTGCATTCGCCCACCAGCCTTCGATAGGCCTTTTCGGTCCACAAACTCCCACACAAAGGTAAACCTTGTGTCAGAGAAGCGACATCTCTCCACTGTGGTCGATGTCCTTAGCATCTTCACTGAGAGTCTTTTTAGGTGGAAATAACCGGCCTCATCCACCTGGAAGTGTCCATTGCACAAGCACGATCACACGATTCGCTCGTCCAAGCTTTGGGGCTGGCCCAGCGCGGCCTGCCGACGATCCTAGGGCCCTGCGGTGTTCGAGATCTTCTGGGTACCCCATTATTGACGCCATCAGATGCACAGTGGCACCCAACGCAACTCTGTCATCGCACTGTGGCAGTGTGCCAGTCTCGTCTCTGTTTCTGGATTGTCGATCGCACCACCACTTTGTGACATTCCCTACTTACAATTCCTGTTGTGCGCAGCAGAACCGTCCTAGAGAGCTCATATGTGATCATCTCTCTCTATATTCAGTACGTTTCTAGTCGTTCCGTCGCCGCCATCATGTCACTGTCCTTCCAGCCTCAATGAGATCCAGGTCTGCGAGTACTGGCCTCCACACAACGACGACCATCGAGGCTGGCCTAGAGGCGTCGTTTTTCAACCAGACTGTCTTGGAACTTTGCGACAAACATATGATTTGGGGGTGTTTCTCACAGATATTCTCGCCAACGCTTTCGGGCCTTTGACCTGCTGGACCTGGCAATGGTCGTGCGAGATGGCGATGACGCCGATGAGTTTACCGTCGCTGCAATGACGCGTGACAGGGCCGCGCCTTCTCATGAAACCACTCCGACAAATATCACTACTCCTTCCAAATCTGGACTCTTCCATATCGATATTCCCCACCTTCCTCTGGCCACCGACATCGCTCTTGCCGCACTGTCGACGCTTCCCACTCCTCTCCTCGTCCTCTCTTCTCTCAAAACCGTCCTGGTCGCCAACAGTGCTTTAGCAAAGCTGCTCGGCCTCGACCACAGTGATCCCGACACCACTCCCACTGACCTCCTCAGAGGCCAGACCCTGTCTCAAATCGGTATTGATTTAGTATCCGACGGTGCTCCTGTCTGGGTTAGCTGGGACAAATTTCTGGACAATGTCGCGGCTGGCTTCAAATATGCCCCGGAGGAGATCAACACTCCTGGGGAGTCATTGCCTGGCATTTCTAGCGGCGAAACCACCCCTACCTCCAGTCCTTTAGTCCAGCGAGGTCGATCGCCTGGAAAACTCAAAACCCATAAAGTCCAAGACACCGTGGTTGATGTCATAATCAGTGCTCGACAATCAACCGTGGCAACTCACACACGCGGCCAGAGCCAGAAAAAGACACCCAGAGCCGGAGTTCGAGCGACCTGTCGCATGATCATTTCCATCTGGTCTCTAAGCTCTCAGCGCTTCTTCACCTTGACCTTTACCAGTTTGCCCACAGACCATCACCGTAGATCTCACAGCCAGTCTCAACCCGCGGCCGGCCGCGCTTCCTCTTCCAACTCAACCCACTCTTCAAGATCCTCACATTCCCATACTCCGACTTCGTCCGCCACCGAATCCCAGGCTGGCTCCCCGGCCGAACATGCCAACGGCTCCGCATTCCCTCCCACCAGCGCTCCTAGTCAGTGTCTGCACCCTTCCTCCTACACAGATTTCCAGAAAATCGTCAAAATGAAGAATGCCATGCTCAATGCCATCGACATACCTCTTGTCACAGTCTGGAAAGATCAGAGCGTTGCCTTTCCCAATCTTGCTGCTCGAAAACTGCTCGCGACTGAGGCCAAACCGACTTCTGATGATAGCTACGATTTCTTCTCTCGTTTCACACCATGGGCTGCAGATTATTCGAGACTCCTTGAAGAGTCCGAAAACCCGATTGTGGCTCTTTGTCATACTCAAAAACCTTTTAGCGGCTGGCAGGTCGGTTTGATAGACGACATTTCTGGCAAAAAGTCAAGGTTCGACGTCAGTGGTCATCCGGTGTTTGATGAGAGGAGCAAGGAGTTTCTCGCTGGCCTCTTGACTTTCAAAGACGTGACCGAATACGAAGAAAAGATTGCCTCCCAATCCGTTGAAAACGAAGAGAAATTTCGCCTCATCTGCGATACTATGCCGCAAATGTTGTGGACCACCAGACCCGACGGCTTTCATGATTATTTTTCGCAAAGGTGGTACGACTACACCGGCCTCAACCCAGGCAACAGTCTAGGTCTCGGCTGGAAACTTCCCTTTCATGAGGACGACATGCCAAAATCGGTGCAACGATGGACACATTCGTTAGCCACTGGAGACGAATACATCACCGAGTATAGGTGCAGGAGGTATGATGGGGTATGGCGCTGGATGCTTGGTCGGGCACTACCTCTTCGCGATCCCAAAAATGGCAAAATTTTGAAGTGGTACGGCAGTTGTACCGATATTCAAGATATCATCGATGCCCGTGAAGCTCAAACCAGGTCGAGGCAAAACCTCCTCGATGTCTTGCAACATTCACACATGACAATGTGGATCGTCGACCGCGACGAAAAGCTGACCTTCTTTGAAGGTAACTTCACGGCAGATGAACAGAAGATGGCAACTCTCGTCGGCAGCTCATTGACAACTCTGTTTCAGGAATACTTGGACATAGAGACCGCCCAGCGATTCACACGTGCCACGCGACGAATTTTGGACGGTACCTCGAGTTACGAAATGTGCGAGAACAGGGTTGGCGAACGGTGGTTCCGGTCAAAACTTGTCCCCTACAAAGGCAAGCGTGGCCCGAATGGCATTGAGGACGACAATTATGTCGCCGGGGTCATTGGCATAGGGAGCGAAGTCACGCAATTACGCCACCAAGAACAGGAGAACATCACACTTTTGGCGAATGAAACTGCAGCGAAAGAGGCAAGCAAGATGAAAAGCAACTTCCTGGCCAATATGAGCCACGAGATTCGAACACCCATTGCCGGCGTCCTGGGAATGTCAGACCTTTTGATGGACACTCAGTTAGACGACGAACAGAGCGACTTTGCTCAAAACATTCAACGATCGGCCAATTCTCTCCTCACTGTTATCAATGATATCCTCGATTTCTCCAAAATCGAATCTGGAAGACTTGATATCGAAGAAGTCCAATTCAGTTTAGGCGTCCTCCTCCGTGACGTCGGTAAAATGCTTTCTTTCGCGGCACAGCGGAAAGGTCTGGCATTCAGTGCCGACGTACATCTAAATCCCTCCGACGATCTCATTCTTCTCGGCGATCCCGGTCGGATACGTCAGATATTGACAAATCTTCTCACAAACAGCATCAAGTTCACATCAGACGGATATGTGAAGATGAGCAGCAAAGTTTTGAGTGATGCCAACGACACCACCACAATAGAATTCACGGTGGAGGACACCGGGATTGGAATAGAAGAAGAGGTCAAAAAACGACTGTTCAAGCCATTTACTCAGGCGGATTCCAGCACTGCTCGCCGTTTTGGAGGCACGGGCCTGGGCTTGACAATCTGCAAGAATCTAGTCGATTTGATGCATGGCTCTATTCGCCTCGACTCGAAATTGGACGCTGGCACAAAGGCAATCTTCAGCATTCCATTCAAGAAAGTCGAGTATCGGACTGGTTCTAGTTCTGCCCTTTTGGAGGTGGGCAACATGCCTGATCGACTACAATCCGAGTTGTCTTTGTCTATTGAAGGCTCCGGCAAAGATGAGCAGCGCAAGAGCAATAAAAACGTAGCAGTCGCTTCCAACAACCTATCATCAACCAACCTCTCACGACTTTCTTCGTTACAGAATGACGTGCAACCACCAATCCCAGAAAAATACCTCCAGAGAGAGAACTATCATATTCTGGTAGTTGAAGGTAAGCTCTAGTCCAGCATTAGTGAATGTCTCATCTGACGATGCTAGATAACCCTGTCAATCAGCAAATCGCTCTCAAGTTCATCAAGGCCTTCGGCTTTTCAGTCTCGGCAGTCTGGAACGGAAAAGAGGCTTTGCAGTATATCCTCAAGGCAACTGCAGAGGATTTGAGTCCCGAGGAATCTCTGAAATACCCTATTCCCGCCGTGGTCCTCATGGATGTTCAAATGCCCGTATTGGATGGCTATCACGCCACTCATTTGCTCAGGCATCACGCTCCTTTCACCAGCATTCGTGCCATTTCCACCATTCCTATCGTAGCCATGACGGCGTCTGCCATTCAAGGCGATCGAGAGAAATGCGAGCGGGCAGGGATGGACGATTACATTGCAAAACCCGTCAAACGAGCGACCCTAGAGCAGACCATTATCAGATGGATCACCAATGGACGTGTGCCACTGTCAGCATCATTGCGACCTGACATTGAGAGGAAAACTAGCGGCGACCGATCATCAACGTGTACGGGACATGACGCACTTGCCGCCGAATTTCGCGTACCGGCATCAAATCTTTCGGGCTCGGATACGGAACAGCATTCCGCAAAGTCTGCGACAGGCCCCAATCCTCATGTCAATGTTGGGCATCCCAAACTTTCCAAAGCATTCATGAATTCGAATCCTTTAGGTGTCGAGACCGAAGGCGATCGTGTGATGCGCCGAGTAGAAGCAGAAGACCAGGCGCGGTCTCTTCGAGATGCAAAATTGATCAGTGCAACAGAGGAATCAAGCCAAGCTAGGATTCCACAAATCATCTTCGATGGAGACCGGCCTATCGATGCAAGGTCGTCTCCGCTGGCCATGAGTGGTTCGACCAGCCATCCAGGCGGACCTACCTCATGTCTTGCCTTGACAGAAGAAAACATTTCACGATTCAACAGTGCTTATGGTACAGATGGTTCGAGAGGATTGTCAACGACTCCATTGTATTCGAATGAAGCGCTCCATTCGCTTTCTGATATTCCCGGTCCCCCTCCGGACAGCCCAATCGCGAACAGCGATTCGGTGGTTGCAGGTTCGGATTCTCAAGATCTGATCGAAAGCATTATCAATGGCGCCAAAATCACCTCAGACCCGCATGATCATACAGAAGTCGTTGTTCAGGAACCTACTTCGCAAAACGGTCGAGGGCCTCTGGGGGCTCTGTCAGCTTCCAATCGACAGAAGAGTGATTGGTCAACCAGCACAGCCAGGCCGGACAAAGGTGATTGAAATCTTCTTGCCTTCAAGAAACCAATAGCATAAACTCATCCATGGTTTGTCGGATGCCACACGCCGAACCTTTAAGCATGCCCACGATCTAATTGATTCTAAGGATCACTTTTGTACGGCTTTGTGTGAACAGACGCCACCACTGTGAATGCGGGGTTTGTCACGGAGGTTCAAGTCGTGTCTTTGTTTTATGAAGATGACCGGTGATCACAATTCATGACGAGCTGCTGATGATGCCATAGATGCGTCGGAACAAGGGGGCCCAGTTGCGACAATCACTTTTTTCCGTTGGCGCATGTAGATATTAGAGTCTTTCGAGCCATCCACAGCAGTCTAGGGATGAACACAAGTTTCTCCCCCGGCCAAGATTTAAATGAGAATGAGAGAGATTTGATACTTAATAACTCGACAGAGAACGACACGTGACGATCTTGCCACGCATACAGGACACGAACTCATTTCTGTCGTTTCGATGTCAATCCTTGGAGTATACCTCAGATGGATGTGAGGAGACACGCTGATCCTGCCATCTAGACCTCGGTCTACCTGACCTTCGAAAGACAAAAATTGGTACTCGAGCTGGGCGAGATTAATTCTCATAGGAAGCCGACTCAGACGATACAACGTCAAACCAACAAAGACAGACCTAGACTCTCATTCTTCTTGAATGGAGGACTCAAAGTGCTCAATTCTACTGCCGACAGCCGTCATCGGAGCCTGACTCTGAAATCACCAGGGATTCATGTATGGCACTAACGTAATCAACAGGGCAAAATTCGTAACGATGCAGGTCCCAAAATTACTGGATCGGACCACTCTGGCATGGAGGAGACTAGCTACCTTAACTCTCACCTAGTGAGCACGAGCTCCTCACCTGATGAGGTGAGCACATGGCGACGTTGCGGCCCACTGGGGTTAGTCGCACACAACTGTCGAATCAAATGCCGCATCTGTCAAGCATGTCACGAGCATGTCGAGTCACCAAATGACGGTATACCGCCGGTTGCCGACGACATCATCAAATATTGCCCCATTCTAGAGAATCTATTGCTTGTAATGCATCGATCTGCCGAACCAGAGCTCCAACATTGGCTCGAAGAATCCGGGGTCATGCGCATTCGGGTTAAGCAGGGATTCTACTAGGTCTAGGTAGCTAACCATTTCAGACCCCTCGTCCATCCGGTCTACCCAGTGAAGTGTATATTCCTCGAGGAGGAGTATGCGTGCACATTACCCCATGGCCGGCGACACCCAGGTTCTTGTGTTTATTCGCATGCATGGTCAGCGGATGTGCTCATGAACCGGGGTCGGGTCGTGATCGCCTGTGGGGTGTGACACACTACTGAAGCACCTATAACTACCTCATGTGCCCTCCAGACCGTTTCACTTCCAGATCAGATCGCTTCCCAAATTCGATTGGCATCTTTGTCGTGATATTATCCTATCCCACAAGCTCTATCCAAACCTACCCATCATCTCCATCTCACTTGCTCCCACCTCCGTTTCACTCTAACACTGTATCACCCCCCAAGAATAGACTCACCTGCGTTGAACAGCTTGAACTCGATTCGAAACAAGAGGAAAAAATGGCATACGCAGCATACTACGACATCCCTCCCCCACTAGTCGACCATCCCCACGAACGATCACATCAACATCAAAATCTCCTACAATACATTGCACGACGCCCGGTTCGAGCAGAGGAACACCCAAACCAGCCGGACGTGGACTTTCGCGACGCGATCAAGGAATTCTACATTGAAGTCGAAGTGCCAGGAATCAAGAAACCCAGCGAAGTGGCCATCTCATGGACTGGATCGCGGTCATTACTACTAACGGGCTCGATTTCGCGACCGGAATACGACGGGGCGGCTAAGAAAGACGGCGAAGAAGAAGACCCAGAGCATCCCCACGGCGATCAGGTTCACATCCTTGTTGGAGAGAGGAGGATTGGTCCCTTTAGAAGATATATTAATTTCCCTTCCGATGTCGAAAAGGTTTCGGTTACCCTGGAGGCCGGTTTGTTGAAGATCAAAGCACCTAAGAAAGGATATGCAGAGGCTGCGGCCGCTAAAGTGGACGTCGAGCATGAGTGAGTACTCCGTACTCTCACCAACCCAGAGCTTTGTTGGCTTTTTGGCTTTTGGCCCTACCTATTGCGCATTCCCACCATTTGATTGTCGTATCGTCCCCAAATATCTGATTTTTGAATGCAAAGTACAGGCCGGTATGATCTACCGTTGTTACCCATGGGTGGTGTTTAGGATAAGAAAGGAATGCATGACCTGGTAAGAAGAGAGGGAAATACCTAGGCGGTGACATGTCGTGGGCTCCGAACTCGAAAGCAGTCGGGTTTTTAATGAAATGAGTATGTTCGCAGGTACCAGTAATCAACGACAGCATGGTTGGACGATAATCCCAATGGGAAATAATCCTCATAACTATGATACGTTCACTAATTCTTCATCTGTACGTACTCCGTAGGTCCCAGGGTCTTTTTAGTAAATCTAGGCCATCGTGCCCAGCCTTCTTAGCCCTCGGCAATCCATGCGAGACGTGATGGTGTGTGTTTCCATCTACCCGATCCAGTGATTACCATCACCTTGAGTTTGGTTGAACCTTTGTTATTATTATTGTAACGCTTCCCTAATGGTTGCCACCAGGTGGCTCGAGCTCCCGGCTAGCATGGCACGCATGGCTGTGGCAGCGGTAGCGGCTGACCGTGCGAGCTGAAGACCTAACGTTTGAACAAGCCAGTGCCAATCCATATCATTGGTCCACCAAATAAATTCATTGAAGCTTGATTCCGCATTCTACCCTCTGCGCAAACCCAAATGTGGATGGGGCTCGAGCTCGATGGTGTCGGTTTGGAAGCCTCTGGGTCATGCCTAAAGAAATGGATCTAAAATTGGTAAGTCCCGTGGCGAAGATGAGGTTTGACAAGAGCCTCAACTCTAGGTACCTACCTTCCATTATCATCAAGACTCTTGACTTTAGTTTCCTTTTCTTTGGCCTCACCTGTCGAAATTCTCCGCGCCAGGCGATGATGCTTCGACGGACGCGAATACCTTGACAAACGTATCTGGAGACCAAGATGACACGATGATTACATTGAGAAACTCACATTTCCATTGTTGTTGTTGACAAGCAAGCGATGGACATACACCACACCTCAACCAGACGAATCTCGATTGTCTTCTAGTGAGCAAAGAAAACCACTTCTTCGACTTCTCACCGTGTGCGATACATTTCCGCCGGCTTTCCTCTTCTCTGTCTCATTTTCCGCCGAGATGAAAATCAACCAACTTTTCCCACAGCGGCGGTTCGGAGCCTCTGGCGAACGTGAGGCGACTGTTCGAAAACACATCCCATGGATTTCATCACCGCTCCAGGAGGATGTACAACCCGATTCCACACAGCAAGGACATAATGCAGGATCAAGTTCGGCGACACTTTCAGGTACCAATGGACCGAGCGATGGAGGATTGAAACTGCCTCCGTTCAAACATCGCCATGAAGCAAGCACGATTGAACTCTTCTATGATCTTTTCTTCGTGGCGAATCTGGCCACTTTCACTAATAACCACGAAATCGTGGACAGTAAATGTAAGTTAGCGGAGAATTGTGGAATTGTTGAGGGTTTGGCGGATGATGAACGACTTTCTTCGATATCAATTCATTCCATCCAGTCGAACGAGGTACCCCGTGCATATTTTATGGATATTTGGGCTAATCACTTTCACAGCATTACGAAACTACATTGGCTTCTTCACGATTCTGTGGTTCACATGGCTACAGACATCCTTGTTCGACGTCCGATTCGGAGTGGATTCGGTCTTGCAGCGAATCTTTAACATCACATCCTTCGGGATCATGACGGGATTTGCCGTGGTGGGCGCCATCTATGACACAACACACCTGGTCGAAAACATCAAGGGCTTTCGAGCCATGTGCCTCGTCCTCATGACATCCCGGTTGATTCTTGCGCTCCAGTACGGGGTCATCTTATGGTTTGTCCGCCGTTACAACCACACTTGGCTACCTTTGCTCAGCACCATGGGCGTTTTGTTCCTCGCTGCCATGGGCTACCTCGGAACATATTGGGGATTCGACGTTGACGACTTTACTTCCACGGCCCCTCATACTTACTACGCCTGGTATGGTATTGCCGTCGCCGAGGCCGCCGCTGTTATTACCATTTCTTCCATTTGGAGAGTCGTCAGTTTCAAACGGACACATCTCGTCGAGAGAGTCGGTCTCTTGACTCTTATCATGTAGGTTCTTTGCTGAATGAGTTCAAGTCGTGCGCCAGACTAATACATGATCTCCGGTGTCTAGCATGGGCGAAGGCATCATCGGCGTAGCCAAATCCGTATCCATGATCCTGCAGACATCACGAGATACCGAGGCTGCCGACATTGGCAACATTGCATCATCGGTGCTCGTCATTTATTTCATCTGGGTCTTGTACTTTGACCAGATCGAGCACGAACGATTCGGCACCATCCGACAACAAGTCTGGGCGATCCTACACTTTCCATTACACGTGGCCATGCTGCTAACGGTGGAGGGCACGGCGGCTTTGATATTGTGGAACATCATCGCCAGATATCTGTGAGTTGTCACCCAGACCAAAACTGGGCTTTTCAAGTACTGACCAGAATGCCAACTCAGCCGCGGATGGATAGACTATGTCAACAATATCCCCGCGAGTATCAACTCGACGTCGGAGATGGTTGAATATCTAGAGACGGGGATCTTGGTGATTGAGGATCTGTTCAAAGAATCGCATACGGACTTAGCGCATACATACAACTACCACCACAATTTGACGTCAATTTCCAACATCTCTGCGCCGTTCAATACGCCGGCGTGGAACGCCCAATTCACCCCACTGCTCCAGGATCTAGCGTTTGGTGTGGTCAACGCCATCTTCACCAAATTCGGCATCGAGGGCCCCGAACAGGACGAAACGATCCATATGACAGAGAGCGAGCGATCCGAAGCCCTGGCCAACGTCTTCTCCACCGTGTTTGCTTACGTGTATATCGCTGCGGGCGCATTCGCCATGCTCCTCGGTGTGCTCTACTGGTTCGGCAAGACCAGAAAGTCCTTGGCCGAATGGTACGCAATCCTCATTCGGGTTATCTTTGGTTTGGGTCTTTGTGGCTTCTCCGCCATCGCCTTTACCGATGGTGGTGCTTCAGACGGTTTTACTTTCAGTGCTTGGCCTATTCCAGTGATCATGTTCACGTATGGCGTCGGTAAGTGCCTCGGTCATCAGAGGATCAGTTATATGGCTCTTGTTGTGAAAATGAAGCTGACTTCTGAACCAGTGATTTTGCTGGACAATCTAATCCTTTGGTGGGGGAATAGAGCAGTGAAAAGGAGAAATAAACAAGCGACCCAACAACATGCTCGGCCTGGCATGCTAGACTTGAAATTTGGCTCACGTTCGAATGATGCGACGGCGCAACGTACTGCGGAAAAGTTACCTGCGGGGAATGAATCGGCGGTGTAATGAAATGGGATTCTGAACAGGGATAAATATGATTCATCAACTGTATAGCAAGCTATATACTACCTGTATAGAGTCCTTGAGACTGGTTTGATGTGACTTAGTAGCATCCTCTACTAGCGCAATGCAGCGAGGAGTTTAGCAAACACTAATACTCTTGGCGTTAATTACAGGGGCAAGTGGCATCATCTCGGAAGCGACGACTGAGGGACGGGGTTCACGGGCACTTTCCCAGATGCGGGCGTCAAGTAAATACTTTACCGAAGCAGGAACTCTCCTCGTACCCCAACTCAACAAAAAATAAAATCCCAAGGAGTCAAGGACTTTATCCATACGACGAAACTACTGTACATTGACAGCCACAGCGACGAGTCCTTGTTCTCACAGACATTCATTCCCTTTCTATTCAACTCACCCTCCCCAATCATGACCTCCACCAACGGCGTCAACGGTACCCCTCACCAAAAACCCTCTCTTCCTCCAGTCTACATTGTCGCAGTTGCACGAACACCAGTTGGCAGTTTCCTGGGGTAGGATGAACCTGTCTTGTCCTACACACCATATTGTTTCTTACATCTTCTAGATCTCTATCATCTCTGTCTGCTACTCAACTTGGCTCTCACGCCATCAAATGTACGACCCTTCCATCAAATCCCCCGCTTTAGCACGACTGACCGCTCTTCATAGCTGCTCTCGAGAGAGTACCAGAAATCAAACCCTCGGATGTGGAAGAAGTCTTCTTTGGAAATGTCTTGTCAGCAAAGTAAGGCAGTACTGCTACCTTGAACTACCTGGGCCTTGCTAACTGGCACTTGCAGCCTCGGTCAAAACCCTGCCAGACAGTGCGCCTTGGGTGCAGGTCTTGAACCTTCCACGGTCTGCACCACCGTCAACAAGGTCTGCGCCTCGGGTCTCAAGTCAATAGTTCTGGGAGCCCAGACCATCATCACCGGAAATGCCGATATTGTCGTCGCCGGCGGTGCAGAGTCCATGTCCAACGTCCCTCATTACCTCCCCAACCTTCGAACCGGTGCCAAATTCGGCAACCAAAGCCTTGTGGACGGCGTCTTAAAAGATGGTCTGACGGATGCATACGGCAAAAAGGAACACATGGGTCTTCAAGCTGAAGAGTGTGCTCAGGATCATGTCTTCAACCGAGAACAACAAGACGACTATGCCATCAAGTCGTATGAAAAGGCACAGGCAGCACAAAAGGAGGGTTTGTTTGACTGGGAAATTGCACCCGTTCAATTGCCCGGCGCTCGAGGCAAGCCTGGTGTCACAGTGGACAAGGACGATGAGCCCAAGAATCTCAATGCCGATAAGCTACGATCGATCAAGCCAGCTTTTATTCCTGATGGGGGCACCGTCACCGCTCCCAATGCCTCTCCATTGAATGACGGAGCGGCTGCCGTGGTTTTGGTGTCAGAAGCCAAACTTAAGGAGCTCAACATCAAGCCTCTGGCCAAGATCCTTGGATGGGGCGATGCCGCCCACCAGCCCAGCAAATTCACCACCGCACCAGCTCTTGCCATTCCCAAGGCTTTGAAGCATGCAGGCGTCAGCCAAGACCAAGTCGATGCTTTTGAGATCAACGAGGCTTTCAGTGTGGTTGCTCTTGCCAACATGAAGATCTTGGGCCTATCCGCAGACAAGGTCAATCTTCACGGTGGAGCGGTTGCTATCGGTCATCCCCTAGGTGCCAGCGGTGCCCGTATCATCACAACATTGCTGGGAGTATTGAAGGCCAAAGGCGGTAAAGTGGGAGCTGCGGCTATTTGCAACGGAGGCGGTGGAGCCAGCGCTCTGGTACTGGAATCGTTGTTGTAGGAACAAGCAAAAAGTTTACCAAAATCCAAAAGTCTGAGCTGTCTTGAAAAGGGCCATCTCAAGAGAAGGGTCAGCGCCATTGAAAAGACGACTGTGTCGAGATTAAAAGGCCAAGACTGGGATCACCGCCACGGGCAAGAAGACCATCATTTGACCTTGTTTCCTCAATACCCTGAAGCCCGTTCTTCGGAAAGTTGGTATCAAGGGAAACTTGCATCATATTTGGGGAGAGACCGTTGAGGTGAATTGCATGGTCTGGATGGTCTGGATGGTCTGGACGGTCTGGATGAGACTGGACAAGATTCGAGGAAAGAAAAGCAAACAGTGCAGAGCAGAGCAAATGGGGCAGAGTAATGCTGTTGGTGGTAGGGAGACAACTTAATTGAAAGGGAGAATAAGCTCTCTAAGAGAGACTGAGTTGAGATGCCTGCGAATGGATATCAACGGGGCAGCGCAGGCGTATATAATGTTATACCCATTATCACATCCTTACCAGTATCATCAGTATCATCAGTATCATGAGAACCATGAGTTATCATTCATGACCCTTGTCAATTACCCCTTGTGCCTTGTTAACATTCAGTATTAATCCAGCCGTCGAGCTCGAATCAGACCACTGCATGGGGCTATCAAAGTCGCCACGAAAAGATACAAGTGTATAAATAGTACTCGTGCAATTGACAAACTGTATCATTCATTATTCATAGCCGCAAAACAAATTACAATCCATACAACCGTGACACCATACATCCGGATATCCATCCATTCACCGACCCTCCTCTCTCTTTTAGCCTGAGCCTCACTCCCCTTTCCCCAAAATCAACTCAACTCAAGCCCTCGTCTTCATCTTCTCTTTCTCTCTCTCTCCCCTCTTCCCCTCCCCCTTCCCCCTTCCATCTCTCGCCTTCGTCTTCGCCTTTGGCTTTGCCTTCGCCTCCTCCTCCCTCACAACCTCGCCCACCACAATCCGACAAAGCCAACCCACCAACTGCTCCGGCGACCAACCCCAAATAACCTCTTTGCCATCATCCCTCCCATCCCTTCCATCTCTCCTCTCCGGTCCAACACCATATCCCCACTCCACCTCCTGCATGAACCTCTCCAAGACTTCCAATTCCCCCTCCCCGACCGTCCAAGTCATGACGCCACGATCGATTCCAGCCTCGGTCTCGTCGATCTCCATTTCTTTGCCTAGGAGGGCTTGGATACATGGACGGATTGAGCGTGGGCCGTGAAATCGTGGACGTAGTGATTTGCGGTAGATGATGTGTAGAGTGCGGAAATGCGTGTTGGTGAAGGAGCCGGATGTGGAGAGGGGGGAAGTAATTGAGCGGCGGGGGTCGGATGGGTAGGAAGGGGGGAGGAGGTAGGATGGGAGGGATGGTGATGGGCGAGAGTGGGATGGTTGGGATGATTGGGATGGGATTTTCGAGGTGTTTGCTGTGGATGGGATGGAGGTTTTGGTTCTGGTCCAGCCGGATGTATCGTCAAGTCGACTGTCATCAGCACCACTTGACATGGATTGATTGTCGATCGTCTCTTGCTTTTGCTCTTGCTCTTGCTCAACTTTCGACCCAGATCCCCATATCCACTTCCTCCAACCAGATTGAGACTTCGCCTCCTTCTCTCGACCGACAACATCCTTAATCGGAGTCGGCGTAATATCTTCTGACATCTCCTCATCACCCAACGACTCCATTTTCTCTCCCTCCTCCTCTGTAACATCTTCTTCATCCCATTGAGCAGAACTGTGGTCTTGAGGTTCACTGCCCTGCAACTCCCGATTCAATTGCTCCGCCAAATGTCCTGCCACCGAATCATGGATCGAATCGTCGGTTGTCGATTTCATGCTAAAACTGCTTTCCATGCCATTGACATCCACACCACGAGATCGTTCACTGAAAATGACGCGTCGAACAGCAAGTGGCGTTGCAGAATTGTCTTCTTCACTGGCTTGGGCTTGGGCCATGCTAAGTCTTGTGCCTTTCATAGCAGAGCGAGGTGTTGGTGGGCGCATTGGAGATTGCATCGTGGTTGTGGAGGTAGCGGCTGGGAATCGAGGTGGAGGAGTTGTCATTTCGTTCATGGAGTCGTTGAAATTCACAGTAACTCTGGTGGCGGGTGGTGATGGTGAGGAGATACCTTCTGGAGCACCGAGTGTGTTGTTGATGGGATCGAGAGATGATTCTTCACCTCCTTCGGTGGAGATGGTGCTGTGTTCTATATGGTGGGAGGATACTCGTTCGATCTCATTCTCATTTTCATGCGACTCCTGATCTTGATCTTGATCTTCGTCTTTGTCCTCTGTGTTAGTATCCTTGATAGGAGAGCTGAAACTGATTCTCCGATACAGGGGTCCATCTTTTCTGGGCGTGCCAGCCATGATGTCCATATCGAACATACCACTGGCTCGGTTTCTGCCTTGTTTCTCTCTTCTGATCTCACCAGCTCCGAATTTCAATTTGGCGGGGTCAGGTTCTTTCCAAAACAGCATTCCGCTTTGATCGTCGAGATTGGATGTCAAAAATGTGGATTGCTCTTGGGGAACGGCGATGTCGTCGCCTCTCTTCCAAGGACTAGGGATCAGGCTTCGACGGGGACGAGCTGTGACAGTATTTTCTTCAACTTCTTGAGCAGATTTTCTGGGGAGTATCTCTTGACCTGGTGGTCTATCCACATGGCTTTCTCCTTGTGGACTGGAAGAATTCTTTGCTTCGGCAAGCCAGATGTCTTCGTAATCGTCATTTTCATGGTCATTTTCGATACTCGGTCCGGGAGCTCCAAGGTCGGTGAGGGTTTCGGAGTCGGAAGTGTGAACATGTTGTCCCTGGTTCGAAGACTTCTGTTCAACCTCGTCTTCATCGTCACTACTGTCAATGACAATCACCTGGCTCTCGCTAGCATTCTGGATTTGTCGGATGATTTCTTCCCGCTCAAGCTGCCACTCCCTCTCTCGACGCGCCTGAGTGTCCAGGAATGATTTGTCCGCTGTGTCCAGAGTGCGATGGTCGGGTGTTTGCATCAGCGGGTGCCCAAAGTCATTATCCTTGGAAATAGGATTCGAGGGCAACTGTACAGGTGTTTGTTGTACGGTGGTCTCTCCACGCCAGACCTGTGTTTGCGGCTGAGTTTTCTCGTGCTGGTGAGCCTGATATTTGGGAAGATCCTTACTCCGAACCTGGTTGATCACACCGACATCGCGAGTCTCCTTTTCTGCAGGACTGGATGACTGTCGTTTTGCGAGCTCCTCTCCAAATCGAAGACCAGCCCTGAGCTCTCGCTTGGTGCCGGAGTCAAACCCTCCAAACAAAGGACCCTCGAGCTCCTGTGATCGACGTGTCGAGTCTTTGGACGCCACTGAGCTCAACTGACTGGGATGGTCTGGTGAGACCACATCTTGTAATGCAATCCCCGCGAACAATGCACCTGCTGATCCGCGATGAGCGTGCTGTGGAGTGCGTCGAATCACCTGCTTGGGAGGAGAAGGTAATTCGGGAGATGGGCATATTTGAGGTGTGACTTTTCTGTTGGTGATGACGGGAGCACTGAGTAGAGATCTGCTAGGCTGTTGTATAGCTGGCGGGGGTGATGACGGGACGGTGCTGGAGAGATCACTCTCATCAAGGAGGTTCAATGCTGGGTATTTTAGAACCGATTGCTGTCTTGAAGATGACACAACCACATTGGGAATGTCATGTTTTGGTTCGAGCTGCGGTGACCGATTATCCCGATTTTCCTCGATCTCTTCAACAGTATCAGCAAGATTATTCCTCAACTGTCTCGCTGATGGGATTGAATCGAGATCGATCATGGTGAACCCTTCACTTTCCAGAACTGTATCAAATCCGACCTCCATTTGCTGTTGTTCTTTTTCATCCACAAATTGTCCCAAATCATCCGACTCGCCATGATAGGACGAGGTAGGTGACGGGGTTGGATAGCTGATGGCGCTGTTGACTGAGACTTTGCGGGTGTCGGTGGAGGGACGGCTGAGACGCTGGAGGTTGTTAAGTTGACCAGAAGGAAGAGATTGAACCACATCTTCATCCGTCGTCCGTGATTTACTCAAAGCCGCTCGATGTCGAACCGAAACTCTATTTAGGTCGATGTGTCGCAGCTCTGGGGAATTGCTAGCGTGTGACTCGTTGTCTTGATGGAAGATACCATTGTCATCTTCTGCATCCGTATCAGGGCGGATCTCAAAATCGGCTGTGGACAGTGATCCTTTCTTCGCGCCACCAGCTGGTTCCACGGTTATTGAAGAATCATGCTCAACGTCGACCGCTGCCGCCGAGCTTGTGCTTCCACTTTTGCGCGACGTTGTCCTTCGTTTGCGTGGGGATGGGCTCTTCCTCCTAGTCCTCTTAGTCCAGTCATCACTGTCTGCATCGTCTCCCAAGGGTCGAACGTCCAAGTCTGTCACACTCTGTCTGCGCGAACGACTGCTGCCACGAGCGGAACGAACTGGAGTGGCGCTCCTTCTTGTTCTTCTTCTCGTGTTATCCGAACTGGTATTTTGAGATGCTCGCCCTCGCGATGAAGTAGGGGATGAATCTTGTCGCAGAGGGATTTTCATGGTTCGAGTCATCGTTGCGGTGCCCCCGGTCATACCACTCGTACTTCCATCCATGTCATCCTCCATCTCTTCCGGTTCTGCTTCCACAGTCACTCGGATCTTCCAGGGGCTGAGGTTCTGTTCTGACACGGTGCGAAAGGGTGACGAAGGGATTGCGTTGTAGTCAAAGCTCGTGGCTATTGGAATGGGTTTTTGCGAGCTTTTGCTAGGTGATGAACTTGGTCGATTCGAGGGTGCGGATCGACTAAGGGCGATGTTGCTTTCGTTGTCGTCGTGAAAGGAACTAGCGAGAGGGTCTGGCGAACTGGAACTGCTGCCGTGGACAGATTTCGGAGTGTTGGCGGAGGATAATTGGAGCATGGCTGTGTGTATCTGTACTTATGGTATCTGTGTGTACCTGTGCGTGCGTGCGGTACGCAGATCGAATGGTGGTGGGGAGGGGAGATTGCACGGTTGACTTGAGGTCAATAATCACTACCTGCATTCGGTGGACAGAGTGAACTGCATAGGTTTCAGGTCTGTCTTTCAGGATCGATCATGCTGGTGTCCTGATGATGGTCTCAGCAGAATCAATACGAGTACAGAGGTTCGCAATGTCCTGTAGTGCTTGATGCATGAATCACAGTGTGGGTAAGACTGATGGATTGTCGGAGGTTGATTTGTTTGTTTACAATGACGTTGATTTTGCGGCTTTTGATTGGCTAAAATCAATGACTAGGACCCACCCATGTACTCCTTTTCCCCTGTGCACATCTCCATATTTTCTTCACATCATTAATGTAATTCACTATTTTAAAGTGGTAGGAAATACTCTGCTTTGTTCGAGGTCCACGGTCAACTTTGTCAAAATGTTGAAAAGTCATATGTGGCAAAATTTACCGCTGGTCCCGTCTCAGCCGAGAAGACCTCATATTCATCCACACCCCATTCTGGATGATTGATACCATCAATATACACCTGTGGCTCAATCGCAAGACAGCTGTACTGGTTGACGAATGATGTGGCACTCTCTGAGTTGTTGTTCCGCTCTTGCTGACTTGGTTTGATGGGGATCGTCCCATTTTGACCATTGCAACTATACAACTGAATCCCCAGCTGGTTGGTGGACACATCGAGACGGATGCCTGTAGTTTCAGACCACAGAGACAGGACTGGGTACGCGGAAGAGGTGGATCCGCCACCGACTGGTCGATCGACTATGAAGGCATTGTCGATTCCAGTACAGTTGTTTCCACAAAGCCCTTGAGCTTTGGCAATGGATTCAGCAAGGACTTTGGGCTGGGTGAAGTCCAAGGCAGGTGTGTCGGCAACAGAGCCAATAGCGCCGGTAGGAATCAAGATAGGGTCAACTTCAATATAACGATCTGAATATGGCATCCATAATGTGGTGTCTTCCAAGATGTTCTCTTGCTTGAAAGCATTGAGATTCCAATAGAAATGGGTGGCCAACATAATTGGGGTTGCTTCATCGAGTGCATGAGAGACCAATGATGTTGTCAGACGAGGACGTAATTCACCTCGAGGGCCACTCGGGGCGTTGCTCAACGAGTACGTTGCAACAGTCAGGACGGTGCCAGGGAAGCCTTCGTATCCAGTATCAAGCAGACTGAACGTGATACTCGAACTTGAGTTGGCCACCACAGTCCAATTCCGCTGATCATACCCGACATCACCACCATGGAGAGTGTCAGCGCCATCATTTTCATTGGTTGGAATGTGGAATGTCTCGGTGCCGAGCTCAAAGGTTCCATTCTTTATTCGATTTGCATATCGACCAACAATAGGACCGAAATAGGAATGGTATGTGGCCGTGTCATTGACGTACTCTTCTGGAAGGTCATAGCCTGGGACAATGTCCTGGTCGTTGCCATCACGGTCCTGGACCAACAATGATGTCAGCCGGGCACCATAGGGAATGAATGTGGCAGTGATATTGTCGGCAGTCAATGTGTATAATGTCAACGGGTCTGTGGATGGGTCGTGTCCCAAGACCTGAAGAGCGAAACAGAGGGAGATGACTGCTGGTATGTTGAACATCATGCTGCCGGTGGGAAAGTGAGAAAGATGACCTGGAGAGGATTTGAGGGTTTTGTGGAGCTTGCTGAGCGAAATGAAGGGTCATCAGAGTAGTATTTATAAGTTCAGTCACCGGCTATATGGCATCCTGGACGAACAGGTGGGTGAGAAGCCAGGACAAAGGTGATGAAGATCCAACGCCAGACCTGGGATTTGTCAACGAGTGTCACCGCGTCGATCGAGCGTGCTGCATCGTCGAAGCAGTCAACGAAACCATATACAGAGCGGGAGAAGGAATGAGCAACATCGGCCGGCAGGATGGAAGAAGACAAAAGCCGTGTGGATGTGAGAAGATGCATGCTGGAGAAAGCAAGAGAAAGTAGAGAAGATGTCATCATTGTGGGGGGTTGACAGTGAGAATCCCGACCCCAGAAAACCTACAGGCGCTTTGGGCTCTAGCGAGAGCGCCCTCCCCGCTAATAATACCTAACTTCCAGTGGTGCAGGGCTTCTATTAGACAGTGCTGTATGCCCACCAACGGCAGGTGTTTCTATGCCTAAAAAACCCTCGAACCCTGCCCATGGCGCTCCCGCGGTAACCCCGCACCCCCGGAGATGCCCTGGACACACTACTCCGTAGTTTAGAAATAAGTTGAGCTCGCCCACAACCACACCGGCTTATTTCCTATCAGGTCAAAGATTTGTGATGCGTCATTCATATCCTTGCACCTATATCCAGTCTCGTTCTCTATGAATATCTCTGGCACTCGGCTGTCTTCGATGTAGCGTTACACTGGTGCTCCCACCGTGGTCTTTCTCCCTCACAATCTCCGCATTAGGTTGGGATAGACACTGCATACTTTGTCACCTCATTCATGCCCCAGCCTGCCTCGGATCCACCTCGACGAGATGAACATCCATGTACACAGGCCAGTCAGGCGCCAGGTTGCTCCAGCCCTCCGAAAGTGGCTTAAGCGCATCCTCTACAGCCTTTTTGTCCACCGTGCCCGGTGGTAGACCCTCGGTTTGTGCAAGCTTCAACAGGTCCTCCTCGAGTTCTTCCTGCAGCAGTCGACTCGGCTGGGGAAGGAATGTTCCTGATCGGCCTTGATGTGTGTGAAGTGTTGCGTACGGTAGGGCGGGTCGGGTCGCTGCCTTTTCTGCCAGGTCACTCAAGGTGTTGAGAGCACTCAGTCCACCAATGGTCCGCGTGGATCTTGTGACATGAACATTTTGACTCGCTGACCGATCCATGGCCGGGGCTTCCAGCTCTTCATCTTCTTCTGATACAGAGTCATCCCCTGACCCATCTTGTTTGTCTGCATCGTCTCGATCGCGCCCACGCTTTCGTGCGTTTGTTGCTTCACCTTCTTTGCGTGAAGTGGCAAAGAAGTGGTGAGCAGCAATCTGAGCCTGGTGGGACTGCAAGTTGAGCTCTTTTTCTGTAAAGAGAGAGTTGATGGAGTAGACTGGAGCTGTTTGGTGGGCGGTCGCAGCCCTGGAACGGTCTCCGGGGGTGGACACGCCATTGCGGGAAGGCGAGCCAAAGTCGTCGTCGGCAAACTTGCGCTTGCGCTTGCCGTTTCCATCCACTCCATTTAGATCTTCTTGCTCTCGGTGGCGGGTGAATCGAGTCTTGCGGCTGGTAGTGTGGCCACCAGGGCTGGCAGGGTTGGTGATGCTGAACTGGCTTGGATGAAGGAGGAGGGCGTTGGTGTCTGCGATGTCGAGTTGTTCTTTCTCCTTCATCAGACGTTGACGTTTACTGGAGAGAGACTGAAAGAGGCGTTCACGCAGGGTATTGGTCATATGCTCGCATTCTTCGGCGGCAAGGTGGAGACGATAGTCGCATTCGTACTTGAGCCGTTCAAGACGAGCTTGGTGTGCATTCTGCGGAGAGCAAGTCAGTAAAAGGACGAGAGCGACTCCAAAAATAGAGATTGTACCATTAATTGGATCAGCGCGAGCTCTTTGGCTTCTTTTGCGTCGTTGACCTCGTTCACAAACTCTGCGTACCACTTGCCAGCCAGTGACGACATCTGGGATTGATACGGTGTGCCAGACGCAGCAACCTCTGCAATTCTAGCCACCTCTTCGGGAGAGTCTTCCAAAAGCTCGGGGTAGTAGGGATCGGCTTGAGTGATGAGGTTCATGTCGGTCTGGAGAGCAATGAGCTGCTCCCGGTAGTGTTGTTCCCGGTTGGCCGAGAACTCGGCATAGAGATCGTTCTGATGGGCGGCATGTTGATTACGACGTTTGTCACGCTTGGAGAGAGGCTGGGTCGGAGGAGAAGGGGATCGTTGAGGGGAGTGAATGGTGGTTGTGTTTTCAGGGTCCATCAAGGGCGGCGGTGTTGGAGAAAGATGGTAAGCCATTCGACAGAGGACCGAAATGGCGAAGGACGAGAGTCGAGAGAAAGGGCAGCTCTATCATACACACGGTGAGATTATACAGACTGTGTAGAATGAATAGTCGTGACGAGGGGGAAGTGTGTCAAGGCGAGGAAGACAGAAGCAGAAATGGACATGGAAGCGCAGACCAAGATGGAGACTGGAGTGTGACCAGCCATTGCACGTGTTTGGTTGGTGACTGTAGTCTGTGGGTTTCGGGTTTATTTCTTTATTGATAAGACATGGCCAAGAATGGTATCTCAGCCGAAGTTGAGTCTGATCCAAATCACGTGTGAGCTTGGCATTGGTATGACACACGTGACATGTCACCAGCCGTTTGCAGACTATTTTCTTCCTCTTCCTTATTTTATGTATAGACCATTGTGATCCTTTGCTGCACATGGCATATCCACCCAGGCCTACATGACGTCCACCTCTGTCAATCTTTACATCCACCCAGGATCATCGAAGAAAACTTCAGGCCAAGTTCAGCACGAGTCTGGGAGACCCTCGGCAATGTCCGTTCTTTCCCCGGCATTACTGATAGAGTGCATAAGGCAGGAACAATCCAGGACGCCTTATTTCAAGAATCGCAGGTGCATTCCCATATGAAGCCGTGTTGTGGTGGTCGTGTTACGCGTGCCTTCCAACAAGCAGATCACATTTTAATTTAGGGCAACCACGACTGCTTATTGCGCCCTTACTTAATTCGTCTGTCAACGTCACCCCCAGGTTGAACTTCATTCCCCGCTACCCCCTCTTCCTTGCAGTGCCACTAATGCCCCTCTCCTCTCTCCCCATGTTTTCTTCCTCTTTTCCCTTAATACCTCTTCTCTAGATCGATCGTTTTTGCCCCTGGCAAGCCTTGATTATGGTGCCTGGGTGCCTGGACATCGAGTGGTCCGTTGGTCATAATGTACCCGCGTTCCCCATGTTTGGTACAATCTGCACCTACCTAGGTAGTCTTTACTTCTCACAGCTCCGCGGACAGCCTGATCCAAATGACAAGCCCCAGAAGGAGGCCTAAAGATCCTTCGGACTTCGGTCTTCCAACACCCGTGGACTCGTTCCAACGTCTTCATCGCTAGTGGTAAACATAATCCTACCCCTCCAGTCCCAGCTGTAGGTATCTATCTGTCCCACCTGTCATCTTGCTATATATGTATCCCGTCTATTCTGTCTCCGTCCACCGCTACTTGTGTCACTCACTACCCTTGAGGTTGAACTCGTCTTCATTCTTCGCAATTTATATACATAGTCACCTTTTAGAGACCATCAAAGTATCGTCATAACACGGACCTGACGTTGCAAGACTGAATATGGCACCCACAATCATTCACTCAGTTACCCTGTTCGATGGCAAGGATGTGCAACCCAATGCCACAGTCGTGTTTGATCCTTCGACTGGCCTAATCACCTCAGTCTCGAGTCAAGCACCCTCTAACATCGAGGAAGCAACCGTCATCGACGGTCAGGGCCATACTTTACTCCCTGGTCTCATCGACTCTCACATCCATCTCCACGGTCTTCATCTGCCACCTGGCACAGATGAGAGTCAGATCTTGAGGGCCCCTCTATTCAGCGGGGTCACCACCGTTCTCGACATGCACTCTGACATAGAATCAGTCAACAAGTGGCGGAACAAGGTTACACAAGAAGTCTCCCAGGCCAAATCCACTGGCGGAACGGTCTCATTCCCAGACATCAAGACAGCTTTGTACGGCGCCACCATTGCGGGAGGATGGCCCAAACCCGTGGTCCTGGGTCATAATCCAACTGAAGCTGTAAGTCGGCCTTGACCCCATCAACACCGTCTTTCCCTGACCCCCATCCCAGCTGCAGGAATATGTCAAGTCGTTTCCCAATGTTACTGTAGAAAATGCAGAAGCGTTTGTCAAACAGCACAAGGTCGACGGAGCCGACTACATCAAATTGATGCAGGAAAATTGTTGTTCTTTGGCCATGCCCACCGACTCCATTCCCGTTGCCACATTGGAACTACAAACGGCCGTGGTCAAGGCTGCCAAAGCCGAGGGTTTTCCTGTTGTGGGCCACGCTTTGAGTGTAGACATGACGGAAATTGTGCTCAAGTCAGGCGCCGATGGCCTCACCCACACCTTTGTTGACCAACCACCACCAGACAGCATCATTGACCTGTACAAGAAGACCAATGCCTTCGTCATTCCCACTTTGGTTATTGTCAGCAGCTTGACCAGCGAAGAGCCAGAGTATCGGGAGAGGTTCTCCGAAATTGCCTCCAAGCGCGGCCTCGTTGATGAATTTACCAGGCAGAACATGCTGCTCACTTTGGGTATGAAAGCTCCCGAGTCCAAGGTCGAGTATGCATTCCAGAGTGTCACGAAACTGAAACAAGCTGGAATTGATATTGTTGCGGGAACGGACGCAGCTCCTGGTCTCCCTGGCGCCGCCATCGGCCCAAGTCTGTGGCAAGAGCTCGCGATGTATGTTGAGAAATGCGGATTGACCATCACAGAGGCTCTTACCAGCGCCACTGCCACACCCGCGAGAAGGTTCGGCTTCAATGATCGAGGAGTAGTTGCCCAGGGCAAGAGAGCAGATCTCGTCCTCGTCAAAGGTGATGTCACTCAAGACCTGCAAACCCTCTATACAGGCGAAGGTATCGTTGGCGTGTGGAAGCAGGGCTTAAAGGCAGCCGCATCTACTTGATGCAAGATCTGACCAGGCCAACTTGCCTCAGTCTCTGCCCTCGAACGAGCGAATTCTCGATCTCAAAAGCATGCAATCCCCGCAAAGCCATGTCTGTGTGAACACCAGGCTTCTCCCTTTTAGATTCACTTAACAGGCAAATGCCAGACACGTGATATCACCACTGATGCTAAAGAATTAGTGGCCAATATTAGTGACCTTTTAGCGTTAGATTAAAGCCATCGCACGGGCCCGGTCCGGCCTTAGAAATGCTAATGCCAAGATCCTCCATATGTAATTGGCCAACACAACCTCATCTTGAATTCTAGTCGGCGATGTCACTATTGTTGGTGGCGGGTTGAGAATCCCATCGTCTTAGGAGATCAGAGGCAAAACAGCCCTCATCGATGCTCGAAAGAGGCCATCATATCTATCAAAAATTCAACAACAGCCTCCATCCAACTTGACCATCACCATATCCTTCTCCTCACCGGCTTTCATCCACCGGTGGAGCATCTCCAAATTCCGCCAGGTCGCTTATCTCAAACCCCTCGGCCGAGCTACTGCAGTGATGAGCTGTCATCTCTTGCTAGTCATGAAACTCAATATTCACCACAGATGCCTTTGGCCAGGTAAACATTGGCACCGAGGTGGGTAGAAGAGAGAAACATTAATCCAAAGGTCTCGTTGAAAGTAAAACTACTCCTTATCCTCCCTATAAAACCATCCCACCCCTAGCCCCGCACTCACCGAGTTCGTGATAGCCCAAGTCTTGACGATAGTCTTATCAACATCACCAGTGTCACTATCATCCAGTCTTCTCTACTACCGTCCTCACCACCGCCACTATGCTGGACAACAACGAGCAAGACCTCGAGCGACTCGCCGAAATATGTCTCTCCACGGCCAAACAAATCAAGGAATACCTGGCCGCCAACAACCACCCTCCCATGACCTTTGATCAGAATGGCCCTGCCTTCTTCCCCCCTACCAGTCCGCCAGACATTCAAATGGCCCGTATGGATCTATGTACTGCGGCCAAACGACTCTATGACCTCGCAGCAGGACCCGACGAAGTCGTCACCTTCAACACCTACAATATAGTATGCCATTTACCCCTTCCCTCCAACTAAACCTATCTTTCTCACCTACTTATCCTCACCATAGGTCCATGACCTCAACGCCTTCCGCTACGTCAACTACTACAAAATCGCCGAAGCCGTCCCCCTCGATTCGACCATCAGCTACACCACCCTCGCCGAGAAACTCAACCTCTCAGCCACGCAACTCCGGCAAATGCTCCGCCAACTAATCCAAATCCACGTGTTTTCCGAACCCACACCAAACCAAGTCTCGCACACCGCGAGCTCCAAACTCCTCATCACACACGCTGGAGTCGGGGCATTCAACGCCTTCACCACCCTCGACACCGTGCCCATGGCGGCGCAACAAATCGAAGCCCTCGAACACTTTGGCCATGGAAACGTCCACCCCAACCAAGGCGGATTGAATTACGCATGTAAAACCGATCTTGCCATGTACAACTACTACGAAACCCAACCTGCCGTCCGCCAACGTTTCAGCACATTGATGACCTACGTCAGTTCCTTCCCGGCCATGAGCAATCGCCACGCCGTTCGCGGCTACGACTGGTCCTCCCTTCCCCAGGGTAGCACCGTCGTCGACATCGCCGGCAACGTCGGCCACACCATGGTCCCCATCGCCGAAGCCCACCCCAACATCAAATTCATCGTTCAAGACCTACCGAAAATCGTGGCTCGCGCGACCGATCCCAGCACAAATGTGATTCCAGAACCACTACGCGATCGATTCACGTTTCAGGAACATGATTTCAACACACCACAACCGGTGGTGGGTGCCGAGGTTTATTTCTTAAGGATGATTATGCATGATTATAGTGATCCGTATTGTTCGAGGATTTTACGGCAGATTGTGCCGGCGATGAAGAAGGAAAGTCGGATTGTTATCATGGATCAGGTTTCGCCGCCGGTGGGGTTGTTGCCAGCGAAAATCGAGAGGATTATGAGGACCCAGGATTTGCAAATGATGTTGCTGACGAATGCGAGGGAGAGGGATTTGGATGAGTGGAAGAAGTTGATTGCGGATGTGGTTGGCGGTGGTGATGATGATGATGGGAAGGAGAAGGATGATTCTGCTGGTGAGGGTAAGGGTGCTGCGTCGGATGCAACTCCTGTCCCCCTTGAGATTAAGAATGTCGTTACTCCTCCTGGAAGTACCATGAGTCTTATCGAGGTTGGGTTTGTTGGTCAGCCGTGAAGAGTACATACATTTATAGTTCTAGCAAGCAATTAGTCACACACGAGAAAATAACAACTACATGAGTCTGCACAGCGAGTCATAACGGTGACTATGACGTGGACGTCGATTCATTAAGGTGGTCAAGGATGAATCCAAGGTCATCGAGTAATCCTCTATCTCTGTCACTTGGCAATTGATATTCAAATCAAGCCGATATGAACGGATGAAGTGTTCCTTCACGCACAATCTTCCCCCCAACCTTTCCCCTCCAACTCTTTCTCAAGTTCCCTCATGTCACTGGCCAAAGACGATATGATGCCTCGATATGATACCCCGCCACCCGGTGCTGGAAAGTTGGAATATTCTTCTCGCCGATCAGACAAGCTGATTCGACGACATTTGTTCATTACCTGGCTTTAACCCTAGCCTTTGTCTAATAAGCCGCCGCCATATGCTCGGCAATCTCGGTTGGATCTGTTATCCACCGCAGTTTCTTGCCCTGTGCGCTGGCCTCGTTGGCTGCCTTGATACCCTCATCAAATTCCCGCGTCCAAAATGCAATCGAGTCGTCTGTATCTCGCTGCGTCCAATGCTTCTGGATTAATCCTCCAATGTAACTATCAGTCGTACCCGCCTCTTCGTACGATTGTGGCCTCACTTGCTCGAAGAGGTTGATCGCCCATTCGTCAAACTCGTGTTCTCGCTGGTAGTCGGTCTTGCCATCTTCGCCCACTGTGGTGTCGTCCAAATCCTCTCGAGTACTGGGTTTGCCTGGTGTCAATGTCATGTCCGATGTATCCGCATTATGATAAGCCGGACGGAAGTCTCCTGGAGTTCCTATCTGCAGGTTTGACTCGGTAAAATCGCCTTCCGACAATGGTGGTGAAGATGATCGAGATCGCGCCGGTTCGCCGTGTGACAGACGAGATGATCGAACGGGCTTGTACTTCTGTGCGTCCAATCGTGCCTTGTTCAATCGCGTCTCCTGCGAGTCATTGAAAATGTTGCCATCGTCATTGTTCGTGAATGCGCTTACAGCCGAGGAGGGAGAAGCGGGTTGCGGAAGTTCGGCATGAGACATTCTTGGTGTACTAGGAGGCTGCGACGGGACATGATCTTGGTCTTGACCTGACTTCTGTTGATCCTTTTCCAGTTCGGTCAATTCGTCTTCGTCAAAATCATCAAACTCATCTGCATCGGGAACTCGGAAACGACCTGGAGATGGATTGGCCAGGGACGGACGCCAGCTTGAGTCGTTTGGATCAAAAACATTCGAGTCGAGACGAAACTTTGGAGTTACATTATTTCTTGTGTTCTCGATCGTTGTGGGCGACAGGATGCTTGTCACATCATGCTTTGGAATAGACGACAGCGATGAGTCGGTGTTGCTTAGCGGAGTGCCGTCGGAAAATGTGCTTCCGTGATACTGGCCAGCAGGCCCATACTGACCATAGACATGCTTGATCGAGGTATTTGGGTTGATTCGAACTGATTTGGACGATCGTCCAAGAGTGCCCATCTGCCGAAGTGCTGAACGAAGTGGAGTTGAAGGAACGATGATGGCTTTGGTGGGAGTTGACGGACCTTCAGCATCTTTGTCAACGCCGGCAATCTCGTTTTCGACATCGAGGTAGTTATCATCAATACCGAAACCTCCCGTGGAGGGACCAGGGATATGGCCATCGACGGCTGCCAACACTCGTTTATTAGACCCTGCTTCCTTTCTCACAAATTCTGCATCTTCAACCTCTTCGGCAGTGCCAGACTCGACTTGGATGCTACTTGCACTGGGAAGGCTGTTTGCATACCGCCGCCGCTTGAAGGATTGCTCCCACAGAGCAGGCTGAGGCCGTTTATTTTGTAATGGAGATGGTGGAAGAGTGTCGTTGGTGCGGACCAGAGCTTGGGATGTTGTGCCTTTTTCTTCGACTGCAGGTACAGGCCGTGTTCTCTCTTGTGAAGTTGGAGGCGTCTGTGGACTTGAAGGCGATTTCTCCGCCTGAGTTTTGCTAGCCGAACCACCAATAAATCCGCCAAAGAACTTCTTCACGCTACCAAATAGGCCCTGCTCTGTTGGCTTTTCTGGGGTTTGGGGAGGAGGGGTCGGATCTGCTTCTTGCGAAGATCGTGGAGAAGCATTCGGCGGCGTCGGCGCAGGTTCCGGAACTTGTGCTGGACGGGCATCCCTCTTGCGGGCATTGACGTCAATGTTGAACCGCGAATCGAAGGCTTTGGCATAGAGAGGTGATTCGTGGACTGCAGGCTTCTGGAGGAGGTATGACTTCTTCCTCTGGGTAGAGAAGAAAGCCGTAGGTTGGCGTTTCTCTGGTTGCGGAGTTACGGCATTGCGAGGGCGTTTGGAGGATGACTCGGGTTCCTGACTTTCACGACGTCGCTTTCCATTCATGGGTTCTGGGAGACCTGTTAGCATGGGGTCCGTCTGAGTTGCAGCATCTTTGTATTTCAAGAAAAGGGTCCGTTCAATACAATTCGAGGGAGTCTGCACGAAACCAGGCGATGTGGGGGGTAGAGGACGGGTAGAGAATTCTCGGTTTTGGCGGCGCAAATGATTTCGATGGGTCTTTGGGAGAGAAACAAAGGGACTTGACCTGGGCTTTCGCGTACGTTTTGGGACCTTATACTCCGTGAAACCCTCGGGAGGGGCTCCCTGTCCGCGGGTGCGGACCATGGTCTTCTGACCTTCCTGCCAATGTTGATGCTGATCTGAGTCGTGCTCGAGAGGAAGAAAGTCGATCCGGGGGATTCAATGATTCGGGAGACTGAGCGTGAATCTGGGTGTTATTGGATCAGCGTGACAAGTGATGGACTGATAAACAATGACTATAACACCGATGACGCGTTTGCTGTGCTGTAGAGCGGTTGGGATGATGCTGTAACGGACAGGTCGAAGTGAACTTGGAGGCCAGCGGAAATAAAGTGACAACTTCTACTTTGGGACTAGTGTATATCAAATCTTGGCATCATCCCTGAAGCACTGCCCAACATATACAATAGGTGAATAGGCATTGAAGACACTCTTATTGTCTACAATAGATGAGGACTTCAGAGAAAATCGGACATAGAGGAGCCTTGTAACTTCCAAGTTGTGATAGGGATTGTTTTTCTCGTTTCGTAAGCCCATTTGCTATACCTTTCCACTCCCCGTTCTTGATATGCACGCCACCACGAAAGTCCAGCCTCGATTGCAAGAACTCGATCCAACCACCTCAAGCCCCAGGACAAAACCGAGCCCATACTCGCCCATTCACTCATTCAATCATCGGCAGTGAATCCCTTGCGTCTCTGTATATCAGATACTCCACGACATGAATCCGATCATGACCATTGGCTCTGCCATCGAAAGTCAATGTTCTGGGCACCCCTGTCTTGAACAAACCCTGGTCCTTCCAGTTCTTTTGTCGAATGACAGCAGCAATCCAAGCCCGCTTCCAGTCCGCTGCAAGCCGTTCATGCCAGTAACGACCTATTCCGCTTCTGATGACTGACCTAATCACTTCCCAGCTGCCGTTGGCATCAAATGCGTCATCTCCAAACTGGAGAGGATACTGTCCTGTGTTGCGCATTTCGCAAAACAGACTCACAATTATGATGTGTCCCTTCCGCCGCAAGTAGACGTCGAGGTCGTTGGCCAGATAAGTTCCCAGAACCAGAGCCGACCAAGCAAGCACACACTGGTACTGGGGTGCAGCATGAAATCCAGACAGCCTCTTGTTCAGGAAGGTTTGTGCAAGCTCGAAGAATGGTGGATTGTTCAGGAGAACGTCAAGATCGCAATTACTCATTGCTATTTTCTGGCTCGAGGAGGACCCGCTCCCGGAACTTGATGGTTCGGACGTAAGGTATAACCCCCGGACTTGCGCCGCAAAAGCCACCAAGGCGCAGCCGACCTGGGTGTCGATCGGTGTGAGTGTCATGGTGGCAATTGTCTGTCCAACCTGGTTGAATATATGACCGAGTTCAACCAGAGCCTTTTGTCTCTCGCGTGACGGTGGCGGCGACAGCTCGAGGACTTCATGCAGGGATACCAGGTGAGAGATCGTCGCCGAATGCAACTCTACCTTTGCGAGACTCGGAGCCAGTTTGGTGATGTCTATCCGCGAAATTCTTTCTTTCCACAAGGGGCTTGCATTCCTGGAAGGACCCGGTGGCGAGGTAGATCCGGTAGTAGAGTTTGCCTGGAGCAGATCATGTCCGCCTCTGTAGGCATGGATCGCCGTCCAGCTATCACAACTGATCAGCCATTGTCACCGTGCAACGTCGTGACAAGCATCCGACTTACCTCCTCAGTCGGTTTTCGTTGATGCGAGAGATGTCGGTCCCAGGGTTGGTCAACATATATTGTTCCACGAGCTTTTGGTAAGCCTCAAAGTGGAAATTGAATGCATCGCGTTCATTCGTCATATACTGTCTCTGAAATTAGTCCAAGTACCCCACATTGCCACGCCGCAAAGTATGGATCAAGGGGCATGGCACCAACCGCAATAGCAATCATCCTGCCCACTGTAAAGATGACCTCGGACTCTACCAAGGTTGCTTCGTCTCGAATACGCTTTTGTAGTCTTGCAAGTGCCAAGCCTCGATGGTAGAGCATGAATGGGTCGTCTGCTGCTGGCTTGCCCTCGCTTAGAAGGAAGGCTATGCGGCTGACAGCGATGGTGGCGTCGAAAAGCATCTCATCTTGCATGGCCATAGGCCAGCAAAGGTCGAGCTGCGTGTTGAACCCTATGCAGGCATCAAAGAACCCCAGATGATGTGGGATCCAGACGTGAATATCTGATGATTTGTCAGCTGTTGAATATGAGACTCGCCACTCATCATTTGACATACGATAGTCCACCATGAGCCTCACGGCATCGCTGTCTGACCTCTGAAAGGTAATGGGGAAATTGGGTTGGGGGCTGATGCTGACACCGCTGGATGGAATGACCTGTTTCACAGATTCCGATCCAGGAGAAGGCTTTCTCTCCTGCGAACCAGCTCTGGAAGAAGCCGGGGATGACAAGGAAGGCGTCAGAAGATTCTTGTTATTGGACCAGCCGACGAGACTGCGGGCGTAGCCAGCATTCTGGTGTGCGGCAGCCTCTTGTCTGCGTCGCTTGCCTGCACTTTGGAACCGTCGCGCCTGGCTTGACACGATCTTCGATCCTCCCCTTGGAAACGAAGCAGGATTTTGCTCGACAAAGATGTGGCATGGGCTATTGCTCCGTGATTGCTGTTCCTTCTTTCTTCTTTCCATATGTGCTGACGTGGATCTGCGACATGCTGCTGACCGCCGAGCTCGACAATATATAGGTGCCATCTATGTGTTTTATGAGTGTGAGCCACCGTGACGCAAGAAGCCGCCGGCATGTCTCTCAATCCTTAGCAGCTCCACGGCATTTCAGCAATAGCAGGGTGAGAGAAAGCAAGCTTGGGGGCGAGACTTTGTCATATCGCGAGATCTGTGACTGCTGGCAGCCCCAATATAGCACTAAGGAGTCGTCATTGCATCTCGGCGTCTGCGGCATCTTCCAGCGGATTCTTTTCAGTCCAACCTGAGTTCGTCTTCTTGGCCATCATGTCTTGATGGGAAATCAAGTATTGGTAACAGACAAGGTTGAATGATGTCTGAAATCAGGTCGGGCAACCCACGCGCTATTGCCCTGGCTCCCGATAAGGCTGCAGGCGTGCCCTGGGGTGCATCACCTTTCCTCATGAGTGAGGTTTCCAAGGCGGATTTAGTGATTCAAGGCAATTCTGTAATGCGGCGACTGATCTGAGCCCAAAGTGGACCGGAATATTGAACAGTCTTAATTGATCCTATTGGTCAAGGCAAGCGAATGGATGCGGGCGTCTTTCCTCGATCGCTTATACATGGAATGAGCTGTGGCAAGTCATGCTCTCGTCGATCGGGGACGCGGGATGATTGGTTCGGTTAAGTCCTGCTGAGATTTTTCATCTATTCAGCTTGGTTTTAGTCATCCTCTCAGATCATCTCCACCTTCGCTTCGGCCGTTGGAACGTCCTGAAGAAGAAGGTTCAACATAGCGCAATTCAGGGGACTTCGGGGCCATAAGGCTGGAATTCATATGTCGGAATTGCCAAAAAGTGTTATACCATGTCCAACGGTAAGAAGCCCTGGGCTAGCCAGTCCAATCGGCACTCACAGACGACCGTATCCGGTAGTGAGTTGCATTGAGTACAATACCACATAGTGTTAACCCCCAATTGAAAAGTGAATTTCCCTTCTATGTCCATGTTATTCTATGAGGGGATGTTCATTTCCAACCAATCAGGCTGTTGCCAAGATACCCCTAATCGGGTTAGTGAACGGCTTGCATTAGTGGTGGTACCGGTTTCAGCTTCAAGGATGTTTTGGAGCCGAAAAACCTGGTCATGCCACAAGGAAAAGTCTCAAGATGGACAGGGGTGAAATGGTAGATCGTGACGTTGTGATCATGGGTTTCGGCGGCGCCATCTACAGATAGGCACTTGTGATAGGTGACACGGTGACATCAATCTTTTTGGAACCAGTTCGAATATGCTTGATTCGCCCAGTGCAGGGTTCCCCGTGCTCGGATAGGCACAGACAGCCTTTTGTTTGTTCAATTGATCGGGATTTTGAAAATCTTGTCTCGGTTATGCATGTTCAACCGAGTCTTAGTCATGATAGACCCGACTCAGGGCCCGAAACCCCCCATCGGGCTGGAACAGAACACTCTCCCCAGCTGGTGGGAATATAGTAAGCGATTAGGTACGTGCCACGGCCGCCGTGAGTTCCCACGTGGTCAACAGACTCCTTTGATACCGACTTCATGCCTTCGCCATCTGATTTTGCCGTGCCACCCGGGTCTCTTGTGGTAGTTACTGGGGCGAACGGTTTCATCGCCAGCCATGTCGTGGATCAATTACTTCAGCTCGGCTACCGAGTGCGAGGCACTGTTCGATCGCTGAAGAGAGGCGGATGGACGGTCAACTACTTTGGGAACAAGTATGGCGCAGGAAAGTATGAAGTGGTCGAAGTGGCGGAAATGGGAAATCCCGGAGCATTCGACGAGGTGGTCAGAGGAGCATCAGGGTACATCCAAATGGCGACACCGGTCATGGAATCGTACGACCCAAATGTTGCCGTGCCCAATGTGGTGAACGGAGTCCTTAACGGGTTGAAGGCCGCAGCGAATGAGCCTTCGATCAAGCGGTTTGTGCTAACATCATCCTCGACGGCTGCAACGAGCCCCATCCCGAACAAAAAGTTCTCGGTCGACGAAAAGACGTGGAATGACGACGTGGTGAAAGAGGCTTGGAAACCTCCGTATGAAGGAGTGCAGAAGAAGTTGGACGTGTACACCGCCACCAAGACTGAGAGTGAAAAGGCAGCATGGAAGTTCATGGCCGAGAACAAACCAGGCTTTGTCCTCAATGCCGTGTTGCCTAACGCCAATATTGGCAAAGTACTTTCACCTGAGAATCAGGGTGCTCCCAGCACAGTCGGATGGGTCAAAGCCCTATGGGATGGTTGGGAAGGTAACGAAGACCTGAGAGAGAATCCTCCTCAGTACTATGTGAATGTGCAAGACAACGCAAAGGTCCATGTCGGGGCACTACTCTGTAAGGATGTCAGCAATGAGCGTCTATTCACCTGGGCGCATCCGTATAACTGGAACGACATGCTGGCGATTCTGAGAAAGCACTATCCGCAGAAGAAGTTCATCGACGATGATCCAAATATTGGAAGGGATTTGAGCCAGGTCAGCAACCAGCGCGCCGAGGAGATATTAAAACGCTTCAGCGGCAGCGGCTGGACGAGTCTTGAAGAGTCGATCGTCGATGCGGCATCTTCATGGGCAGAGTCGCCCAAATGACACTTGATCGTGCTCTTCTGGTCAAATTGACATGGGATATGCAAGATGGATTCCATTCATGAAGGGTCAGTGCGAATGGTTGGAGAGCAGACGCTGGTGCTCATCTAGTCACGTGATGATTCGTCACGTGTGAGATGAAGATCTGGTCAGCAGCACTAGCCCTCGACTTGAGGTTTCGACACGCAAGCGGCTACCCTCATTGTCATCTCTGGCCAAGTGGTATCTGGAGTAACAAAAAGCGCGCCATTGGAAGATGACCCTAACTAAGTAATTGTCGTGTGATGACGTGTCGATAAAGAGGAATTTCTTAAAAAAGCAGTGCATGAAATCTCACGTGATAAGAGTCTTGTCCTCTCCACCCTTATCATTGGCCGGCACGTGGGACAATTCTGATTGGTGAAATTCATGGAGTTCTTCCGACTTACTCCGAAGGCTGCATCTGTTCCTCTCTTGTCTTCTCATTACTTAACTGAAAATATTGTATAGCCGTCTCTGGGCAGTCGTAGACACTCCGTCATCACAGACAGAGATTGGAATCCGTCAAGTAAAAGACTCAAAAGTGCCTCCCACGAGGCGCAACATCAAGCTCAATAATACTAAGTAACAGGTTTCCAAGTAGCTGAGCGGCACAAGTGATTCAATATATTACTTATTCTCACTGTGGGCGCTGTTCTTTTGTTATCTGTCAGGTTACGACCACAAAATCCCGAGTCTCAGCAATCATGCGCTATCAGACCTTACGCTTCACAATGTTTTACAAAGGACCCAGCGAGACAAATGACCGTCGTGGACATTCACACACTGGGACAGGGTCAGAGGCTGGTTCATCTTCATCAGGATCAAGTCTTCGATCATTGACGTCAAGCACCTCGTTATTATCTCAACACTCGACGACTTCTCTAGCAGGTCAACAAACTGTTGCGAACACATCCAAACAGCGAACTACCTCAGATAGTGTACGTTGACCCAGGAAGCGAATAGAGAGAAATTCTACGATAAAACATGAAGCCACCCACAATCATCAAATCTGGGGAATATTCCAGAAATCAAGCCTAACGGCACCAACAAACTCGAGTCGCGTTTTCAGCTCAAAAGCATGTGAGGACATATTGATTGATGTTGATTGATGCTGATGACGCGGGGATTCGTTGAAGCTGCAGCCACGAGGATAATCACACATGGGATTGGGCGCTCCTTCTAAAGGAGTGACATGTCCACACATGAAACATGATGATCCAACTGGTGATGTGCCAAGTCGATCCAATGGTGATTGACCGGTAGAATGAACTGCATCCGTGCAAAGGGGAATGAGGACACTGGGGATATTTTCACATGCTTCACAGACAGCTGTTGTCTTTTTGGGGCCACTGGGGCTAGCAAGTGTCAATACGGTCAGATGACTGACCCTGACCTCGAGCCGACCGCCTCCCCACAAAGTCTGGGGCAGGGTGGACGAACACAATTTGAAGGATTTTTACAGGTATATATGTATGTGTCTAGGAATGACATGTGCGATTCAGCAAGCAGGTGGCGTGTGGCATTTCGGGAACGATAGATTTGGTAACTCAGACCTTTATTAGGTACACTGTAGGATATATGTGGGGTGGCCCTCACTTTGTTTCATGCCCTCAGTTGAAAAGAAGAAAGGTGCCTAATGAGAGGGTATTATTGTATCCCCGTGGAGAGAAATGCGCCGAGTTGTAGGCCCGAAATGCGGCAGAAGTGGAGGCCCCGCGGCACCTCCAACCAAGTTTCCTCAGCCCAACTTTTTACTACTTGTTACTGCTGAGGTCGCCATTCTCTCAGCAATCCTCCGCGGGCGTTCACACCGATTTTTCAAGGACGGGAGCAGAGGACAACAGACAAAGAGCAACGAGACATATGTGATAGTAAAATTTTTAATGCTAGCCAAGTACGGTATCTACATTCTACATTTGCGGCAATCAAACTCCGGGTGTGAAGGGCGTCTAGCACTTGGGACCGATGGGGCCTGGAACACCGGTGAGACCAAGCCTAATGTTATTCCTCCATAGGCGTTGGTGGCACTGAGGCGGAGGACCGTCCGCGGTATGTACTCCGTTCTCCGGCCTCCAGACTCCAGACTGCGGCGGGGAGGCTCCAGGGCTGCTCCAGGGTTGCTCAGCCTACCAAGAGACACGCAACTCACAATACTAAGTTACTTGTGGTAACTCATGACGCTCATACCGACAGGCGCCTCGGCCCCTCGTTGTTTGGCAATGCTCTGGCCAATCCTTTTCATTGCAACCTGCATTACTCTTGTAACGCCGCGGGTGCCGAGGTTCAGTCCATCTGTTCTACTTGATTTGTGGGAGGGAGTGTGGCTGCCATCTGCCATCTGCTGATCATCCATTATTGATTGCTATCCCCGTATTTGCTTGCTCCTTCTCTCCTTCGAAAACACACCTTCCAGACGCTGCACAGGTCTTCCTTCCTCTCTCGATTCACGCCCAGGAACACTCCTTGCATCTCACGAGACTCGAATTTCATCAACTCGTCCACACTTCTCCTCTCTCTGCGCAGCCAAAATGACCCCTCCCCGTGTCATTGTTGTTGGTGGTGGCCGTAAGTCTCGAAAACGCCATCAATTCTTGGTCGCTCTCCCTATTAATTCATCCTAGTGTCTGGTCTCAGCGCCGCCCATACCGTCTATCTCAACGGCGGTAATGTCATTGTCTTGGATAAGAACAGTAAGCCCTTTCATATCGCCATCCTGTGAACTCCGTCCACCACCGCTAACACATGCTAGACTTCTTTGGTGGAAACTCGACCAAGGCCACCTCCGGAATCAACGGAGCTCTCACTCGAACACAAGTCGACCATGGCATTGGCGATTCGGTCAAGCAGTTCTACGAGGATACCCTCAAGTCCGCCCGCGACAAGGCCAGACCAGATCTGATCAAGGTCTTGACATACCAATCAGCCTCCGCTGTCGAATGGCTGCAAGACGTCTTCAACCTCGACCTGACTCTTGTTTCTCGTCTTGGGTATGTCTTCCCATAATCAGCCATGACGGAATACACTGACCTTTTCTAGTGGACATTCCTTCCCCCGAACTCACAGAGGCCACGATGCCAAATTCCCCGGCATGGCCATCACATATGCCCTCATGCAACGACTAGAAGAGCTGACTGAGGCCGAGCCCGAGCGGGTTGAGGTCATCAAAAAGGCAAAGGTCACCAAATTGAACAAAGAGGGCAACCTCATCACCGGTGTCACCTATGAATTTGATGGTCAAGAACACACAGTCGACGGCGTTGTCATTCTTGCCACTGGTGGTTATGCTGCTGATTTCACTGAGACTTCCCTGCTCAAGAAACACAGACCAGACACATTCGACCTCTCCTCCACAAACGGAACCCACGCCACCGGTGACGGCCACAAGATGCTCATGGCCATTGGCGCCAATGATATCGACATGGACAAGGTTCAAGTCCATCCCACAGGTCTGGTCGACCCCAAGGACCCTGGCTCCAAGTGGAAATTCTTGGCCGCCGAGGCTCTCCGTGGTGAAGGTGGTATCCTGATCAACAACGAGGGCAAGCGGTTCTGCGATGACTTGGGCCATCGTGATTACGTTTCCGGCAAGATGTGGGAGGAGAAGGAGAAGGGCAAATGGCCCATTCGCCTTGTCCTCAACTCCAAAGCCTCCAACATTCTTGATTTCCACACCCGCCACTACTCTGGCCGAGGCTTGATGAAGAAGATGAGCGGTGACGAGCTCGCCAAGGAAATTGGTATCAGCAGAAGTGCCCTCGAGGCATCCTTCTCCGACTACAACGCCATTGCCAAGGGTGACAAGAAGGATGAGTGGAACAAGAAATACTTCCACAACCTGCCCTTCAATGTCGACGATACTTTCCACGTTGCTGTCATGGAACCAGTGCTCCATTTCACCATGGGCGGCATGGAGATCAACGACAAGGCTCAAGTTCTCAACAAGGAGCAAAAGCCGTTCGATGCCCTCTTTGCCTGCGGTGAGCTTGCAGGTGGTGTTCACGGTGCAAATAGATTGGGTGGTTCATCACTCCTCGGATGTGTCGTCTATGGACGTGTCGCTGGTGCATCTGCCTCGCAATACCTGTTCCAGAAACTGACCGCTGGCGGTGTTACCACTGCTTCGCAGCGTGCCGGTCAAATCTCCCTTCACATCGATCCCAACACACCTGGCAAGATCTCTGTCGAATGGGGAAGCGGTGGCTCTGGCGGCGCTAGCGCATCGGTTGGTACTGCAGCGACCAGCCAGCAGGCTCAAAAGACGGCGGCACCAGTCATGGATGGCAACAAAGGTGAGGACCCAGCCAAGAAAAAGGAGGCCAACGACATCAGCTCATTCAAGGTCCCCGATAAGGAGTTCTCTCTTGAGGAAGTAGCCAAGCACAACAAGAAGGATGATCTGTGGATTGCTGTCAAGGGTATTGTTATGGATGTGACAAACTGGCTTGATGAGCACCCGGGTGGTCCCCAGGCACTTTTCAGCCACATGGGCAGAGATGCGTCGGAAGGTGAGTGTAGTCCCGTTCTTGTCTTTGCGAAGGAGCCAGACTAACCAGCAACACAGAATTCGAGATGCTCCACGACGATGAAGTTATTCCCAAGTACGCAGCCGATATTGTGATTGGCCGAGTTCAGGGCCAGGAGGTGCGGTTAGAGTACTAGGAGGAAAAAACCATTGTCTCAATCTTATCTGCCCTATTGTATGTGAAGCCTCTGGGAGTAAAATGCTATTTTTTTCAACCATCTCCATGAGCCTTGTAATTTACGTTGGTCAAATGAAACTCGTGGAGTCTATATTGAAACCATGCATGCGATCTGAGTCGGCTTTGTTATATTTGTGCCTGGTCGCAGTCGCACTTGCATCAAACGAGCTCCTTCCTAAGTTGCGGACTCGAACGTAGAGATATTGCACTAGTCCTAATTGGGACTAGTGCATCGTCTGCCTCATTTGGGGCTTCCTCACGCTTGTCACTACTTGGCCGGTTTATCCAGCCAGAGACGTCGAAGAAGAGCCAGTGTCACTCACTCGACTGCCTCAGATGCGCCCATCCTTTTCTACGACCATTTTGTACTATTAGTCCTCCTTCTTATTCCCTGTCTTCCTGCTCGGCCCTTTCTCTACCCACCCAAACTTGCTTACTGCCCAAGACTTGCGATCGTAAGTAGAAATTCCTCCTCTTCCCAGATCCCCACTCCCTCGTGATCTCGCCCGACGCAGACCCTTCTAATGGACAGAAAAAGTGTCGCAGGCGAATTTCGACATTGTCTTGAAGACATATTCCATCGACTGATCAATCGCAGGCAGAGTGCGCGAGCCCACTTTTCCAACTGGTCATCACAGGTGCCACCACATTTCACAGCCTAGCCAAAGGTCTCACACCCCACGTCGCCCCTTGACACCGCTACGACTTGAGCCGCATAGCCATGGATCGCCGGGAGATTCAGTCCAAAGGAGCAGCACTACAGAAAGCCATACAAGCGAAAGAACCCGTCGATAGCCTGTTGACGATTCTGAGAGATCTTAAAGCCAACGTCAAGCCGACGGAAGAATTGCTTCGAGCGACCCAGATTGGAAAGATCGTGAACAAGGTCAAAGGCTACCCAGGGCTGGATCCTCAAGTCACACAGCTCGCTTCAGAGATTATCAGTCGATGGAGACACATCGTCAACGAACAGAAATTGACTAGCGGGAGCTCGACGCCTAACGGTGCAAGATCGAACGGTACTAGCTCGCCAGCACCGAAAGCTGCAACCCCTCAACCCAAAGCAGTCAGCCCAACAGGTGTGGCGCCTGACAAGAGAAGTTGGAAAGTGGACAAGGTGCCTCGCGATGACTTGACCAACGACACGGCGCGCAACAATTGCATCGGATTGATCTACGATGGCCTCTGCATCGGGTCTGAACTTCCCATGAAACAAATCCTCGCGCTTGCCAAAGAGATCGAAAGTGCAGCGCTTCAGTTACCTGCCGCGAAGGGCTCCTCCAATTCGCCAATCTACAAGGACAAGATCCGATCGCTCTATCAAAACCTAAAGAACAAATCGAATCCTGGGCTCCGAAAACGCATTTTGGTCGGAGAAGTCACTCCAGTCCGATTTGTCAGTATGTCGCATGAAGAGATGAAGTCGAAACAGCAGCGAGAGGAGGACCAAAAGATTGCCAAGGAGAACATGAACAACGCGATGGTGGCACAGGAAGAGAAGAGTGTCAGCACAAGTTTGGAGTGCGGAAAGTGTCATCAGAAAAAGGTCAGCTATTCGCAGGCGCAGACACGAAGTGCTGATGAACCGATGACGACGTTTTGTGAGTGTCTGAACTGCGGGAATCGGTGGAAGTTTTCCTAGCGTCAACAAGGGCAGGTCAATCGGCAGGTCAATCGGCAGGTCAAACGACATGATCATGTGCCAGGTCTTTCTTTTCAGTCTAGTGAGGCACTCTGCGGCGATATTCTTTATCGTTACGAGATATTCGAGCTGTAGGGGAAAGGAAATGATCAAGCAGACGAGGGCAAAACATTGGCAGGCCGTCTGCGGATCCAGGTCAGAGGGTTGGTTGGACCGAGCAGAAAAACCAAAATGTGTTGAAAATGACATATCTCATAGACCATGATTTATTTAGTCACCAAGTATGAGGAATGAGATCCCAGATGAGAGACAGGTGTATGGATGAAGATGAATACGAAAATAAACGATGAGCAATGGGAGATGGGAGATGGGGATGATAGGCGGGTTCTCCGTAGATCATCGACGACTGGCATCCCTCTCATCTGGAATATTGAGAATATTAACTCAAATAATTGTACCTATCTCCGACCGGTCTGGACTGGACTGGATGCCGCGGATTTGGATGCCGCAGATGAAACACCTTATCCACACTACCTAGTACCAAGGACCTTACCTAAGGACCACACGGGCTACTACGAGGCGACGTGAAGCGAAGCGAAGCCACCCGAAGACAAACCGACAGAACGGATATCAAGGAAAAAGGACATTTGTGTTTTTGGTTAGGTACCCCATGATCTGGTTCAACGGTTCGGTTCAGTTGGGTCCCTTGTCATCAGTTCCACTGAGGAGGAAAATGAAACATGATTCCCTGTGGTTTCATATTTGTTTGATGAAATGCCTCGCAACAACAAGGTACGTACAAGGTCACATTCAGATTCCAACCTATGTAACCTGCAACAATGAAATCACTCATTCAATAATAGTGAATGAAGGAATGAATGAAGCAAGGAAGCAAAAATGAAAATTAATTCCTCAGGTGGGAAACCCGGAAGTACCCATGAATGTGGATTAGGAGAGTCCATTCAGTTTAGGAGTCATAATGTAGGTATCAATCGATGTCAAGCAAGATAATAAAAAATAGAAAAATATTCGTGAACTCTGATCTTGCCACGGACCGAGGTTGTGATGAGAGTACCTACCTACCTATTGAGTACGTCCTTGGTATGGAGATAAACGGATGAATTTGGAGTTTCTGGGATGGGGAATTACGACATACGAAAATGAAAGGCGTCACTAGTAGGTACCTAGGTAGGTACTTAGGTAAGGTAGGTAAGGTAGGTAGGTACCTAGGTACCTACTAGCTAATCCATGGAATGGCATGCTACGGGACGATCGTGAAGAGCATCTTGGATTTTGGACCTTATGGACTTTTTGTCTCATGATTAGAATCTGGAAAGGCACATATCTCACAGACCTACCTACTCTTAGAATTCAAGTTCTGGCTATCGCTAAGAACTTCTCCCCGAAAGTCCGAGATTGAGACTGTCGAGTCAAGTGCAGTCTCCCTACTCCTACGTGTCAATGATCCCATCCCATCCCTCCATCCATCCATCCATCTCATCTTGCTGGGATTCTCCGCATTTCGCTTACTTTACCCATAACATCCGTATTTTGAGTTCCCACAATATGCCACATCCATCCATCGCCCTCGACTTCTTGTCCGGGTCACCGAACAGGGCTCTGGAAAACAATTATTGGCTAGTGCAATGAATGCATGTGTCGTGATTACCTTGTTTTTTTCCCCCGAGATACAGAACACAGACACCAATACATCATAAACACACCACTCACGATAATTGAGACTTACAGCTACCGTGAAGTTTTGAGTCTGGGGCAAGACAGTAAATTAAGAATACCGAAAACACATCGGATGAGAATTGCGAGATTGAAATTGGGGTAGAAATTCAAAGTAGATCAATCAAATTAAACTGAATTGAATTTAGCCAAAAGACGGTGCCAGCTGCAGTCTCAGTGAATGAGTGAGTGCCCGGAGAAGGTCAAGACTCTGAGACTTCAAACTCGAGTTTCAAATGGCAAAATGTTAACCCGGACGCATGGTCGGAACTGGGTTAGGCTGGCTTATTACTGAGGCTGGACTCTGGAGGTCCAAAGGCCCACGGGCGCCTAACATGTCCCTGATGCATGGCCCCGGGGTCCAGGGTGAGGGTCCAAACAGCCGTGGCAGTTCGCTCCTCAGTTCCTCACAATCACATCCATGGGCCCGAATTCTCAATCCACCTGAATTCAGGTACCGTGCCGAGGACCATCCACCACTAACCGCCCACTATTCACCACTTCCAATAAATTTTAATAATCATGGGCCCATGGGGCGTGTTTGAACGTGGCCAGAGCCCGCTGCCACTGGTCACACGACAACGGATTCGGGACCCGAATGGCTTGTTAGACAGTGTCTACTCCGTAGAGCCAACAACAGTCTGAGGCACAGATTAAACCGAGCCTATCGGTAGCAACATATCCTGTAAGGCGGACGGCCGTCGGCCCCGATGATCTTATACCGAGCCAGCCAAGTTGGATGCATAGTGTTCCGGGAGTTCTACAAGTAGTAATTCTTGACTGCTTGATGTCTGTTCGTTAGTCGTTAGGGCAAGTCAAGACGAAAACTGGCAGTAGTAAACTAGCACAACTAGGACAACCAGCACACTACTCCGTAAGGTACCTAGTAGTCGAGTGATAGTCCTTTGCATGCAGGAAGGAGTGGAGATGCAGCCTTGTTTGCTCGTGCTTTCCAACCCGAAGTGCAGCCCTTTCCCCCGGCCGTGCGCATCAAAACTCGCTTGGAGATTGTTGAGGATTGTCTGGAGGTGAACCCCCTAGGTATCGTGGTACGCGTGGCTTGTCATGGGTTTGGGTTCCATGTCCATTAAACCCCGGATGAGACTGTGTCGGGGAGTCGGGTCACCCATGGCCCATGGCCCCCAAGTTCGTTCGTATTCCTCGTACGAGCACTCTGTAGTGTGTAGGATATCAGGTGCACCAAATCAATGGTAGCGGTGACGGTGAAGATCTGGCTGAAGAATTATTGGATTGTGGGTGAGAATTGAACGAACAAACGGTCTGCACCTGCACCTTCCTGCGCCTGGACTTTCTTGATTTCTCAGCCCCTCCTTCTGTTTGTTGCGCTTTTGACCCTGAGTACCTAGGTAGGCACACACCTTATGCTTCTCAACAATCCCCAACATCAGTATAGCCTCCTCTCTGTGACCCAACACCTCTACAGTGTTACCCTCTACATACAGTGCGACATCATCTATCAAACCTGTGGTGCGTCATCCGGCGTTCCCTTGTTCCGGACTCGAGTTCAAACTCCCCATCCCTGGGTTGTGCCCATGGAGTCATAATTAGATCCCGGGTGGAACCACAGCTGGACCGAAGCTGATTGTGCGGACACTATTTTAAAGCCAGGGCTTAGCTTTTTGACGGATGCTGAAATCCCCTTCGGGTCCAAGTCCCTTGCATCCAGTGCATGCTCTCCGCATCTCACCAACCTGACTGACTGCTCAACGTTTTGTGTGATTGGTCCGTGACGATGCCAAATTATGACTCTTGCACCTTCACATGGGAGGAAAGGAGGGCGAAAAAAAAAAGTTGAATCTCACATTTGCCCAGGGTCACTTTCTCACCTACGCACCTTCCCTGAGTTCAACAAAGCATCATTTCTGCACCTTCCTTCAAGGGTTGCTTCAGGCGCAGGCAGGCGCATGACCCAAAATGATAAAATCCGCCCCAAAAGTCCCAATTGTGCCAGTCCATGGTACCTTCCATTCATTTGAACTGATTGATTACTTGATTGCTTGCCTCGTGATTGGCCTCGTGTCTATCCTTGTCACACCGTTTGGCCCTGATCCTCGCTGATGCACCCCTCGTTGTCACCACTGTCTCACCCGGTTTCTCTTCGTGGCCCTTAAACTCCTCCCATCCCCATTGACTCATTTCTATATCCTCACCTGCGGCTCTAACACACTTAAGCTCCGACCATCTAGCCCGACTCTCTTTGATTCCTGGCCCATTACCCGTTTCCTCACCTGCTTTGGGTCTTTCCGCATCCACCGGCTATTGTACGGATCTGTTTGTTTTCGTTTCGGTGTCCACACCTATCCATTGGTCTCCTCCACCAGCATCCACAACTTCCACTACCACTACCACTACCACTACCACGCCTCCCACGGTGACACGAACAACCTCCAACTCCCCCGAGGTACTTATGCTGTACAGATCCGTCCCTCTCCCCAGGTTGAGACCCAAGTTTGTCTCCCTCATGCGTCTCTCATCCGCCAACATGTCATCCACTTCCTCTACAAAAGCTCCTCTTGCTCCGAGCCATACCAAGCAGGCTTCGATAGTTACTCCTACCACCCCGAGTACTCCTCATCATCCTCGCACCAAGCACACACATGCCACTGCTCATGTCCCTAATCGATCTGCTCATTACGACACTTCTCTTTCCGTCCCTGTGCGAAAATACCTCCAGACATATGGACTGACTCCTCCCCGCGCAGAGAGTTATGAAATCCAGAAGAAGAGATGTCTTGCCCAATTGGCCCTCAAGGCTACCGACATTGAACGATTCCTGTACTTGAGCACTCTGAGATACAACAACGTTCACTTGTTCTATCGTCTCTTGACAGACCACTTCACCGAGTTGACTCCTCTTGTTTATACACCCACCGTGGGAGAGGCATGTCAAAGATGGTCAGAAATTTATCAGCAGCCAGAGGGCATGTATCTAAGTTTTGACGACCGTGGACATCTCTCCACCATTATCCAGAACTGGCCTCAAGCCAATGTTGAAATCACCGTCATCACTGATGGCTCAAGAATTCTGGGTCTCGGTGATCTTGGCGTGGGTGGTATGGGCATTCCCATCGGGAAACTCGCTCTGTACACTGGCTGTGCGGGCATCCGTCCTGAGGGCACTCTTCCTCTGACCGTTGATCTCGGCACCGGCAATCAGGCCTTAATCAATGATCCTCTCTACATGGGAAGCCGCCGCCCAAAAGTCACCCCTCAAGAAGAGAGGGAATTCTTGGATGAATTAATGGAGGCTCTCAAAGAGCGCTGGCCCGATATTGTCATCCAGTTCGAGGACTGGAAGAATCCTTTCCCTTCTTTGGAGAGATATCGACACGACTATGCCATGTTTAACGACGATATCCAGGGCACTGGTGCTGTCATCATGGGTGGTATCATCGGTGCTGTCAAGCAGTCCGGTATTGCTCCCCGAGACCATCGGGCCGTCTTTCTCGGCTCTGGCTCGGCCGGTGTGGGTGTTGCCAGGCAGATCGTCGACTACTTTGTTCATGAAGGCCTGACCGAGGAGGAGGCCAAGAACTGCTTCTGGCTCGTCGACAGCAAGGGTCTGGTGACACAAGATCGCGGCGACACCCTCGCCGAACACAAAATCTACTTTTCTCGAACTGACAACAAGGGACAACAGTTCAAGAACCTGGAAGAAGTCATGGACTACGTTAAGCCCACCATCATTATGGGCCTGAGTACCATCGGTGGCGCTTTCACCCCTGAACTTTTGCAAAAGATGGGTCAGTGGAACGATCACCCGATTATATTCCCGCTCTCCAACCCATCATCCAAATCCGAGTGTACCTTCGAGCAAGCCATCACCCACACCGATGGCCGCGCACTCTTTGCCTCTGGATCTCCTTTCCACCCTGTCACTTACAAGGGCAAGACCTATCACCCAGGCCAAGGCAACAACATGTACGTCTTCCCGGGCATTGGATTGGGTACGATTCTCTGCAAAGCCGTGCAGGTGACCCCAGACATGATCTATGCCTCTGGCGATGCCCTGCCGACCATGATCACCGAGGAAGAAAAGAACAAGGCACTCTTATATCCAGACATCAGCCGAATCCGCGAAGTTAGCGCTCGTGTGGCCCTCTACGTGATCCGCGCAGCACAAAAGAACAACGTTGACCGGATCCATCATCTCCGTGATTTGGATGACGCTACACTCGAGGCCTGGATCAAGGAGAAGATGTATGACCCACATAAGGAGACCGAGGAGTTGGAGAATGAATTGCGGGATATTGTCCAGGAGTTCACTGTGTCATCACCTAGATTGTGATGGACAGACTCTGGATCAAATGAGCGCTTTCGGCGTTTGGGATTATCCGTGCTACTATGCACCAAAATGGAGCCGAGGATTCGAAGTGGATGCTGGATGCTGAAGCCACGTGCTCACACGGAAGTCGTCACACCCGACAAGTGTTGGAGCTGTCAGCTGCCCAGCGGCTTTGTGAGAGATACCCCTTTTACACAACTACAGCTTTAGTTTAGCGCTTGGAAAATGGATTTTATTGCTGGCAATCAAAGACAGAACTTGACAAAACACATTCACGCTCTCAACCAATATCAATCGAATATTATTCCGCCGCTTTGGCAGCGGTCCTTCTCATGCGTGTTTTTGCCTAAGACGACCTACATCTTTAGCACCTATCATCTAGGTGTTGTCTCAATGTGGACGAAGACATGGCAATAGCTGATGTTCTTTATATCACGTGAGACGTCATTGACACGTGATGAAGTGTCCTAATAGAGTTAGCGACTGCTGTTGATTCAACGTCAGATCGATCATTCTCCATCACCAGGCCATGATCTTGTGGGTGCGAATCACCTCACCACAGACATCTCACCAAAATTCTGACAATGTCAGATAAACCCACCTCTTGCACTCGTTCCCTTCTCTCGTAGAGGGCCTGCCACACAGTGTCTCCACCACTTGGCAGCAATATCTTGGACGGCACTGCGTGTTACTTCCGACGTTGAACATATGGCCAGCCAGGATGAGAAGCCTTGGGAGCGACGCGGCTTGCATGAGAAGCTGAAAATCCATGTTTCAAGTCAAGGGAAATGATAACGACACGGCCCAAGTTCGATTATCACTCATGAAATCGTGGATAATGCTTGGCCTGGGACTTCAATTCCATTTATGAAACCTTTTCCCCAGGGCCCAAGACAGGTTATGCGATTGTGGACTCTGGGCCTTTCATTATTGGATTCTGGGCAGCGGGATGGCTGGAAGGAGACAGTCCACGGCTACCGACACATGCTTCTGCGCCAATTTACTACCAAGGCCAATCCCACGCCCGCCAAACTAAGGTACGCATGTCTACAACAGATGCCTAGGTTGGCAACATGACTGCCACTGGTATCCCACCAGGCTTTGGCCGGAATAATCACTGTAAGTCAGCAGCATTTTCAGGCCAGCATGGCCCTAGAATTCGACGTTTGTGCAAATAAACAATTCCATGGTTTGTGGAAATTTTGTTGCATGTCGACACAACTGCTATCATCATGAGGTCAACTCATCAGTCCCAAATCATGGCACATATCCGAGCCAGAAGTACGTCATTTTCCGTCCTGGCTTGTCGCGATCGGTCGCTTGGGCACATTCGTTTCTTCGTTTCAATGTTGCTCGGGCATCTTCACGTATCCCAACTCATACCTGGCAAAGTCAACTCCCGGCTAAATTCTCTTGTCCGTGGTGGTGTTTTCGCTTTCTGGGTCGATGGTCACTGAACTGCTGCTGTCGCGTTGCAGAGTTCCCTCTGTCAGATCTTTGCCGTCAGGAATCTGTTTATTTTCCTGCATCGAACTAGGCGATGATCCGCCCTCGAGACTGTCAGCGATCTCTCCGTCCGTGGTATCTCGCAGGATGCATGGTGCCAGGGGCTGTTTCCAGTCGTCGCGGCGCTCCTCGATGATGAACATGTCCAGCCAACTCGGCATCAGGAACCCAACGACACACCAAACGAGCAGGAAATGACCAATGATGAATCCCATAATGTGGAGCGGGTCGTGGTACACCGTCTCAAAGCTCGGGTATGCCAGACTGAGAATGATGGCCAGGATTGGGCCTGTGACATATCGCAGGAGGGGAGCCCAGAGCGCAGGAAGAGCCCAGTTCGAACCACCACCGATGACCGAGTTCAGATCATGCCGAAGTTGATTACCCTGCCTTGCTGTCAGCGCATCATCGACAAGTAGACGTCACAATTCACGTTCGAAACTTACCGAATAAAATCCGACGTAGTAGATGATGAACGCCAGCCTGCTGTTGGTGAATAATCTCGCAGTTGGCCGCACGTCAGGAGTCTTCGCAATCAAGACAGATGCAATAGCGCACACACCGAAGACACCAAATCCGACACCCGCACCGGCGGGCACGCTGACTGTGTGGCCAATGATCAAGGCCAGGAGTTGAGCGCCGAGGTAGCCGGTATTGAAGCAGATGTAAGATGGCAGGCCCACCTGGCTAATGACATCCTCGAAGCGATACACGGTAGTGGCGCAGACACATTCGGCCCAGACAACAAATACCAAACCCACATTGTTGATCCATCGATCGATGCCGTCGAGGTAGTAATATCCGAAATGGGTGCAGTTGGGCAGAGATAGAAGGAAGACGATGATGATCATTGCAGTGCACACCCAGGGGCGTGACCAATTCCAACGCCTGGCGAATGCAGAGTCCATAATCAAGGTCATGACCGCATCAAGCATCACAAAGGTCGAACTGACACCCACGACCGCCAGCGTGAGGAAGAAGAGGGCCGACCAGAAATTCGAACCGGGCATCTGAACAAATGCTTCAGGATAGGTCATGAAGCCCAAGCTGTAGCTGCCCATGCGATTTTCCGGGTCGGGTTGCAAACCCATGAAGCCCACGATTCCGAACGCGGCGAATGCCAGGATTGCCTCGAGGAAGGCATTAGTGCAGGTGAGAAGGACGGCGTCCTGGGCTGCGTTGGCGTGCACGTGGTTGTACGAGGCATACGCAGTGTAAAAACCGAAACCGACACCAGTCGAGTAAAAGACCTGTCCAGCAGCATCCTGCCAGATACCCGTCGACGCAAGGGTCTCGCCTCTCCAGGTGGCAAAATATAACCGAATCCCATCTCCGGCATTTGGCAACGATGCGCCTCGCCCGATGAGAATGATGATGACGATCAGAGGCAGGCCCATAGTGAAATAGACGACACGTCCTGTCCATCCCGTGCCACGGAACATACAGAGCCATACGAGGAAGAAGAGGAAAGCATTCCAACCAACCAGGCGACCGTCGAGAGCAGCGCTGGGGAACTGCCTCCATCTGCCCGAATCGTCATAATCCCTTGCTTGGACGACCTCATACATGAAGTAATTCTGAGTGTCGCCTGCCCAAGGAAGTGGGCTCTCAAAGGACTTTTGAAAGAAGACCATTCCCCATGCAATGATGGGGATAAAGTAGATACTAACGACGAGGCCGACATAGTTCAAGGCGAACCCGATACCTCTCATGCGTCGACTGATCTTGTTAAAAGCCGTCACGGTACCACCACGATAGGCGTTACCAGCCGCCAGTTCCAGAGCCAGTGCAGGAATGGCCAACAAGCTGAGAGCGAGGAGATATGGGATGAACCATTGCAACCCGTTGTTGTTGAAGACCGTGGACGGGTATCTCAAGAAGTTACCCATGCCAATGACACCACTCAACGAGGCAAGGATGAAGGCCGTGCGTGAAGGCCATTGATCACGACCGTCCGGGCCCTTTGCGGGCGGCGGTGCGATCTTGTTGATGACCTTCTTGACCTTGTCCATGGTGACACTGGAAAAGAGTCAAGAAGAGAAATGGCGATTCAAGTCAGTAACAGTGACACCAATGGGTGGAGGAATCGCGATGAGAAAGGAAGGAACGAAAGGACGCGAGACCAGAGGATGCGTCGGTGACAGAATGCCAGTAAGTCGATCACTCTGGACAAAGTGCCACAAGAGCCTAGACTTTATAACCTCGATCGTCATGGCTTTTCCCGGAGGGTCTTTTTGCCCTCAAAAGGGAGGGTCATCGACTTTCCCTTTGGATGCCTGAGGTCACAGAACATAGGAACTAGCGTCTTAGGTATGTTGACGAAGACGACGAGTGGGCAAAGTGGTGGATGTGGAGAAATGTCGTACATGAATCCGGTATGATATTGGCAGATCCTCGAGTGTGGACTTGTTTGAGAAAGAAAACCCGCCTGGTGGACAGATCTCTTGGGAGGTTCCAATCCGATGATTCTGTGACCAAGAGGTTCCAAAAAAGCATGCGGCGGATGCTTAAAGGGCAAAAAATCTCTGAATTTTCCCTGTCGTGTGCGACGAAGTACATGGGCATCATGGGTCCATCATTGCTACATCTTCCAAGCCCCGATGTACGTCATGAGGCGAGGGATGAAGGCTGGAAAATCCTCGACCGTCTAGGATCCTCCCTCTTAGTAGACGGCACAGGCGGGCGTGGCGGGTGTCCAGTGGACTTGGAATCAGGTTTCCCAGTGGCCAGCAGGCGGGCAAATGCCAATTCCGCCCAGCCTTGCTAAGACCCGCCCCATACCTCATACCAAGAGTCTCCGCCAATGTCCTCTTGGCGGTCCCCGCCTGTCCGCCTGGTCATCCTATTACCTGATTACCTAGGACTTTCAATTCCTTTTGGCAGGTCGTGGCGATGAGAAATAAGAAACCTCGGCCGACTGGTCATCAATCTCAAACAATTTTGATTCGAGCTGATTGAGTTATTCAACGTTCTCTAACCCCTCCACGGCCCGCCGAACGCCGTCGCGTGGGAAGATCGTGGCTTGATGGAGTAGGAGTGGGCCAATAGACAAGTAGAGATCACGTGATTCCTTCGGCCTTTCTACGGAGTAGATCGTTGTTTCCAATTTTTTGTGAGGTCTGTGTGCTTATCTTGGTCATTCATTTCTGACGGCTATTGCAGCGCCGATCAGTCGGGAATATACCTTTCCGAAAGATCTTGTATGAATGGGTGATATGGATAGTAATCCAAGATATCACGTTATTATTTCCAGTCTACGAAAAAGTGGGCTCCGAAAGAATATATATTCCCAATGACTGCGTGTGTGGATGACGTTACAGATTCAGGTATCATATTGCCGCCCCTTCACATACCAACAACCATGCCATTATGTTCTTTATCTTCTGAAATGCTCACAGGTCAATTATTTGAAACATTATGTTTAAGCTTCAAGAGTCAAAGACAAACATCACGATTAGCACGAGGCAGACAGTTGTCATCTTGCTACGTGGAGTTCGAGACGACTTTATGGTCGATCAAGTGCAAGACTAATCTCGAGATCGTTCCATAGCTACCTCGACTACTCACGAGTACCTAAGTTCAGTAATGTCATTTTCTGTGTTTGCATCATATCCAAAGATTCGTCGTCTGTCGAGCCAAACAAAGTGACGAGATGCCTCGTCCACCTGCCTACAGCTTTTGACAAATCTACGGAGTAAAAGCTGCATCTCGTTCTCCCAAACATCAATTCTACTGTAATCTGAGCACATACCCTCAAGCATATACGGAGTACTTTATTCTATCATCCTCTGGCTGTTGATGTTGGTTGGACTGTCAGCGCTGGATGCTGCACACTTGACCCGATGGTGGTTGCCATGACAACGTTGGGAAGGAGCCACCCTGTGGTTTTCCCCCAAAGGCAAGTGGGGACCGCATCTGTCGTCTCCCTCTCCCTCTCATCCTTTCCAACAATCTTCCAACCAACCATCCAGACCACAGAGCAGAACCGTTGGTAACAGGCCCCCTCGGCCCATCCACCTAGCCTGAATAATCGCACTGCTTATCGCTCACCTCTCACCTTGGACACTCTTTCTTCACAGCATGTGAAACAAGACAATTCCGACTTCACACTCCTCATCTTCCCGACTCGAGTCTGTTCACCATCTTGTCCTTCTCTACCATCAATTCAAAGTCTCTGTCTCTTCTTTCTTTCTTGTACAATTACATCTACACCCTCCGCTCCTTCGATCGTCCCTGGAAAAATAAGTCTGTTTGCAACGGTCTGACCGCTTTGTTATTGTGAGTGACAGACCACCACACCTAAGCACTGTTGCGTCCGCACTTTGACCATCTCATCATTCGGTATTATTGACTGACCATTGGAATGTCTTTTCCAGCACGCTGCATCCGCATCAGAGACACACACTGTCATTGTCGCAGCCACCACCACCACACCAGCTGACCCGCGTCTGCTGACCCTCGCTGCCTGCCTGCCTGCCCTCCATACCACACCCTCACCAACCGCCGACTTGTTTACCAACCTTCCTTTCGTTTTCCTTTCAGTCAGGCCTGCCTTTCATGGCCTCACTGCTGACCACAATGTTCGTGCCATTCTTACTCTCATCTCCTTCTCAAAAAGCCCTGCCTCCACACTGTACCCTCAAACAATCCTCCTCTTGTGTTACCATTAACACATATACCTGTCTTGACACCCCCGATTCTCCTTCTCGATTATCCGAAACATCCTCTCCTGCATCTCGCGCTGCCCAGATTCTTCGTGGTTCCGGCCTGGGAGGCTCTCCCTCTCCTCGCCATATTAATAAACAACCTGTTGACATCTTTTCCCCGTCTAGCAATGCCCGCACCCGGGGTCAATTCAAGCCGCGCAATGCCGGCAAGGGTTCTACCAGTTACCAACTGAGACAATTTGCCGAAGCAACCTTGGGGAGTGGTAGTTTGCGCAAGGCTGTCAAACTACCCGAGGGTGAAGACTTGAATGAATGGTTGGCCGTCAATGGTAAGGCACTAGCCACATAGGAGAGAAGGCTTGGTTGAAGACCTTTGTACTGACACATTTCGCCCGAAAGTGGTCGACTTTTACAACCAGATCAATCTTCTCTACGGCTCCATCACAGAGTTCTGCTCTCCATCAACATGTCCCGAGATGAAGGCTACAGATGAGTACGATTTTTGACAGTCGCTTTTTCAGAACCTATCTAATCGATGGCGCTTCTAGATTCGAGTATCTTTGGCAAGACCCCGCAGGTGGCTTCCCCAAGCCCACCAAGATGGCTGCCCCAGAATACATTGAGCACCTCATGAGCTGGGTTCAAAGCAACATCGACAATGAATCTACTTTTCCAAGCCGAATCGGCGTTCCCTTCCCGAAACACTTCCCCTCTACTGTCCGCCAACTCTTCAAACGCATGTATCGTGTTTATGCCCATATCTACTGTCACCATTACGCAGTCATTGTCCATCTCGGACTAGAGCCCCACCTGAACACGAGCTTCAAGCACTACGTTCTGTTCATTGATGAGCATGGACTGGAGAAGGGTGGTGGCAAGGATTACTGGGGTCCTCTGGGAGATCTTGTGGACAGCATGTTGAAGAGTGATTGAGTGACTGCAATGTTGCGGTGCTGCTGCCTTGGGCAAATCAATCAAATCAGTCAATGAGCGCAATGTTGGGAGTAATGGGTTTCATGATGAACGATTCAGAGATTGACATGGGACGGGAAAAGGCATACGATAATGCTTTTTGAATGAAGCGCAAGGCGTTGAATGTCCTTGGCAGGCATGTAGCCTTGTCCGCACAACGGGAGAATGATTCGGATGAATTGGCGCATCGTCTGTATTAGCACTCTACCAGGCAATGAGGTCTCGGTATGAGTATAATCCATCCAATTACTCCTTGAAAATAAGTCTCAACCATGTCGTGAAGGCTGTCATTCTTCCACCAGGACTGAGGACTGTCCTCGGTAGAACTAAGCAGTTATTCTTGGACAAGTGTCCTTAAGGGACCTCGCATTCATACACGTACATTTCCACCTTATGTATCATGCTTCTGATGGTGATTCTGGGAATGATCCCCACTTTGACCATCCTCACAGTTCTGATACTATTGACTCTATTCTTCCTCCTTTGGATGGATAACAAGCGATGTACTTATTCGTACACAAACAATCGGCTTGTGATGATGGTCAAGGCCATGCATGCATGCATGGCGGTGAACCTGTGTTCTGGTACAAGAGACAAAACGAGGAAGCGGCCGAAGTGCCTGGCTGGCGCCAAGTGGCGCATATGGGCAGGCAAAAATATGACGGACGGAGCCACGGGAAGTATCCAAGGCTAAAACTAATAGCCTCGTCGATATCCGCCTGCATAGCCACCGCCTGTTCCGGGCAGATCGCCTCGTCGTCCAAAGCCTCCACCACCTCTAATGGTATCAGGGCCGAATCCACCACCTCCTGGCCCTCCACGGTAGCCTCCGTATGCACCGCGTCCTGGACCAGGAAATGCGGGCCCCGAGACATTGCCTACGCCATTACCGTAGTGTGATGCGCGTGAGTTGTAAGACGAAGGGCGTGCGTCCTGTCGATAGGTTGAAGGTCGGTCGCGGCTATCGTATCGCTCTCGCTCTCGCTCGCGGTCACGGTCACGATTTCTCTCTCGGTCTCGATGCCCATCTCCGTCGCGATCTCGCTCGTAATCTCGGTCGCGCTCACGATCGCGCCGCGGTTCGTCGGTTCTTCTGCTGCTCTTGTCATCCTCGAAATCGTATCGATCGTCTTTCACGTTCACATCTGCGCCTCTGGCGATTGCCCTCTCCTGCTCCTCGAATGATTTGCTGTTGTTGAGGGGTGCAACATCTGCCTCGACGTCTTCCATAGCATCGTCATTTGTCGTCAAAGCGACAGGATCGGAGGGGAGCGTGTCAGAGGTGATGAGCTCGATTGGTTTTGTGGGCGAAGACGACACGCGTATAGAAGCGACGGGTTTGAGCTTGAGGTGCAGAATTCGGCCGTCCGCCTTTTGTTTGTCATAGGTTGAAATGATTCTGTCGGCAATGAGTTTCTCCGTGAAGACCATTTCTGCCACAACATAAGGAGTGGTCTGGGTGAGTTGACATGATATGAGTCCATTTCCGCCGGAACTATCGAGGAACTCGTGTTGAAGGGATGATTCTATGTCGGCAACTGTCGTGCCTCGAGCGAAATTGCTTGCTTCGACGGCGAATGGTCCTGCTTTCCCTTTGATGCTCAAACCAAGGTCTTTGGACGGTGTTGAAGATGAGACAATATTGACTTCTTGACTGTTCAAAGCTTTGGCGACACGATTTTGTCGGGCATTACGATTGATGGTGGAGGCAGGTCTAGAAGGGGGAGTGAAAGCGTTGGATCTTGGAGAGCCCGTGCTGGCGACGGAGGAGGATCGCTGGAGGCCTAGTCAGTATTGTATGCATAAGAGTAATTGGTGACTGTACTTTTGTAGCCTTGGTCACTCTACTTGCGAGATCGGGAGTTCGACTTGAAGGCTTGCTTGAATTGTTTAAGGCGTTGTTGTTGGCTTTGTTGCGACCGAAAATCTCGTTCGCCAATGCCTCATTTTTCCGTCGGTTGCGGTCTATGAGAGTATTAGCGAGCATTAGGCAAGGGATGTTGAACGCAACAACGAACCAGCCTGAATAATGTCATCGAAACTGACTGCGGCCTTTGGATTTTGGCCGGGCATAATTTCGGCCTGTAAGGACGAGGATCTTGGTTTTTCTCACGATGATGGCATGGATGAGAGAAGATATGACGAGGATTGAGCGTGGAGGGACCCGAAAAGGTATGAGTTGAAGCTGACGAGACGTAGAATACAAATATTGTTGGTGTTCAAGATGAATTCATCTCGACAGATATTCCAGCCCAGTGGACACTACAAAGAAGGCGCACCACTTACTTCCGTTCAAGATGGGTCGCGACTTCCAAACCAGCCATGCATCCCCACATCTCTGAGGCTTGGCACTCAGCTACCTAGCCACGTGATGCCAAGACTACCGTACATAGGTCAGGTCTGCTAGGGTGCACCCCGTAACTAGGTAAGTTCTCCTTAGTCCATCCCTAACGCCTCTACACTGCAAAGGAACGCGGCTCGCTCGCGTCAGTCCGGGCTTTGAACAGAGCCTCATCTCTACAGAACGACTTACTCTAGGTATCTCATCCACATGGCACAAACTTGATTACCTGGTATGTACAGCGTAACATCCGCCCTGTCTTTACGTATATATCATGGCCCCAAACTTACCTCCCCATTGTGCGCGCAATTCCATACTGCACAAATATTATTCGTACTCCGCCGTAGTTTGTCTACTCTGGAGCATTATGGCTGCTTGTTATTCCTCGCACTTTTTTTTCCAATGGGATCATCATCTCTGACACGCTACATCTTAGAGCTCTACCAGTCTTGAAACCCAACTCAACAATCCCTCTACCTGTTTGACTTATTCTTAGTGATTGTCTTAACCCGCGAACTTTTGTTCACATCCAGCACAAGGTGTTCCTGCGCACACGCTGACGTGCAGAATCAATCGTCCTCTTCCAGTCCTCTCACTCACCATGTCCTCCTCAACGGCACTTCGTCCTATTCTCCGACCTCATTCACTCCCTAGTCTACCATCTTCCTCGACCGCGAAGACCACTTTCATCTGTCAATCCTGCCGACATGCTCGACTGCTCCGCCGACCCAAAAGAATTTACACCTTCACACAACTCGTCACTCTGTCGGACGGAAGTGCGTTCACCATGCGAACTACTTCCCCCGTACCTGTCTATCGATCTACACGAGACACGAGAAATGCCCCTTTATGGAACCCCACTTCCAAGGACGTTATGAACGTTGAAGAAGATGATTCCGGTCGGTTGGCAGGGTTTAGAGCAAGGTTCGGCACGAGTTTTGATGCTCTGACACCTGAATCTAGCTCCTCCAAGAAAGCAAAAGGCGATAGCACACTAGACGTTCAAGAGGAAGGCTCAAAGGGTGCCAATCGCCCAAAGAAACCAGTGGAAACCCAAAATGTCATGGCCGAAGGTCAATTCTTGGACAAGAACGAGTTTGCAGAAGATGATATGAACCTGCTCGACCTCATCACATCCTTTGGTCAAGGGAGTAATCAGCAGTCCAGTATGAAGTCGGGACCTGAAGCTCCGAAGAAGAAGGGCGGAAAGAAATAAAGACTAGCACTCTGTGCGCTGTAACAACATTTCGAATGGCACAAGATCAGGATCACCTTGCCCTGTTGAAGATGACAGGGAACCGAATTTTTCTTTGAGAAAGCAATACCATTAATCAGCTATGCGATGTCGACAGACTTTGATGTGCTCTGGAGAGTCGAATTTTGAACCCCCCAAGGAACTGCCGATCAAGCGCTTTTCGCGTTCTACACACCATACACCCCGCCACCAATCCGACGTGGACAATTGCGCTGCGTGAGGTCCAACGCTCACTGTGAGTCATACTGCAGTAAAACATTCCCTCCAAAATAGCGCCATGTCATATGTGGGTCCATCTTGAACACCAGCACGACGGTCGTGATAGACCAGGTAATCTGACCCTGGGCTCATCTGCGTACCAACCTCTGTGGAAGTCGCGATACGAAAACAAGCGGCATCTTCGTCCAAACGGACAAGATTATTGTCAATGGTCATTTCGGGCTTCATAATCCACTGCGGCTCGAGGCCATCTTGCTTGAGGATGTATCGACCGTCTGCTGGCAACCACATGTCGACTTGATTGTTGTTGTTGTAATTGTTATCGAGGCTGCCGGCCGTCACTATGCAATGATACTTGCACAGGACCAACAGGACCCTCAGCTTGCTGGGCAAATATTTTCGATGCGGATCGAGGACTCGGACGGGTATGATAAAGGACAAGACCACAGTTCCCTTGATCAAAAGATCTGCGCATGGTGGCTCGACTTGCTGACTCGTGGGAGGAAGGTCTAGACTTCTCATCAGATACGCCTGGGGATATTCGGTCAATGCATGCATCGATTCAGCAGACAACGGGTCGGCTTTGATTCGATTCAGAAAGGCTTGCGTGATGATGGCGCTAGTCCCCTTGAATCCTTCCGAGATGGCCACGTTGAATCGAACATGCTGGGCGCCCGAAGTAGGGTGTCGCAGGTGTGCTTCGAGTTCTACTCCTTGGTGTACCGTGGCAAATCTACTGGTACATTCAGTCAGACCCCAGCCGAGGAAGTTGATTCGGGCAATGGCATATGGCTTGTTGGAATTTTCTTCCTCTTTCTGTGCCAGGTTGGCTTCTGTGAGACGTTGTCTCATATCCATTGTCCTCGCGTTGGGTGCGTATCAACGCTCGCACTTGGAGGGTGGGCGGTGGACGATGAATGAATGAACGAGGGAGCAGTCTGGACACGACAATGGAGAAGAGGGAGATTTAAATACGGTTGTGCCCCCCGCTATAAGTGAATTACTCTAGGCCGAGACTCACTAGTTGACGTGGCCGATTGTTAACTCTGAGAGTGCCGAATCACCACGACTTGGGGTAAGGCAGATTCGAGAGTATCGTCACGACATGGGCAAGGGCAGATCCGAGAGTACCGTCACAACATGTGGTCAGGCTGATAGATATCTACGAGAGTGCCGTCCATCCGTCTACAGCAGTTACATTGGAAGTCAAGTCAAAATTTTGTCTTACAAACACACATACAAAACCTCAATTCCCAGCGACCATTCCCCTCATTTCATGACTAAATCCTTTTCCAAGAATCAAGTAACTATACATCTCATCATGACCCCGAAGCGTTTACATTTTCTGCCACGTCATCAAAACTCGTTAATTTCAAAAAACTCTCACCCGGTGTTTCCACGAGACCCTCGAAATTCGCAAAACTCGGAGTGATGAGCCAACCAGGCGCATCGTCGACTTTGGTCAGATAGTTCTCGTTAGCTGGAAGCCACATATCGACAACAGGTAAGGCGGTTGCAGGTTGATAGTTGGTATCATTATAATTGTCCAGAGCATCCGGAGTCACGAAACAGATGAATCTACAACTAATTGTCATTGCGGGTGATCTGCCGGGCCAGACTTTTTTATGAGGATCGAGAATTCGTATCGGAAGAGCAAAGTCCAATCTGACTTTGGTTGTAATCCTGACATCTGTATATGGTACTTGAATGTGCTGTGGGTCGGGTTGCGTGACAATGGTAGTAGCCGATGGAACCATGCCCGCTGGGTCTGTATCTGCATCTTCATCCAGGAGTTTGTAAATGGTGGGAAAGGTCGAGATGCGATCAAAGAGACTCTGTGTGATGACAGGACAACTACCGGGTTTGGCTCCTGGTGAAATGGCAATGTTGAATCTGATGGATGGTAAGTAGCCCTTTGCAACGTCGAAGACGCCACAACTTTCGGCACCGTTGTGTTTGGTCTCGAAGAGTACGATTTGAGGATACTCTTTGATCATCTTAGCTTGTTCGATGTAGCCAAAGTGTCGAGTCAGGTGTACCCATTGATTTGCATGCAGGTTCTGTAATGTTAGAGGTGGCTTAGGATCTGGGTCTTCGCGTGGTTGACCTGATGGCGAGTCTGGAAATGTCAATGGTGATCCAGAATTTGACCAGGAGTGTTGGTCGCTTGTGGCGGCGTCTGGATCCATGATATCTGATATTGTTCACGTGTCGGCTTTGTGGAAGATGGAAATACTTGGTGGAAAGGATAAAGTCCATGAGGGTATCTGAATTACAATGTATAGTATATAGAACACAAAAACCCCTGTGGTTGCACAATATATAATCCTCTGGATTCTATATGGGACTCACCACGGTGGCCTACCGTTTGTGTCCATGTCAGTTCTATGGCTCGCATCATTCTTCTTTGGCCTATGAGTATTGTTAGCGACAGATGACATGGACGGCATCCAGGATCCAAAGTCGGCGAGCAAGCAATATACATGTTGCTCTGATATCGAGGGTTCGCCTGGATTGCGAATTGACATGAAGTCGAGATAAGAGTCGAGAGGGAAACAAGCCGGTGTCTGACTGCAGAATATAGTTGATTCAATCTGCGTTTAACCCGCCGATGATGGTGAAAAGACTCTGTCAGACAAATCAATCATCCGGACCCGATTCCCTTGGCCGGACTTAAGAAATGACGACAAATCCAACGCCATGGATGACTCTTTAATCTTTGGATATCAACACACCTCCATCCCATTGGGACAATTTATGCCTCTAGCACTAGCCCGAGTCAATTTCTTATCAGGACCCTGATGACATGGTGATAATTGGAATGACGCAGTAATTAATTCATTGATTGGGAGTGGAAAATGGCAGATCCCACAGGTGAAACGGCATCAGCACTTGAACAATTCCGACAAGAATGGAAGAACGAAGTCGAAGCACGAGCGCGACATGCGGGACAAGGGTCACAGAATCAACATGAACACACTCGATCCACTGCCGGCAAGGCCAGGAGAACCAGCGAGGTACGGCTAGAGCGACCAGTTCACAAACCACCGACTCGCCACCCAGCGGCGGATATTCAGGATGAGTTGGACGAGCAGCACAGAGAGGCTGATACGCAGCGGCGCGACTCTGGCGGCGCCGCCAATACCAATGCCAGTACCAGCATGATCCAACGCATCGAGGGACTCAGTCTCCGACACGTGGACGACGATGAATTCAGCATCAAGCGACCGACCACCGAACCGAAATCAGCGCTCGAACACTATGAACGAGCCGTGGAACGAGAAAGCCAGGGAAAACTTGGTGACAGTATTTCACACTATCGCAAAGCCTACCGTCTGGATGCCAAAGTCGATCAATCATACCGCAACAAACACTTCCCAGCAAAATCAAAACCAACTAACCAACTCAACCCGTCCAATGCCCCGGCCACAGTCCCCAATCCAGCCCACCACTCCTCGAAAGATCCCCCCACTGAGACACTATCTACCTTACAGCTCATTCAGAGCTTTGCCAATGCTCCCATTCAAGGAGCTCCGCCTATGATTGAGGGGGATATCCCTCCTCCATGCGCCATCAATCGACTCCCGGCCGAAGTCCTGCTAGAACTACTTCAACATGTCGGCATCCGTGATCCTGCATTGATGATGCGACTGGCGCTGGTATGCAAGAAACTGGCATACATGGTCTACACCGACAACGGCATGTGGAAGAGAATTGCATTAGGACCCGAATTTGGTCTCGCGGGCCAACAGTATCAATTTGCGACTGATCTACAGGGCCGTGAGGCCATCTATCAGGTCCTCGAGGACGACGAGGACGAATATGACCCCGCACTTTCTATCGTGACGGAATCAAACTTTCCAAGCGACACGGTCTGGAGGGATGTGTTTCACAGTTATCCTCGCATCCGCTTCACGGGGGTTTATATCTCAACCGTCAACTATTCACGGCCCGGTGGAGCTTCGGCGACGCCCAATACCTGGAGCAATCCCGTCCATATTGTCACTTATTATAGGTATCTTCGATTCTTCCGTGACGGGACGTGTATATCGTTGTTGACGACCAATGAGCCAATCGAGGTTGTCCATCATTTGACGAAGGAAAATTTGTCCTTTGTGAGATCGTCGGGCAAGAAGGATGCCAGTCACTTGACGTCTTCGGCGACGACTTTGACGAGGGAGAGGGAAAGTGCAACTCATCATGGCAATACAGCCACATCTGGGACTTCCGCAACTTCACATGCTCCGCCTCCCTCAGCTCAACAGATCATGAAGCATGCTCTGCGCGGCCGCTGGCGTTTGTGCCACCCAAGTCTCGAGACGCCCACCGAGGCCACTGACCTCGCGGATCAAGGTGCGGCATCGATTGCTGGCGCTACCGCTCTAAGGGCTGATGCCCTGTCCCTGTCATCGCCTAGTCCGATCATCTCCCCTGGCGATCTACACATTGAAACCGAGGGCGCAGGCCCTCGATATATGTATACGATGCACCTATCGTTGAAATCAGCGGGACCCGTGCGGTCCCGCCACACGACCAAGAATAACAAGTTGGTGTGGAAGGGGTTCTGGAGTTATAATGTCTTGACCAGTGACTGGGCCGAGTTTCACCTCAAGAACGACAAGCCCTTTTTCTTCAGTCGGGTCAGAGGGTATGGTTTGGGGTACTGACTGACTGACCGGATAGCGGGGCAAGCATGCAGAGTTGTCTGATAGATAGAGTACCCAGTGAATGCGCCGCGCGGTTGTAGAGAAAGAGGAGCAAGGGAACGTGGTCTGCGCGGCGGACTAGGAGTAGAATCCCAGCCGGCTCCAGTGGCCGGATCCCTGAAGGCTCTGGGCGATGACTTCAATAGATTTAGAAATTCCATTTGCCGGACATGCTTTAGTCAAACTCTCTCCAGATTCTGACGATTTCCAACTTTTCCCACCCTGCCTTCTTGCCGCTCGACCCGACTGTCTCTGCGCACCAGTGCCAGGGATTGACTGAATCATTTTCTCCGGTGGATGGCCATTTCAGAATACTCTCCTTGACTTGGTCAGGATGATTTCCACGACAGAAGAGCACATATGCGACGCCTCGACGACTGAGAACGGAGGGGATTTGGTCTAGCAGACGATTTGTGACTTGCATACCGTCATGGCCACCAGCGTAGGATTGTGCGAGGAGGTGTGAAGATTCCTCAAATGAAGGTGTGGATGAAGAAGAGGGAAATATGATAGCAGGCACAGAATCAGAAGGTACGTATGGTGGATTGAATATCAGGATGTCGACTGAGTTGGGCGTCAGCGCGGATGTGAGATCACATCGCACGGAGGAGAGGTAGAGACTGTGATTGGAATTGGAATGGGAGTTTGTCTCAACAAGAGCTTTTTCCACGGTGGTGGTCGTGGCGTGACATGCATGTATATTGACATCAATGGCCATGCTTAGTACATGGGTACCGATGATGGTCTTTGCGTTGGAGGTTAAAAATGCGATGATGACGCCAGATCCAGGCCCAATTTCAACGACAAGAGGGGCCGGTGTCGGTCTGGAAGGTTTAGAGGTGGAGGACTGGAGTGTGGTCTCGAAGCGTGACTGTAGCCATTTGATCTCGCTGGTCGAGGAGAGTGTATCAAGAAAGAGATACGAGTCTTCGGCCGGTTCGTAGACATGGTCATAATTGACATGTGATGTCGATGGAGTGGGCAACATGTCTTGGATGGTTGAGTCCGGGAGACCGAGTTTGAGTCTCTCAGAGAGCAGCAAATTCGGATCCAAGATGGTAGAAAGTCGTCTTGAGGTTGTCTCCCCCCTTTCGACCTGACCAAATATTTTCTTTCCTAGCGAAGTTGAGCTGGCTTGACAAATCTTTGATGGGATGATGATGACGTTCATGTCCCGTTCTTCTCCAACTCAAGCGACACAATGAAGGATCCTGGGGTTTACCTGCTCGGTTTTCATCGTTCGAGTCTGGGGGGCGAGCAATTCAGGACGTTTGATATGTGAATAAAATAGCCATACGAATATGCATATCTTAAAGTGGCAACAGTAAGTATCACTTAATGAACTCGTCTTTCAAAGCGGCAGGATCTGACAGTGTACACACGTGACCTTACCCCGAATATGAATATCGCCATTTTGAACTTCATCGAATCGAATGATGGATGTAACCTTGCGTTGGTTTCCATATCCACTTCAATTCTACTCATCTTAGGAGTCAAGATATTGGAAAGTCAATTCTTGTAGTTGTACATCTCCAGTGACTCATCCTGGGTCCTTTTGCTACCCCTACACACTGGTTTGCCATTTCTTTCGTATGCGAGCGAGACAACAAGACCATGAAAGACCGTACATGTCCGAGATATAATGACTGCAGTCTAGTTTAGTCATAACGAGGAGATTCCAGACACCTACGAGTCACATTAGTGGTCACGTCACATCCTCTTCCACACCAAACCTTCAAAGTTCCAGTCTTATGATTAGCTATGGACCAAACTATGAGTCTGACCGACGTGGTATCAGTCTTGCAAGAAATTATGCAGACGCCAGGGCTACCCTCATCGGAAGATGCTGTTCAACAGGGTCAAGAAACATCTTCTGTGTCTACCAAGAAGTCTACCCGGCCCATCCTGCCCATCAATTTTCCACCACTCGACACCCTCGCCCTGGTCGACAGCACCCAACCGACCGAGCATGACAACTCCTTACAAAGTCTTAAGTCTCATCTGATCGAACATATTCTCCCTTATCTCAATAGCCAGTCACTGTCTCCCAACTACTATGGTTTCGTTGTCGGTGGAGTCACTCCCGCAGCACTGCTGGGTGACTTTATCGCCTCCATATACGACCAGAACGTATTCATGCATCTACCCAATGACACCCTCTGCACCGCCATCGAGGTCCAAGCCTTGAACGCCTTGGCTTTGGATTTCTTCAGGCTCTCACCTAGAGAAGCTTGGGAGGTTGGTGGGCCAGGCTCAGGGGGCGCCACTTTTACAACAGGTGCCACTGGCAGCAACATCTTGGGCTTGGCACTAGGAAGGGAGTTTGTCCTGCGCAAAGCTCTCGAGACAAAGGGTGTTGCGTTGGCCGACGCGAGTGTCGGGGAGTATGGCCTCTTTGAAGTGATGGATCTGGCTGGCGTTAAGAAAATCCAAGTCTTGAGCACACTTCCGCATTCAACCATTGCTAAGGCTGCTAGTGTAGTGGGCATTGGTAGGAGAAACGTTGTGTCCATCGCTACTCACGACGATCCTCTGCAAATCGATTTAGAAAAGCTCAAGGCCGAGGTGGAGAAGAAAGACACGTTGAATATTCTGGCAATCTCCGCCGGCGAGGTCAATACGGGCCGATTTGCCACATATTCTGGCGCTAATATGAAGGAAATCAGGCATATTTGCTCTCAAAATCATGTGTGGATCCATGTCGATGGTGCTTTCGGTCTTTTTGGAAGGCTCTTCACCAACGATGATCCCGACTATTCCCATGTTGCTCGCAGTCTCGAGGGACTCGACTTGGCAGACTCAATTACAGGCGACTGCCACAAGTTGTTGAATGTCCCCTATGACTGTGGGATTTTCTTTACCCGTCACAAATCCCTGAGCGAACATGTCTTTCGCAACGGCAACGCTGCGTACTTGACCAGTGGTTTGGGCCCAGACGACGGAATCCAATCTCCAGGAAATATTGGCCTTGAGAATTCTCGACGTTTCCGAGCCTTGCCAGTCTATGCTACCGTCAAAGCGTATGGTCGACAATCTCATGTCGCCATGTTGAAGCGACAAATCAACCTGGCTCGCCGGATAACTGAGTGGCTGCTGAGAGACGATCGTTTCCAGGTCTTGCCGGGCGGACTGGACAAAGCTGACATTATAAACAAGACATACATCATCGTGCTCTTCCGCGCAACGGATCCAGAGGTCAACAAGTCTTTAGTGAAAATGGTAAATGCCGATGGGCGCATCTACGTCAGTGGAACCGTCTGGGACGGCGAGCCCGCAGCACGCATAGCCGTGAGCAACTGGCGGGTGGACGTGGACAGAGATGCGACCTTGGTACAGCAGGTCTTGAATTCCGTGGCTAGGAGTCGCTGACTGACTGATCGTCGAGAACTCCTAGTCCCTTGAGTAGTTCAAAACACTGCACCGCCAATGAGAAAAATTCTTTCCTCTTCCTTTTGAATCCATTGCACCACTTTGTTGGCACTTTGAGCCAGTGCATTCCGAGACGTCGCCGGTCCTGCCACACAGTATAATTCAAACATTGGTGTGACCCATGCCAGGGCCGTGGCCGTCGTAAGAACACAGTGGTGTACTTTGACAGCTGCATGTTTGGCGTGAATACTTGCGTGTAATTTGGAATAGACTGACATAAGGCGGCGGCGCTGTTTCAGACTCTCGAAATTCGGCGAATATGAAGGCATGAAAAATTGCACGTTCCCCTTGGATTTGTACAAGAAATGCCGTAGAACAGTTCCTGCAATGATATCTGTGGGGCTGGGCCGTCCCGCTTGAACGGCTTGCTGAATAATTTGCATGCTGTGGTTGCGACGGAATTCTTGCACCAGATACGTCTTCATGGTTTGTAACTCCTCAAAACTTTCTTTGTTTGTACTCAAAAGAATGATTGCCACCGAGTCATCCTTGGAAATGCGTTCGTTGTTATCGAGCTCTCGGGCGCTATCACCGGCCATGTCCAGAAAGCTGACGTACATGTAGAGGTAGCCTGTATTGTTGAACCCAGGTAGACATATCGGTACCCAGGATTCGCCTCCCCCAGCCTTGATTCCTTCCGCCTCGAAGATCATGTTGAAGATGAGTTGTAAATCGCTCGGGTGTAAGGAGTGCTTCTTGGGTCGGATGACGCTGACAAGTCTCCCGCCCGCCACCACCAGGCCATACAATAAGCCATCGACCCGAGCCTTGATCATAGTGCTATTGATGATGCTGCGATGAGATTTTCGGATTTTTAGGCACTCAAGCGCAGACAGCAAGGCTGAGGGGGATCCTCGAGTGAAACTATCGGCCAATGAAGACAGTAAGACCTCTGTTCCTTGAAGTGGTCTCCTGAGATCGCTTGATGGGCGAACGGAGAAAATGTGTGTGAGAGTTGGAAGAGTCAGAGTGGACAGAATCTGCATATATAAGGCTTCCAATTGTACCCGAACTTGTGCCTCACTCTCTGGCAGGCTGGTTATGCCAACCAAGTGTAAGTTGGTTTGTGACAAAATAACGAATTGTACGCCGCCCGCGTGGAAGCTCTTCAAGTTGTCGTCATTCCCCATGTAGGAAGATATGATGGTCTGGATTATGCCGACGTAACTGGATATGATGGCGTCCGACCCATGTCTAGTATAGATTGGTTTGCCTGCTGCGGAGAGAATGATAAAGTGCTTCTTCTTCGACTTCCACAACCAATGAGCATTTTCCTCGTCCGTGGTATCATCCACACTTTCAAACTCTTTCTCGAAATCAACATCGCCTTCGTCGTAATCGTCGTTAGAGTCGTCCTCAAATAGCATGGCAGAACTTCGAGACGATGGGTTTTCTGCTTCCTCCTGTAGCTCCCCATCAAACAGACTCTCGGTGTCGGCGACAAATCGGCCGAATGGTGCAAAACTCCGAATGCTAGAAGCGTCTTCTCCGGTGTCGCTGGTTTTATTGCTCATCGAAGGTCGAATTGAGAGACTTGAGGAAACTCGCGAAAGGCCCATGCGCATTTGTTGGGTACCATCTGGACGATTCAAGCTGTTGACATCGGTCATAGAGACTGCCGTGGTCGCGCCTGCAGTCAACCCAGCCCGCGTAGGTGGGCGTGAGAGGTTCCCTATTGTTGGTCTTGTAGAGATAAGGCTCAACTCGCTCGGCCGAGGAGGTAGGGCAGGCCTGGGACCTTCCGCATCCGAGGATGTGGGCTCTCCTTTTTTATTTTGAGAATCCATCTTTTTCGTTTTTGATCGTTTAGTGTCGCAACACTATATCGTTGCAAGGGTTGTGGTATGTGGGGAGGCACTGGAGGATGTGTCAACCAGCACAACCTCCATGGTCAACAATTGCATCTGCACACCAGTCGCGGCTAAACGTGTGCATGACTACCTCCAGGCAAGTAGAAAAGAGTCTTTCTAGTCATGAGAAGATGAGGTGGAGGGCATGTAGCGCTCCTTGTATTCTCGCCTCAAAGATAAACCCAATGACAGCGACTGCGGCAATGAAATCAAATCTGATATCATGGTGCAGAAGATACTCCACCGTATTGCTCGGGCGGTCTGAATGAACTTCACATGCTGGCCAAGCAGAATGACGTTGAAGTAAACATGAGACTTTGCCATAATAGGAATAGATGCTTCGCTATACCTTCTGAATGGGGGTCCCCAACTACTAGCACTCACATGTTCCTTGTGGCCAAGTAATCTCAATTGTGCCTGACAGGCACGACGTTTCTCATGTCACTGTCAAACGCCATCTAATAAGAGACGACAGGAACACTCGTCAGGGTCCACTGTGTCCTCATATCTTTGATATAACAGCCCCCTAAACTTCGTCTCAGATTCACTGTTATAGGCCAAGGGATCCCCAACAAAGTACCCATTGACCAAAGGCACCCTTGCTTCCGGATCGCGTGAGCATGAAGCCCTGAAATCTTCTAAGAGTTCCTCTCCCATATGGCCTTGGTCTATTCGCAACGACCTCCTTTGACGCGTCATCGGCGCGATGAGCAGTGATCCCAAAGCCGTCCGCCGCTACCATGCCGGAGTGGAAAGGGCTCTGGGTCTATTCGATGCTTCCAATGAATGGGCAGACTACATAGCATTCTTGAGTCGTCTTGCAAAGTCATTGCAAGCGTCGCCGCCCGGTGCCGATGTCCCACTGAAATCTACCCTGGCCAAATATCTGGCCCTTTGCTTGAAGCCCTCGCTTCCAGCAGGAGTTCATCAGAAAGCGCTCGAATTGTATGACTTGATATTCAGCCTGTTGGGCAAAGATGGACTATCAAGAGACCTGGCGATTTGGCTTCCAGGATTCTCACAAACCCTGACATTTGCATCGCTCACCACCAGGCCACTGTTTTTGTCATTGTATGACGAGCATTTGCTGAGATTGCCAAGTCAGACTATCCGGCCCGCCCTCAGAGCGATAATACTATCCCTTTTGCCTGGCATTGAAGAAGAAAACAGCGAAGATTTCGAGCGCACCCTGAAAACGTTCAATCAATTGCGCCACCTCTTCGCCCAAGATGGAATTGAAGAATTCTTCTGGCAAAGCTTTTTCCTCGCATCCATCACCAGTGTCAACAAGCGTCCAGGTGCGCTGGTGTATCTCACGCGATACCTGCCGAAGTTGGGACCGCAGAGGAGTGCTTCCAGAGACGACAGTGCCCAGTCAGCAAGCGATGACCCGTCAATACAGGCTATCAAGTCAGTCACTACTCCGGAACCAGGTCTACTCCTTCGGTGTTTTGCAACTGGACTTCAAGACGAACAGCCACTGGTCCAAAGGGGCTTTCTTGATCTGTTGGTGACACATCTTCCTCTCAACTCCTCAATTCTACAGACCCAAGTCGTTTCGCAAGATTTGGACCTTCTTGTGACTGCAGCTCTCTCGGTGGTACTGAAAAGAGACATGAGTTTGAACCGAAGACTCTGGTCGTGGTTTGTGGGTCGTGAAGACAAGAGAGAGGGATCGACCGATTTACCAACAGCAGCAACCGGTGTCATTTCATCACCGATTTCTCCGCAAATGACGACTTCAACCCCATCGAAGCAAGACTACTTTTCAGAGTATGGCCTCAAGTCAGTGGTGCGAAGTTTGGAGAAGATGCTTAGCAAGCAAGCTCCAGTGCCTGCCGAACGCGCTCGTCCGTTTCGTATTATGCTGTCTTTGATGGATCGGTGGGTGATTGGACGTCAACCTGTTGATGCTTTGTTCATCCCAGCCATGCGAGACCTTCAGAAATATCAAACAAAAGCTCCCTCACAGTCGTCTTTTGACGAAGTCTTCCGAAGCGCCAACGTCTTCTTTGACGCGACAGAACCTCACTTTGTCGCCAGTCAATTGTATACCCTACTACGAAATGGAGACCTTGACCTTGTGGAGTTTATTGTGTCTAATTTCAGCCTGCAAGAGGAAGACATGACAACCACACATCTGCCGATACTGTGTTTAGTCATGTCTCAGATGATTAGCGAGAAATTATCTGAGGCAGAGAAGGCCATGAACGGAAACAAATCCGCCATATCAACAGTGCAACTGGCCAAGCTATTGGATGGCCTCATTGCAGCAATGCCATTGGGAAATAGAAGTTCCCCGTCAGAACAAACCACCAGCAATATGGATGAGGCGTGGAGATCCAAGATAAGCGAGTACTATGATAGGTCTGCAAAGGTCCAATCAAGCAAGACATCCGATATCAGCCCAGCATTGATTGCTCAAACCTTACTCGGAAGCCTGGGCGAAGCACTCTTCAGCAGTCTATCTCAAGCAGAGGCTCAACCACTTGTGCCAGTATTGACAAACGCTCTTCTGAACCTGATAGCAAGAGTGGAAAACCACGAAGCCCTACGCAAGATTCGAGTTGGCACAAAGTTGAGGCAGAATCTCGAGGTCAAGAAGCCAAATTTAATCATCCAATACGAGTCTACACGAACAACTGCAAAGATTTTGGATGCACTTCATGCATTCGACAAGAAGATGTCGACAATTACAGAGCACGATATTCTGACAATCATCCCCACTCTCGTCTCTCAGTTCTGGGAGGTGCTGCTGCCGTCCACTCCACAATTCCACGTTGAAGCAGTCGACCAAATTTGGAATCTTCGCTACATCTCGAGGGGCCTTCTTCTGGTTGACAGCAAAATCACCGAGTTCATGAGTGGGACATCCGATTTTGACGATCAGATGGCGCGCTTTTCCACATTATGGATGCACACAAGATTCCCAGAAGTGACTGTGGAATTTTTCTCCGCCGACAAGCGTGAAAGTGAAGCAGAAATCCCATGGGCTCTACTGCATTATCCTGTACTAGGCATGCTTGACGCAGCAGAAAGCAACCAAACAGAAGATCCACGCCGGGTCTGGTTAGGCAATCTACCGTCATTGAGGCCAATCTTCAAAATAGTCTACACCGAGGCTGCACAAGAGAACTCCGACTTACAAATGTCCCAACTAAGTTTGTTCCGCATTCACAAGGTCCTCAGCATTGCTCGTCAATCTGATTCACAGCGTCAGGACTTCTTTGGAGCTGAAGGGTTTACAGACACGATTTTAGATATGTGCACGGAGATTTTGTCAAGTCGCAGCGACCGCAAAGGCCCTGCTAAGACAGCCATGTCTATATTGCGTTTGATCACGGACGAGGCTGATCTGCGGGGGAAATCGGCACTGATGGATTTTATGGTTCAACAGTTGTCCGAGCCATCAGAAGAAAATCCTCTGCAGGAGAGTATTCTGGAGACCTTACAAGGCGTTTTCGCAAAGCCGAATTCAGAACCACCTCCAAGTGACCTTTTGCCGGTCCTAATCGCGGGTATCTCATCCAACCAGGTTGACTATACGATTGACAAGTGGATTGCTCTGCTTTGCAACATTCTGCCACTCTACTCAACCCAGATATTGTTCGCTCATATGTTGAAGCTTACGGCATGTTTCTGTGATCGGACGAAGTGGTACTTTGAGGCGATCCAGACCCTGTATGGACGACCAACCACCATCAACCCAAGCGATGACGATCTCCGGGACCGATCTGCAAAGAACCCCGAAAAGTCGATCAACAACCTCCTTGCTGGGTTGGAATACGTTCTTGCGAGGGCGCACACACATTTGGCGGATCAGAGCACTGGAGCGGACCCCGGCACGGTAGCGGCACCTGATGCGACGCAATCTCGTTCAATAGCCAACAATCGGCTGACTGTGATTCTATGCATGCAAGATACTATCAAACTTTGTGGCGAGATCTGGGCTTGGAGAATCGTCAGACGACCGGCCAATATGATTGGTGATAGTAGATCGTTCAATTACATCTCATCACGACTGCGAACGAGGACACGACGGATTCTGGAGAACTTGGCAGATGCTGAACCACAAGAGTGTCTTGAAACTCTGATGGGTTTGTGGACCGAAACAGCAAGAGAGGGAACTGAGCAAGATGCCACGTTAAACTTGATGCAAAGCCTCGATGGAGCCCGGCCGAAGTTCATGATGCCAGCAACATTCAATGCAATCTACAACCGTACCAATCCCTCGGCTCTCGACCAGACTCAGAAGTCGAGTCTGTCGGTTGATGTCAATGCCACAGAACTGATGGCGTTTCTAATTGCTTACACTCGAGCACTAGAAGATGATCTTCTAGAGGAGATCTGGACCGACTGTACGGCATTCCTTCGAGAGGTGTTGGCGAATCCAATGCCCCACCGTCAGATTCTGTTGAAGCTTCTGGAGTTTGTGGCCGTCATGTGCGAAAAGATGGAAAACACCAACTTTGGAGAGGTGTCCAAAATGCGAAGAGAGTTGTCCGACCTGTGTGCGCGACTGTTCACCGCGATATTTACCATCAAACCCGTGGGAACGGAGACATTACCACAGAGACTCTCAGAGGAGTCGAAGCGTTCGACAGATTCCATGACTTTGCGACGACAAAAGAATTCGTTGACTGTGGGAAACACAATTGAAATCCTATGTGAATCTCTCCCGGTCATAACCAACATGCTAGGCGATTCGGATCGCCTTAACACGGCGATATCTGGGATCGCAGTCCACATCACAGGACCAGCGCTCCGATCACGACAATTTCCGCAAACTTTGAGTGTCGACATCCTTCGACTGTTGCAAATGCTGTCGAGATCTCAGCCAAACAATAAAGTGTGGAGAAAGGATATCATGGATGCTTTCAATGACGGCAAATTCTTCCAGAGTCCAGTTGCCCTGTTTGAAGCTGGGTGGCTAGGACTGATCAGACAAGTGCTGATACCAGAAAAAGGATTATTTGGAGACATCTTGTCGCGGTTGACACTTCCGACAACAGCGGGGATCATGTTTGGGGTAGGTGCCTCGGCAGCAAGAACAGAGGCCGACAGAAGGACACAGTTGTTACTCAAGAGAATTTCTGTCCTTCTCATCGCTGGCGAGACAGATGCATTCGTGTCGGAGGTGGGACAGATTGTTCGCAAAGTGGAAGAGCTTTTGACGGCAACTGCGGTATCCTCGCCGTCTTCAGCAACAAGGGCGGACATTTATACACTATTGCGGGCCATGGCTCTGTCCTTCTCTGAAGCTCAACTGGTGGGAATCTGGCCGATTGTGGATGCCGAGCTCAGAGAACTGTTTGATGTCAAAGAGAAGGAAGACGACACAATAAGCTTTACCGAGAGTTCACTGTTGCAAGGAGCGAAATTACTGGATCTTCTTCTTCTGCTCAAGCCCGAAGAATTTCAGTTGCACGAGTGGTTATTTGTGACGGACACGATCGACGCGATCCACCCACCTCACGGATTCACATCTTCAGCACTGGCGGATGCCTTGGGGACGCAAACATCAGCAAGGGAAGTCGAGTTGCCCGTGGTGAAAAGTGGTACACTCAAGAAACCATGGCTATGCAATGATGGTCGGAAGGTGGATGACACACAAAGTCTGCTACGACCATTTTTCCGACAGTTGAGCATCCATGCCTTTGAGGATACCTACAATCTAGAGGAGGTTGATATCGAGGCATGTCGAAAGGACCTTTTGATCGACTTGTTCACAGAGTAGGAGACAAGGAACAGGTCTGACTTGGGGGTACCGTGTGGCTTGACTAATGAGGTACGCTCTAGAGCAGACATGAGGTATTTTCAAACGAATATTTAAGCATTTTATTCCGCGAACCCCTGTGCTAAATCTGCATACGGAGTACGGAGTCGTAATAAATTCGTGAAGGTGAATTGCCGAATATCGCCGTGGCCACAAGCGTGTCGCGGCACGTGTCGGAGAGATGTCCTCTTCGGAAGGGGAAGGGGGAAGGTACGGCGTTTGATGTTGTTTGTGGGTTGAAGTATTATGATGCGCCGTAGATACAATTTTTGCAGGTGTGGCAGGGAGATTTGGGAGAGTGTTAGGATCATCAACTGCACTTTACACTTCCGTGGGAACAAGATCACCGGATCCGAGTACTTTGCGGTAGATGCCAACGGCTGACCGAGGTCCGTAGCCGTCCCGTTTGCATACTCTCGTACATTATTATCCTCACCACCAACATTGGGCTGCAAACCTGCCAAGACACCCCTTGTACGCCGCCCCAGTTTCCCACCTACGGAGTACAAGCCTACAAACGTGGAGACGGTTTTGTGAGGAAGGAACCACTGGAAACCTCACAGTGGCAGCTTCCCTCCGCCACCAACCAATCGCAGCATCGCAACGCCTGCCTCTCACATCTGCCCATTCCCCTACCCGACATTACCCATTCACTCTATTTCTCAAGTTGATATTTCTATCCATTCCCACCTAATCCCTCCCCCGTTGGCATTTCCCTCGCACAGCTCTTCCTCGTCAGCACTGGTTTCATCTACAGCATCGCGAATCACCAGTTCAACACCTTCCACACGTCCCGCTACCTCCCCAGTTATCCCACTTCGCAGCTATGGCGTCACGCCTCCTTCCGCGCTTCGCCTCCGCCTCCCGCACCCTCCGAGCTCCCACCACCTCCCCATTCCTCTCCAGATCATTCCAGACATCCTCTAGAAGATATCAAGAAGCTGTTGCTGCGACTCCCGTGGTCAAGAAGCCTGTGGGCGCTTTCAGAGGGGGGTGAGTGATTTCCAAATTCCAACAACAGTCGTGCACACGACTCGTTTAGCTCGAGCTTGATTCTATACAAATACTGCGGAAGTGGATAGTTCATGGCTAACGTTCACTCTCTCTAGACTCTTTGGCTTTCTCCTGGGAACCACACTTGCTGGCGCCTCGGTCTACTATTACATCCTCGAGGAGTACAAAGTTTCCAACGAGCTATTGACAGAAGATATCTACGTACGTACATAGACCCCCGGCATAGCTTGCTCTGCGTCGCCCATACGACAGACTACCGCCTGGCTACTCCTAGTCACTTACTTGGTCCCATCATTCTAACCTACTCGATAGGCCCTTCAAGCAGCCATCCAAAGACTCCACTCGTACGTCTCGGAACTGGAGAACAGAATAGGACAACAGAAATGAATTGAGACGAACAACTTGACCGTTCGATCGGAGCGGCGACCACTGCTCCTCGATTGAAAATGCCAACACTAAAAGAGCCGAGACGAGACAAGATGGATTGATTCATGGTACTCGGTGTGGTGTCTTTACCGGATTGAGCACGTCCGGATGTGCTGGAATTGCACCTCTACTTCAGATATCCCGCCTCCAGGTTTGAGCCTTTGAGCGTTGTAAAATCAAAAATATATTGGGTTGCGTTCACTGTTTCCAGTTGGTTTCCAGCTGGTGACTGTCTTGTTCTATGTCCGTCGAACTCCTGTCAAACACACTGGCTCGGCCATGGGAGTGACTAGGAGAATTTCTGATGCCGAAACGGCGCCGGATCTGCCGCGGAGTTCCACGAGTCTTTCTGAAAATCTCACCAAGACTTCGACAGCCTTGCAGAGTGTCGCCAAGGCTGCCGTGTGTTTGCTTTTGGGAGACGCGCACGTGCGAGTTGAGGCGACGCGGCATGACAGACTGATTGAGAAGTAGCAGCAAACAAAAATAGGAGTATTTGGTATTATATGGAAAAGTGATTGCAGCTCTTAATGTGACGTGACCCTGACCTTTGTGTACTGTTGTATCGTCTACTTCTGCCAGCAGAAGATAGTCAATCAGGTCTGTGAAGAATTGACAGTCGCACGATGCCGCCCCAACTTTGGCACTTCCTGTTGCCGCTTTTATATTCTTGAACTCGTGACAGCTCACCACCTTCTACTCCATCTTCTCGTTCACAAGTAATTCAGTAAGAATAAAATATATATGAAAATTCCTTGCTACCACCAACTACGATTATATGACTATACCTAAGGAACATATCGATTCATGGGATAAGGTACTATATATTCGTTAGGTGGGTGACAGTGACGGCTCCTCAATCTAAGTAGATTGATTCTCTCATTCCATTCCAGCAACGACAGTAATAGTACCTAGTACCTACCCTCTCAAACAGGCACTGGAGTCACCACCGCTTTCAAATGCGGACCTAAATACTCTGGCAAGAAACAATCACGCCACTTTAATTCTTTCGGACTAGAAGAACACCATCGAATCAGCTTTAGGTAGGTAGGTAGGTAGGTAGGTAGGTAGGTAGGTAGGTAGGTAGGTAGGTACATACGTCGATGGATCAAGCTTAAGCTCGAATTTGCGAAAAACATGCGCGAATGCTAGATATAACTCTGCCCATGCCAAACTGTACGAGTTACGTCGTCAGTGTTTGTTATTCTGTCTGCGATGATTCATTTCCCTTGGAGTAAAAAGGGAGGGATTGAGGGGACTTAATGTACTAACTTCAATCCAAGACAACTTCGAGGTCCACGTGAAAAACTCACGAGCCATCGGTCGAGTTTTTTACCATTTTCATTCAACCAGCGGTCAGGACGGAATTCGTCGGGAGATTCGAATATTTCGCCGTTGCGGTGGATGAAGTGGCTGCTCATTTCGACGACGGACTAGAGAGAGGAGATGAGAATGCATTGGATTAGGTGATTGAGTAAGGTAATTGGGTAAATATAACGTTTGGGATAGAATAGGATAGTAAGGGATGGGAATGACATACACCTCCTGGTATAAATCTCTCAGATAGAGTAACTCCACCACCCGGTACGACTCGAGGGAGTGGAGATGCAACTCCAGGCGACATCCGTAGAGATTCTTTGATCGTGGCAGTCTAAGAATAGGTTCCTCGGGGTTAGCGAGCGTAGCGAGAGAGAATTCGAATGAAACTTACAAGATATGGCAGCTTTTGAAGCATGTCATACGAAGGCACTTGCTCCAGAGTCGGCCATGCTTCGTGTAACTCGGTCTTGATGTTCTTGTAAACCTGTGGATTATTCAAGATAAGAAAACATCCATGCATGAGTGTCGTTCCTGTGGTATCAGCACCCCCAAACATCAAAGCTTGAGATTCTTCATATAAACTACCATGATCAGGAATCGAGCGATCAGGGTATAGTTCAGGTTTAAGAAGTTCGTGGTATATCGTCGTTGAGTGGGGCAGTTTCTTCAGATTGTCTGGGTCGCTGGTTATATCTTGGATTTGCTTTTTGAGAACCTAAGGGAAGTAAGTTTCTTGGTTGAGCCCAGAATATACTTCAAGGCAATTGAACTAACCTGCTGGAGATCAACGAGGCCGGAGGTAGCGGGACTGACGACCCTCGATATCTTAGGCGGACAATTGATAATCATGTTTTTGTACATGGACGAATGTTTGAATCGGACAAATACAGGTAAAGATGCGTCCATGGCGAGAATGATGGGAGCTTCGTGATTTGGTGCATTGATGGCGTCCACGGAATTGCCAAAGCAGAGGTCTAAGTAAGGTAGGTAACTGGTTAGGCCTGATCTTCGAAAAAGACTCTTCGGGCAAGCATATGCGACTTGGGGCCGGACCTACAGGTAATGATATCAATTGACATGCACCGAAATGCATAAAATAGATCAATAGGTCGATCCGCGGCCCTGGAAAATGATTCACAAAGGCCAACCACCTAGGGGAGATGGGTCTATCAGATTTCCCTTTCTCAAGTGAATCTTGCCTCTGAATGGGGATTGACTCGCCTTTTCTTGAATGAGACCTTCTGCCTCTTGGATTGCTTTCTTGGAGAAGACTCGAGAGAGGATATCCTTCCTGGCTTTGGCGTCTTTATATTCCAAGTATCCGAAGGAAGATCGGTCCTCCCCGAAACTGTGGTACAGTGATTGTTCTTTGTCCCAACGATTGGTCGCATTGTAAATCTCATGGTATGTGTCTGGGCGTGAGAAGTGTAACTTTTGATTCATGAGTATGAACTTGGTGGTTGAGGTAGCTATAAACTCTCCAGGATCATTCTAGGAAGACACACCTCATTTGGACCAACCCGAACGACATCACCTGGAATAGGTTCTCATAGTCAGCAACAATATATTTCTACACTTACAATTGCAGGTCTTATCCTACCTACCGTATTGACGATGAAGCTTTTCCAAGGTATGTACAAAGGACGATCTGGCAACGACGTCGATATATGCTTTGTAAAGACTAGTGACAGCAGCGATGTTTGGGCCGGGAAAGGCGGCCAATGGGTGGAAGTAGAGGTTATACACAACGCGATATGCAAGCCCAAGCAAGCCAAGAGACAATAACATCACAGACCATTCAGATATGCCGAAGTCATACATCTTGTTGACAAAGCCTTCGAATATTGGAGACATGGTGGATGGCATGGGTTGTAACAGGCTGCTTGCCTGCGGTGAGATGAAATGGGGACACAAGATCCTTTTAAGCGAGGAAGAGGCACATGTCGGGTGACAACACACAAACCTGCGTCCTCCTTCGACATACCTACCTAAGGTAGGTGGCACGGTGGGTAGGTAGGTAGGTATGTACGGAGTACGAGTAGATGCGTGGGTCTAACGCTGGGCTAGTAAGGATGAGGGACATAATCTAGTGTACTCCGTAGAGATTGAGTTCTTAAGTGGCAGGATATTTTGGAAACAAAATCACTATATCGAGTCTAGACGATGTTTAGCGATTTGAGATGGCGTCAGAAGAACATAACATCACTGGGTAGGTACAATAGCAATAGAAATTCAGGCCACGTTCAGTGGATACGCCGTTAAAGCCACCCGCTTTTAGGGTGTGAACTCGTATGCTTCTGACGGGAACTTCTGATGTAGTCTCCGTGCATTGTGGGCTCTTCTTGGCCTGAATTGGCAAAAGCAAGATACAAAGTTGACAGAGGACAGAGAGCAAATATGTAACATATGACTGGCTACTGATAGTACCGAAGAGTTAGCAGAAACCACGTAGCTTGCCAATGCATTGATGGCGGATCGGTTGACGAAGTCGCCACGAGGCAGGTCGATAGGTAGTTGGTGGACAACTCACCCCCCGAAAACACCAAAGACCAGTTACAAAGTCAGGCGTACCAGGGTAAGACACAATCAATTGGTTAGGCTATCTTCTCCGCCTACGAATACTCCGTAGTTCCAACCAACAACAGGGTACGGGCCGACGGCGCTCCACTGGCTTAATTGTTCTATTCCACAAATGGAATGAGGGTTTTCTCTCTTTCTCTCTAGCATTGACCGGATCAGTCATGCTGCAGCTCACGACACTTGTCGGAACATGTCCCCGTTCGCTAGGCGTTGTTTTCAAACATACTCCGAAGAAGAATTTGAGCCGTGAATCCACTCGTTTGTGATATAACGTGTCGTGTCGCTGCGGGATTGAACTCTGCAAAAAGTCATGTCAGATCTTGCAATTCTGCTTCATTTCTGTGACTAAAACATGGCTAATAATCCAGATCAGCAGGAAGGGAACCCGGAAATTCTCATTGTACGTCTGTTGACTAGTTAACATGAACAGAGGACACTCACCTGACGTCGCAAATAGGATACATCATTCGATAATGACTCTACACTAGGCGATGACAGTTCCACGTGTGAACAAGTTTCTCTCCTTGGCCCATCTTGCCGACCCAAATGCTAACCATCTTCGCTGTGATAGAGAGTTCGACTCCCTGAGGAGCAGTATCTATAACTATCGATATGCCAATGGTCGTCGATATCATGCGTATCATGCAGGTTCTTACTGGTGCAGTCTTAGAACCTCGCCTCACCTCAAATGCTAGCTAACATCGATATCAAGGGGACCAAATGACGAGAAAGCCATGGAACACCTTGATATAGGGTAGATACATAGGGTTTTCTTGGAACTTAATTGATGATGTTGCTCTAACTGACCCATAGACATCATCTCTACACGCTCCTTCTCGAAGGGAAGCTTCATCTCGCCCCGCTTGGGGATAATACACAGGTTTGCCATTGTTTACATCCCAACAAGCGCCACAGACTGATACGGAAGATTTAAGAATGTGCTCGACGTTGGGACAGGAACTGGAATATGGGCAATGTTCGTAGACAACCCCCCGTTCTTGGGTATGGATCGATGGATGATTAAAGATTATTATTGCACAGAAACTTCGCCGATCAAAATCCCTCGTCGAATGTCATTGGAACCGATCTATCACCCATCCAACCAACATGGGTTCCACCAAATCTGTCCTTTGAAATCAGTGACTGCTGCGAAGAATGGCCTTATAATGACGACACCTTCGACTTCATTCACGTGCGGGGCATGTACGGCAGTGTTGCCGACTGGGATGCATTTTACAAGGAAGTTTTTCGGTAAACGAGGAAAAATCGTCTCGTCTTCCAGAAACATTGTTGACCTTCTCTCAGGTGTCTGAAGCCAGGAGGATATGTGGAACAGGTCGAGCAATCAGTTGTGCCCAAGTCATTCGACGGAACCACCGACGGGACAATTTTCGAGGAGTGGGGAAAAGTCTCACTTGAAGCAGGAGACGCGTTTGGAAAATCTTTACGTATTGTGGACGAGTCAGGCGAGTTCATGCGCCGAGCAGGCCTTGAGAGTGTCACCGAGAAACGATTCCATTGCCCTGTTGGCAACTGGCCAAAGGACAGTCGTCTCAAAGAAGTTGGTTCGTACAACCGCCTTCAGTGGGAAGAAGGGATCGACGGTTGGTCCATGATGCTTCTTACCAGCATACTCAATGTAGGTCTTCCGAAGGAAGCCTCTTCTCTTGGTTTCAACACCGGATACTGACCTGTGAGTTTAGTGGAGCCGAGAAGAAGTCGAAGTGTATCTGGCTAGAATGAGAACTGGCCTACGTACCCGGGGAATCCATGCCTACCAAGACATGTATGTTCTCGTCTCTGAACAATGGACTTATGAACTGACTTTCTAAAGGACTGTGGTATGGGGTCGAAAACCAGAGTCAAAACCAGAGTCAAGTTAGGACGGGGATTTAGCCATAGACCCCTCACGAATTTCGTTCTTTTCGGATTACTCTTCCCGTATACGCCTCTTATAACGACGACAAGAGTCGTTCGCCTGTGGCGAGCTTTCCCGCGAGAGAGCTTGGTATTTTCTTCCAAGCTCGGGGACTTTTTATTGATTAACGAAGTGGCGTCTACGCCACCACTGGGGGATACACCTGCGAGCTTGTTGGAAGCAGTGATTGCAGCTACTTTAGTGCCACTAAAAGCGGTTCACGACATAATGAGAAATACGAGTGTTAGTCCAGGCGTCCAAGTCTATAGACAGTTTTCCGTAGATGACTTTCGAGGTGATGAAACTGGGGAAATGGGGCCATCTCCCGAACCATTTGGTCACGGTTTCGAGGAGTCGATGGTCGAAAGGTCCTGATATGATACTGCCTACTAGAGATCTCCCTCTTGTGTCTAGTATAGAGCCCTCCCTCTTATATGTAGTAGGCAGATATGGTAGTAAAAGGGAAAGAGCGCCTGAGGCTCAACGGCGGAATTCCATCCCCCGCAGGTCTTGGCGGTCAGTGACAACTTTCTAAAATCCATCTCAAGACAAGGCAATGTTTCTTCAGGACCTTATTCTCGTTCGTACCCAACCGACATTGCCAAAGTATAGGGCCACATCCTCATATCTCCAATCTCACCCCTCTCCATCCCCCCTCCTCCTTCCATTCTTTCGATGCACATATCACCATGCCACTCATTGAAGAATTACCAGTAACAACAAACCACCACCGAGCCACCCACGGCTGGACCTACGTACCCGACATTAGCTCGTCTCTCCTCAATCCTCCACCTCCTCCCGCAAGTGGCGCGTCATCCTCCTCTGCCGCCGCAGCGCTGAAATCACGGAAACGGGGACGCGATGGCGTCGCCAAAGCCAAAGAAGCCACCGCAACATCTAGAACAGGAACATCATCACCCTTTCAGAAATTGTCGGCGAAACAGGAAAAGGCCATCCAACAACGGTTAAACGACCTGAACAAAGAGAATGCTCGAGACATGCACATCCCCATTCCCAAACGAGAGGCTGGCCCCCCTGGATCAGCCAGGGCCAAAGACCGTAAACCAACTTCCAGTGTCAGGCGCATCCTCGCATATAGCCGCACTTTTCAACATTATCTCGCCGATGAGGAGGCTGGTGTCAATGTCTATGGCAACGCGGGGACTGCTGCCGCCGCAGCGGCGGCAGCGGCATCTGCTGCAAGTGGGAGTGTAGCTCAGGCAACACTGGGCAGGAAGGGCGATGCTAAATTAGGGTCGAAGAAGAAGACAACGAGCGCGAAAACTGCGGCAGGAGGCAAGAAATCCGGGACTTCGAATACAAAGCAATCTGGCGGGCTTGATGTTCCTCCAACACAGGCAGTACCGACATCGACACCGGCCTCGACGTCCATCAAAGCTGAGCCGGATACAGACAAACCCCAGTCCATGGAGACGGGCGATGTCGACATGACAGATGCACCGAATCCATCGACCACTGCTACACCGAATAATGTCGGAACTTTAGTACAACAACCATCACAATTACAATCACAGCCGCAACCGCAACCTCAGATAAATCAACAAGACGCCACAGCACCTCCTCCCGCTGTTCCATCAACATCACAAACAGAACAGCCACCACCGTCGTCAACACAACCTCAACCCCAGCCCCAGTCCCAACCACCACCACCACGCATCCCCTCCCCATCCCTGGACTCGAATCCCCTCCTCAAAACCCTCCATCTCCCACTCCGAGCCTCGACACGACTCATTACACATCTCCTCTCAGAACCACCACTATCCTACCTAGAAGCACGGGCCAAACCACTAGAATATTCTTCCACGACCATCCAACCCACCGGCACCAACACGCTGATGGCCAAACCGGCCCGACACTTTTGCGTCATTTGTGGATATTGGGGTAAAGTCCGGTGTGGAAAGGGGTGTGGCGATAGGGTTTGTGGGCAGATGGAGTGTTGGAGAGCGCATGAAGGGGTTTGCACTTTGGGGGCGTATTGAACGAGGCATGGAGAGATGGAGAGATGGAAGGAAGGATAGACTTTTGGGTTTAACCATGAGGATATCATATTTGTGTTCTTGAGTTGCTGGGTGGATGATGATTACCATGACATGACACGAAACGTAATGATCACGACGGGTTGCATGCCGAGTACTGTATATTAATTAGTTATTGTAAGATCAAATCGGCGGTCTTTGTTCTACGCCACTTGTAATCAAAAAGTAGAAGACTCCAAGACTCGGGGTATTTTCATTATAGCTATCTCTCATCATGATGCTCCAAAACGAGAGATATACGAAATCCAGTTCAAAGGACATCATCCTCTGCGGTGTCCACAGACTCCACAAATGCCGGCATCCCCAGAGTTCAAATACCGAGACTGACTTTGTCGACATGCAGGACTATTGCACGACCATGCACGAGGGTCCTTTTGAATGTCGAGCACGTGGGCGCAGGCCAGACATGTACCGTTGAGAGGCGGGTTTTCCAGTGAGCATATCGGACACGTGGTCAATGAGGAGGTGGCGGATTTTATGGCTATATCGGGTCTTAAAGGAGAAGGAGTTTTGGAGTCGACTTTGTCAGCGGTTGAGGTCGACGTGGTCGTTGAAATTTCCGGCTGATGTTGATCAATGCTTGGAACTCTCTGCCCACGGGCGCCTAATCTTGACTCTGATGGTGAAGAGCTCTTCTTGTTAGTATTGGCTTGATCATTCTCACTTGTCTTGGTGTATGTCTCTTTTCGTCCATCGTAATCGTCTCGGTGTCCGATAGAGCGCCCAGAAAGGAAATAGTTTGATTGTGGATCGGAGTCGTCAGATCCGACACATGCTGGTGTTGTGACAGTCTGCCGTATTGGTTTGAAAAAACGATCGAGGTTTTCCAGTTCGGTCATTTCTTGTTTGACATTGACGTCGTCGGTATCCTCGTCTTCACATACCGGGACCATACTTCCGCCCTTGCTGTCGAGTAATTGATTACCGTTCACATCCAAGGCGTCTGCCAGATCTCCATCTACGTCTTCGGCTTTGCCATAATCGTCGTCTTCACTTCCAGTCTCAGTGCCATTCTCGTCCTCTTCTTGTCGTTGCTGTTTTTCCAGCGTCTCCACTTCTGCCTTGTTGGAACCAAATCGAGCCAACGCCGCAGCTGCTCGTAACTCTCTCCCTCGCTTGCTCTGAGCCACACGAGGTTTGCCACCAAGGGGACCTTTACGGTTGATTTCGAGCGCAAAGCGTCGATCTTCATCTTCGCCGAGGGATGTGCCATTTTTCCCAAATTTTTTCTCGATTCGGCGGTCACGTTTCTCCTTCCAGGTGAGGTCTTGAGTTATGGCTTTGCGCTTCCTCCGGCGACTGCGATATGTTCCTCCACATAAGGGCAACGCTGCAACCTCCTCACTGCTGAGGATGTTGTTTCCCATCACGGCACCCATCTCGTCCAATCTCTGGCCACGACCCCAAAATCCATCCCCAGTGTATCCAATATCCCAGAGAGCCTTCATCTCACCGGCATAGAGATTCCTGGTGTGCCAGAACATCTTGCCATGGTTCATGTGTGAATTATGGGCCAGTTCATGCATCATGACCATCTGCACCATGGTAAAAGGAAGCCATGCGCCACTTCGACTTTGGAGCACCAATTGAACAACTTCGCCATTGTTGAAATTCCGCCCTACGAATTCTCGGTTTGGTTCATACTCTTCTAACGTGGTGACAGAAAGGTAGTGTTTCTTCATGAGGGGAAGGCATTGTGCAGCGATGGCTCGAAGGAAAGTATCGGCCAGGTCGTATTCGGCTTGGGCGGCGGGTGGTCGGGGTAGTGGTTTGATGAAGACGATACGGTCATTGGGGTGAGAGGACTTTTGATGGTTCAGTCGGAGGGTGTTTAAAGGCATAGCGGAGGTGTGAAGGAGAGAGTGTGTACCCACACACACATGGTCAAGTATCGGGTGATGTTACAAGTTGAAGGGCGAGTGTCGAATGTGAGTGTGAGTGTGAGTGTGAGTGAGTGTGAGTGTGAGTGAGTGTGAGTATCGCAGGAAAAGATCATCAAAATTGACGATGGCAAATATGGAAAGTACTAAAAGTCGGTTGCTCTTGCCCCTCCACGGCACAACACGTGCAAGAATGCAAGACGGAAGGCGCGATGCGCGTAGACTCAAACCATATGACGTCAACAATGGTTACGAAATCACGTGGTAGACCCTGACGCCGTTGGATGCCAAGACCATCAACCGAGGCTGAACCTGAATCTGACATGTTTTCTCTCTCCAGTTCTCTCCAACCTCATGCGTCCCCCGTCTTCTGACTATCCACTCACACCACTCCACCCTTCTCATTGCCGAACCTCACTCCGAATCAAGTAAGTCAGGCTGAAGCATGGGGAAACCCCAAAGCCCAAGCCCAAGACCATCCTCGCCGAAGTGATCTGTGAGAAATCATCGTCCTGGAAGAATCACGGAGAATTCCCCAAATCCAAGGCTTGTATTTATTTCAGACAACAATTCACACGACCTGGTATACTTTATATAAACACATTTAGGGTCTAAGATCGTCTATTCAGGTTAGGCCAAGCAGTCCATCTTCACCATGGCTGGGTTGAAGGCTTCCTCGTCGAGTTCAGGATTCTTTCAGGCTCTGCCTAAAGTGCCACCACAATACTCCTCACCTGAACCGAATAGTCAAAACAAACATGAGGCATCAGACGACGCCGTCCTATCACGAGTTCTCTCAATCTACCTTCCGAGTCCATTGCCTCAACATATCCAGAGCCATTTACACAACTTCTCCCGACTAGTCCTCTCGCCGTCAACTCTTCAATACACGGTCGATTGCGATACAGACTTGCCGACCATTCACCAGCTGACCACATTTGGAGAGGAGAACAAGGTCGCGCCGTTGCGCACGAGTGAAGGATGGCGCATGTTGAAATTGATCGAAACTAAAGCAGGCGTCGTAGGCTATGGATATCCTCAATCAGGAATACCACTGGAATTCAACCGTCGCGTCCATCAATACGCAACCCTTCATCTATGGCACGGGTCGGCAGCTGTAGCAACATGCCCAATGGCCATGACAGATGGCGCTGCCGCCCTCTTAAGAAGACACATTGATGATTCTGATGGCGATCAACCCGGTCGAGCCAAGGTCCTGCGCGACTCATACTCTCGACTCGTCTCCCTAGACCCCGAAACGTCGTGGACAAGTGGCCAGTGGATGACGGAACGAACTGGCGGAAGTGACGTCCGAGGCACTGAAACTGTCGCACGTCGACTCACACAGTCCGAGCTCGACGCAGACTCTGTGGCCCGCCGAGACAAGGACGCTCACGGTCAACCACTTGGACCCTGGACAGTCGATGGTTTCAAATGGTTTTCCAGCGCCACCGATGCCGATATGGCAGTTCTACTCGCCCAAACCGACAAAGGATTGAGTGCATTCTATGCACCATTGCGTCGACAAACCGGCTTGTCCCCCTCCACGGCTCCTTCAACTCTGACCACACAGGCCTCGGATGTGCCCACCGAGATGAACGGTGTGCGTATCCAGCGACTGAAAAACAAACTAGGCACCAAAGGAGTCCCCACGGCCGAGCTCGAGTTGAAAGGCATGCGAGCCTATCTAATTGGAACCCAAGGACAAGGTATCAAGGAAATCAGCTCCATTCTCAACATCACTCGCCTGCACACCGCCGGTGGCGGCACAGGGACCTTAGCACGCGCCCTCGCCGTGTCCCGCGCATACACCCAAGTCCGCAAAGTCAAAGGCACTTTCCTATCCGAAAACCCTCAACACCTGGCATGGATGGCGGGCGAAACGGTCAAATACCACGCCAATGCACACCTCTTATTTCTCGGAGTAGCACTCCTCGGCGCCAGTGAACAGTCACAACCCGCTGTAGCGTCCAACACCCCTTCAGCCACCATCATCCCTCAGGATGCCACCGCGGTCGCCAACCTCCTCCGCCTCCTCACCCCTGTCGCCAAGGCTCAATGCTCACTCAACGCCGTATCCGGCGTACGAGCCTGTATGGAATCGCTCGGCGGAGTGGGATATTGCGAGAACAACGAAGACGGCGGAGTGATGAACCTGGCACGACTACTCAGAGACACCACCGTCAACCCCATCTGGGAAGGCACCACCAGCGTCATGGCCGAAGACGTCCTCCGGGTCGTCAAGAACCCACGTGTCAAGAACAAAAACGTCCTCGACGACGTCTTGGGAACTTGGTTACGAACCGTCCTCGCCGCCGTGTCGTCCGACTTATTCAAAATCGAACTCGACATCGTTCAAACCCGCTACCGTGCTCTGAATGAACTCGTCCGTGACACCGATTCCGTCCAGCTCCATTGGCGCGGAAGAGAAGTCCTTGACCATATCGAGGCCGTGGTCTCGGCGGCTCTACTCATGTTCGACGCCACTCTCGACCAAGACGAGATCGCTGTGGCCGTCGCCCGTCGCTATGTCAAGAGTATCGCCTTACCTCGCCACAAGTTGTATAGCGACCGAAACTTTGATTTCGCCGCAGAAGTCAGACTGGATAGGTTGATTTTCTTGGGCAGATCATCATCAGCCGCGGACGCGTCGTTGGTTGCGTCATTGCAGGCGAAATTATAAAAAGAAACGGGCCTACATAGTTGGGTGAGATTTAAAAAATCGTACGACTGTACATATTTTTAACATATATGTATATATAAATATACATCACATGTTCAATACATGCAACCTTCAACTCAACTCAACTCGATAATATTCCCAACCAAACCCGCCAAAGCAGAAATATTAGCCACCGCATTCCCCGCCACTGGCCCCGGCGCCGTCAAGGCCGGGACCACAAGAACCTGATCCCCTAATCTCATCCACTCCACATTGCTAGTGAATCGGAAAGTGATACGAATATCTCTCGCCTCGGAACGAGACTGATTCTCCTCATGCTGCTGCTGCTGCTGCTGTTGTTGCTGATCATTGCCATCTTCGTCATCTTCGTCATCATCGTCGTTGTCATTGTCCCCAAGACCTTCATCACTATCAAATACAAAAACCTCACTTGAACCAGAAGAAACTCTTCTTTGTCGTCGTCGTCGTTGACGATGATGATGGTGACCATGGTTTTCTTCCGGACTTTCGTCCAAAGCGACGGCAATCACTTTAGTCGCTGCACGTATACTGTTGATATAGACAATTGCATGTCCGCCGAGGATCAAGGGTGGGGAATCGGGTCGTGAAAAGTCAGAGGCGGGGAATGAAGCTACGAATGATCGATAGCCTTGAAGAAGCGGCTGTTGCTTGTTGTTCTTATCTTGTCGGTCTGTGAGAACCATTCCTTTTCTTGCTCGGCGTAGGGATACTACTAGCTCTGAAGTTGTAATTGAATCGTGCTGTTTGACCGGCGGTGGTAGTAACAGTTCCACACCAATGGTTCCTGTTTCACCGGTGTGGATTTGAATTACCGGTAGGCGAAGATTGCGCACTGAAACAACCTGGACTTGTGCGAAACATTTGCTGTCGCCTTCCGGCTCCGAATCTGGTGATTTTTTCGACATGTGCATTCGTGAAAACGATGCGGCCAGGAGATCGGGGAGTCGGTCTGTGGGGGTATGGCCGGTAGAATACGAGTGTGATCTTTTCATTGCGTCGTCGGATTGGAAGGCAGATAGTTCGGGGTATGATGATGGTGGTGATGGTGGGAAAGGTCCTAAGCTCATGATACTTCCGACGCGAATGGTGCCTTTGGCCACATGACCACATAGCACGACGCCATGGTTCTTGGATTGATCGGTTGGTTCGGCTGAGTAGACTCGGGATGGAGGGATGCTGAAAACTTCGTCGATATGGAAGAGAGTTGATAGGTTTGGTGGTGGGTCCAGAGATAGAGATCTTGGTATTATCTCTGTTGCAACATGGACGGGTCGGAGAGATCGTAGCAGGGCATGGAGTTTTCCAATCCCAGAGGCTGAAACTGCACTGGTGAAGATAATTGGTACAGCTTTCGCATCGAAATCGGGTTTGGATCCCATTAGAGAATCAATATCGTTCTGGTCAGTTTTGGAGATTTGATTGAGTAAACGGAGAGGTTTGTCGGTATCGACATTTAGAGCTGGCTTTACTGTGTCGCCTAGCATCAATGGCCTTCTGCCAGCTGCTTTGAGAGTAGAAAGAGCTTTCGTCAGTAGAGATCTGAGACCAATTTTACTGGCTAGGTCCATTTTGGTGAATGCAATGACAAGGGGCAGTTGTAGCCTCAGGCAGACGTCGAGATGCGCCAACATAATGTCCATGTTATCAATGGGTGGGCCATGTTCGGCATCATCTTTCGTATTGGTCGCTCGGCTCAGGCTCCCCCTACGCTGCTCGTCTGCATCTGCGGCGATGCACAGCACTGTCCAGGATGGTCGCCATGAAATCAAGGCGCGGAAGGTGGATTTGGCAAACCGTGGAGATCCAGGAGAATCTGAGAAGAAGACTAGCCGTTCAGACAAGGCATGAATATCGAGCCAAGATGATACGTTTCCGGTGGCGTAGTTGATCACATGGTCCGGGTCGGAACGTTCTTTGGAAGAATATCCGATGAGCTCTTGAGCAACTGAACTGGTGATACCGGACGCGATTTCATGTCTGTGCTTGAGGAGAGAGAGTCTACTTTTGCCGCGACCATTGTCGAGTACAGAAGTCGACAGCGCGCCCAACAATGATGACTTGCCTGAGTTGGGAGAACCAACCAATGTGACACGGATCTGGTGTATAGATTCGTTCTTTCGATTCGATGCTGTCTCTTGGAGAGCGCTTTGAGCGTTGCCATGATCGACGAAGTTGGCTGTTCCCACGGGATCCGCATAATCTCGCGAGTCTGGATACACGAGTACTTCTGCCACCCAAAGATTGTCTTGCAGAGGCTTCTCTTGCTGAAAATCCTCTGCCGAGGCCAGCCATTCACATGTTCCTACGACAACCCTTCTCAAAATCTTGGTGACGCAACCAAGGCTAGATGCCATTGCACGGAGATTACCCAAGCTTTCTTGAAGTTCGTCTTCGGCCAAGCCCACCAACATGCCATCGTCTGCCACCCCAATTTCATACAGTGCACCTTGGCTTTCTTCTAAGCCGGGTAGAAGTTTGGCAGGACGCTCAGGGATGCCGAGCTTAGGAGTTGCCTCCGGTAGTAATGGCAAAACAAGGTCAGCCGTTGATGAGGAATGGAAAGGGGATGACTGTTGGAGGCGCCATAATAGCTGGGTGGTGAGTTGATGGAGTCTATGCTGACGAGCTTGGTTGACTGGCAATGAAAGGAGACGATCAGAAAGTGGCTCTGAGGTGGAAAAGGTTCCGAACGAGGATTGAAGTGACAGGCTCTGGTGCTGACCAGGGTGTAATGAGGTCGTCGATAGAGACAGAAATTTCCGTCTCGGGCGTAGAAGCAAGTGAAGCTTGTATTCTGTTGGACCATCATGACGTTCTGGCTCAAGTTTTGATATGGTGGGCATGGATCTCACATCTCCGCCGTCGAGAGCAACTTTCCGGTTGGATATCGTCTGTGGAGTTGAGGTTCCAGGGGTTGACCATGGGGAATGTATTCGAGGTGGTTCTTCCTGGTAAGTGAAGATAGAAGCCATGTTAGGGCTTGCCGGGGAGACCTCGATCTATCGCCCTACCCGAATACCGCCCACGGTGTATTGTGCCGATGTAACGAAGAATTGGAGTCAAAATATGATAAAGACAGTAGTGTTGGATGAGAGTAGTAAAGGAGCTGAGAAGTGGACATGGTTGTGAACAAGATGGGTTGTGGAGGCGATGCTAGAAGTTGTGGCAACTTGACAGGTCAGTCCTTTTATTGTAGCGAGGGCGGCACGATGGTAAGACCTCTCATGACAGCGGACCAGGCGATGTCATGGCAATGATGTGGATGGAAGTCGATGAGTATATCTGAGTCATGAGGTTGTCGAGTATACATCGAATGAGGAGAGAAGATTGATAGCACGAGGCGAGATTGAGGTTTAACAGGACTCGTTTTAGAGGCGCTATGATGCACTAGTGTCTTGGCATATATTGTATTTGCCTGGGGCCTTATCAAGATTCAAGATACTGCTGGTGACCATGCCTACGAATTGCTGGGTATCAACAAAGCTCGATTCTTCCTCGCAGAATGGTCTATACCAGGGAGAAATGTTTCACGGTGAAAGGATGAAATATCAGGGTTGATGTTTGCGTAAAAGGGCGATGGCTGGCTGGAAATTGGCCGAAATCGTCGAAATCATATAGTCAGCTTGACTCTAGACCTGTGTCTACCTGTTCAAAGGCCGGGAGGATGGAGACGGACCAGGAAGTATGACCGCCAAGCCAATACTCTTGCGGGTACCAGAAAGGTGTCCAAGTCATACATCCAGGGACCAGCATGTCCTCCAAAGGTGGGCTGGAACCATCTGGGTACTTTATCGTTCGCGCTTGCTCTTCTCCTCGCCTTCGGACACCTTCTCCCATTCACTGTCTGTGCTGATATAACCTGAACTTTCACCAAGACTTCGGCGCCGCCTCATAGCGTCTGTAGTTTCTGGTGTCTTTGGCTGTAGTAATATAGAGGTGTTGTCTTTGAGTCTTTCGACGGGGGTTCTGGGTGAAGGAACTGTTGGAGGGGGTTTCATGGACGTGGAAATTCCAGTGGCCGCCGCGACAGGCTCAGTTTCGGTATCGCTGGCATTCTCGGGCTCTCTGGGCTTATCCTGTTTCTGTTCGGCCTCTTGTTGGGATTTCTGTTCTTTGGCGATCTCGGCAGCAAACCAGTTGATGGAGTACCACAGTCCACCGCAGAGGACAGACAAGACGAGGAAATGTAGAGAGTATGTGGCAATGAGGAGGATGAGGAGAAGAAGTTGAAGAGCGGCAAAGGCGGCGTTGGTGGCCACAAGAAGTGTAGGCGTCGGTCCAGGTGTGAAAATGGAGTTCCACAGCTCTTCTAGGAAACTTGCCATTCTCTCAAGACAAGATCGAGATGGAGTGAGACAACGGTGTGGTGGACGTCCGCCGATGCCCAACAGGATGAAGTATGTCGTCCTGAAGGGGTGCAAATGGAGGATTGCGAGCTGGTCAGGATTGCGGACCGCGGGGTTGGCGTTGGGTTATAAGACAGTTGGCTAGATTGTCGCAAGGACAGATTTATCCTTTGATGCCTTGCAGGCAGATCATGAACGCAAATTGCAAAGGTGGCATGAAATCTCAGAGGGTTGGCGAACTGGAGAGTTGGCGATTTGGCGATTTGGCGAACAGGCAAGTGCGAATGAAGCGTAAGAGGCAAGGCGTATCGCAAGGGAAGGCGCGAAGCGTCATCAGAAAGAAGAAGGGCCGCTGTTGCCGTTGCCGTTGACAGGCACGCGGGGCAGGCCTGAGTGTACCTGCGAAGGCCAAGTGGCCGAAAAGGCCCCGGGCATTAGCTAGGCACCTAGGTAGGTACCTACCTGCCTCCCTATCTTCTAATCATAAGTAACAGGAGGTTAGGTAACCAGCCTCACAACCTCACTCACTTTTAGTTAAAAGCTGTCACCCCGAGGGGCCCGAGAGACACTAAAGGACAAAGTCGCAACAATAATGACAACTCGTCAGGGTCATGTGCCGCCTCCCCTTCCCCCACCTGGACTTACTGCTTATGACGATCAAGTAAAGAACTTCTTTCGTTATTGGTCATAAAGTTGGAGGCATGAGGGGTTGGTTGATACCTAGGTAGTCAGTTGTTCTGCAGCGCCTCGGTCTGCTGCGCCTGGACATCTCTTACCTATTATAGGTATGCCCTAGGTATCAAAGTAGACACTAAGGCTCCAAGTCACCTGCGCCAGTGGAAATACCATGCCCTACCCGCCAACGAGAATTAGCTGACTCATCGTTTCCAGAATCAGACCATTTGTCTAGGCATATCTACGGAGTATACGACACCAACTCACTCCTGCAGCTACTAGAATGCACACTTCATCCTTGAACTGATTCGAACATATCGAGAAGGTGGACTTACCATTTAGCCTCATCAATGTAACTCTGAGGTCTGGAGCACATCGAAAATCACTAAAAGCGACAACAGCGTGGTTCGACTAAGTTACATACTAAATCCCTTCGACTCTAGAATCAAACTACCTGACTTAGCGAATACTCCGTAAATCCGGGCAGGAACAATGAAACCGCCACAGTGCCACTTTCTTCATGATCCATCGATCTTCCCCGCACAAGGCTCACAGCTCAAGCCACGGACCTGTGGCTGAATATGTGGTCAAGGAAGGAGCTCACCTACATATGCCGCGGTCTACTGACGTGGTAAGACGCAATAGACTGAAGTTGCGATCCTTCAGCCCCCTCAATCTGTGGCTAGTGAAACGGTTTTCGGCGATGGATTCAGGCCTCCATACGGGAAGTGGCTGTGCGCTCCTAATTATACGAGATTTTACCTGGCATGCCAGGCATGCCAGGCACGCCAGGAAGCGTTCCCTGCTGGCCATACACACACATTTCTTCCCTAGTCCATACGAGTCAGCATCGACAATGGTTTTGGAGCCTCGCGACGGGGGTTCTCGGCGCCATTCGCCAAATTTCCAATCGGCAGGTGTAGCTTGTAAGGATCTCGTGTTCAAGAGTGGTCCCCCAAGCGCGCCTACATATTACTCGTACTGCGTTGGTTGAAAGTTTGGCCGGCTGTGACACCAAAAACAATACGGTCAATACAAAACCCACATATACTGACTAAGGAGGAGCCCGATCCATGGGGCCACCACTAGTAGGTAGTTACAGTACATACGGAGTCCTGTAGCTCAGTCTACGAATTGGCAATCTTGCCGTTGTTTTGTTAAATGGTCACCAAGCCACCAGCTTCAATACAAAATGCCAACATCACCATCTCATTGGATTGACGAATCATACCCTTGAGCAGTAGTTCCCTTGCAGTTTCCATGCTAAGAAAGGGCTACGATTACCCGATTTGTAGGCAGCACCCCCTGTCCCTAGTCTGTTCCTGCTCGAATTCTCTTGGCAAAGACATTCTGGAGTAAACTTCGTATGCAGAGTGCGTCGGCGAAAAGGTACCTATGGTTGAGTGGGTTCTTCTCGTCTACGCACATGTACGAGTCTGCGTACGCTTACTTCTGCATGACAGCTGTATTTAACTACTCTCGTGTCTAGTAGCTACACATCCTGGTACCCCAAATGCAGGTTGAGAGTGTCTGAGTTTGAAGCTGCAGAGGGTCGAGTCGAGGTCGGTGGCTGAAAGGATCGAACTTTTGTACTTGCGTAGAGTCAACAATGTTCCACCCTATTCTATACGAAGCTACTATTACCTATTCTGTTTATCAAGTACTGCGGACCACAAGCATCTCAGTGGATATACAGGAAGGCTGTTGCCCATCAAATGCCATGCCATCCATACTCATAAGCATATGAAAGAGCATTCCAATATACTTTAAAGAAACCTTCATTTTCTTGACTCTGTTTCAACCATGGCCTGAGGCCCAAATCTGTGCGGATGGGCGTGCCTGGCGCCTGCCAAGCGAATTGATTCTTCTGGCCCCTACCCCCTGTACAGTGCGTTCCATCGTTCTGTACTAAAGCTATGGAGTACTTATGTAATGTAGGAGCGCACGTTCCGGTCGATCAATCGGGAACGTCAATGCTTTGCATACCAGCAGGGACGTTGACCTTCCTAACAGAGCCTACCGAAAACTCTAGTACATGTGAGCATCTAATCTGTTACGTCTTGCGGTGCCAGTCCCATCTAAGTGGCTTGCCCTACAAACATTGTTATTAAGCTGTACATGCCACGTCCAAAAGCCCATCCATGTCTTGACACATATTCGCCCGCCCCTTTGACGATGATGATGTCGTAAGTGGGAGTACTCCGTTCGATATGGTTGAACCATGAGGTTTTATTTCCAACTGGCTTTTGAGCACATTATGTTGGTACCTTAGAGAGACTAGTAGAGGTGTACTGATATCATATCACTCCCAAAACGTCACTTTTTACCACTTTCAATTGTTTGATGCTTTGAATCCGGCCCACTCTCCAAGCCGTGTGGGTTTGTGGGGGCGGAATATTCCCTCTCCAGGAGGCCATGTCGATGGTATACCATTCTCATTTGCTGCCCTACCGGCTCCTGAATGATCCAGCCATTCAACGAAGAATCACGTTCCTGAATTCTAGTAATACAGTGTCCACAGGAAAATGCCTATCCACCCAGCCGTTGGGCACGCGCACACACCAGATAACGCATATGCAGCTTGGGCCGCCCCGAGTGTGTTTCATCGTGCGCGAGTACGGAGTAGGCTTTTGAGGCCTCCCAGAAAGCTTGGTGTCCACCATTTCTAACTTGATGCACACAAGCATACTTCTTCTTTAGATTCTTTTCTACCGAGTAACTGATCGTCAGGACATGAATGGACTGTCCACTCTTGATTTTCTATTTCTCAAGTCATTAGCGTCCGTCCCAAGACGGTCCATCACATCCCCATGTCGACGAGATCCATCCGCCCTAACCAGGATTGGCTCGCCTTCGCGATAGTCGGTCCACCATGCCTCCGACACCGCTAAACCCACCAGACAAGGCGCAGGGGTGGGGGGGATGGGCAGAGATCCCGAGTCATCTCAACCAAGTCACCGGTCATGACCGGACTGCCCACTACCGCCATAACTCACCACACATGGACCTCCACATCCTGCTGGTTCCTGCTTATCCCTCCCTCAATGCGGTTAATCCACCTCTCATTTCCAGACTCCTTTCGTAATCGTCCTCAAAGCCTGTCTGGCTTGTCCATCGACCTCCTCTGCTGCGGGCCAGCAACGTGGATGTGGTCAGCCGCACACACTATTTGCTTCCCTGACCCATGAAAGACCACCGGGTCTTGCCATGTCATTTCACCACATTTCGTTCCATCCCTCATCTACTTACTCCGTACGCGTACATGGACCGTGGGCCGGGGCATTACGTTGTCTCTGCGATTCCTGGCCCGAACCCAACAATGTGTGCCTCAAGCCTCACGCCCAAAGCCCCACTACCGGTTTTATTACACCGTCCGCTCTGGTCAGTCGGCAGTCTCTGCTGACCCGCCTGCTGAAGTCTCAAGACACCCAGTAGTAGCCATTGAATGTTTCCCTGGCATCTCGTTAGTACGTATGATTGTATGGGTTTGTCACTCGCTACTTCAGTCGTGTACGTTGACTGGCTCCCTTGGACCACCCCAGACGCTCACACTGTCTGTGCCTTCTCCTTTGCTCCAGAATAGTCACCTCGGGTGGTTTGGCGCTGTCGTGGATCGAGGGCCAAAAGTTTATCGAGACTGGCTCGCTAGACCTCTGGGAATCGGGTCAGAGTCAGACTTGCACGTTGGGTCATTTCTGCCTTGCACCATGGTCCTTGGGGCCTTGACTGGATCATGGTGGGGATGCTTTGCACGTTACTACCACCGTATGTCTACTCACCAGAGCCTTTTGTCGAATCCATCAAGATCACACAATGTTTTGGCCCCTTTGGCCTTTTCTATTACTTTTATCCCTCCTATCATTTACTCATTAACATCCCAGGTAGCTGTCGCGTAAAGCTGCTTGGGTTGCCGACATTTGTGGCGTCTTTGGTACTTGAAGCCGATCTCCCTAGCCACAATCTTTTCGCCCTCAAATGCTCTCTGGCCCCCTCAAATAGGATTTCAACGTTTTGAAGCGGAAGCCACAAGGAAAGTGGCTACGACCCCGTAGGGCAACAACAAGGTGATTTGATTGTTCAAACGACTGTTAAAATTCCTCAACTTTCCCCCTCGATCGTACCACCATCAGCAACTCAATCGGCCTCGAATTCATCCACCTAGTGACGAAGTTCAAGTAATCACCTAGACACAAGTCCATTTAGTCCAACTTTCGAACACGACATCATACTTTTCTTCGCGCTTCAAAAACAACATTGGTTGCTACTCGAAGATCTTGGTCTCGGCACAGATATACAACATCTAGAATTTGATATCGACCAGCACGACTTGTTCATGACCATCCGCATTACGAAGCTTTCTATCCAACCGATTCATCTCACCCCGATCAGCTTAGAATTCGTGTCGAGCTTGCTTTGGCAGGTTCGAACAGCTGTGCCGACACTATTGCGCACCCAAATAGACAGCGGCCTCAAACTTCCACAACATCAGAGCATCCGTCGCCGGCAGTTCAGCAACGTGGTCGAGCTCATACTGGAGAGACGACCCACACGACCGTCGAGCGATTCGACGCAAGTCAGTCCGGGAGAACCCAGTTAACGCCGTCTCTACCGACCAGAGGGTTTCTACCGTCACAACCAGATAGCGCCAATCAAGCGATCGAAGGCGACACGCTCCCGCACCGTCCATCCGCCTGGTCTCATTTGGGACAGGGTTTGTCAGAAGCGGCGGTTTTGGACAGCCCTCTCCTGCAGCGCCAAGGGTGAGTGCTTTCGTCGAATCCTTTGACCGTGGGGCTGATGGGTGCTAATTGCGGTCTAGAATGGCAACCCAAGTGGTGCAGCGCCACCCTTTACAGAATCCGTCATCGTCAATGGTTTATCCAAACGACACGTCTGCAATGTATTCAAGTAAGACCGGATCACCTCACTTTTGTTTCTCATTAACTCCCAACTAACAACATTCTTTCTTTTACCTTTAGCCTTGGATCACATGGCAGCAACACAAGCTTCATACCGGCCAGTGGCCTATCAACAACAAATATACATGCCATCGCCACAGGTCATCTCACCGGACTTAAGGTACCACCGCCGGTCGTCCAACTCGCCACAGGCAGGCGTCGGCCTACCAGCAGCGGTACGAGACCGTACCCCAATACGACACCAGAGGACCGGCGTGTCACGGAACCGCAGTCGCGGGCACGCCCGAGACGACATGCTTCTTGCATACACACCCGACCAGAATCGACTCCTACATTCGCAGTCTGCACCTGCGGTACCTGTATCACAGGTTCACGGCGCCTCATCAATGGGAGCAGTGTACAACATGCCTACGTTTGGAGCAGTGCCATCACTCGGACCCTACCACGGCCAAGGAGGGTTTTTCGACTCCTCGATGATGCAACCTTCACGTCATGACGAAACCCCCGACTTTTCATTGACACCAGGCGATGTACAATCTTATTACATGATGGGAGAAGGATCTTCACACGGCTCGACAGTCGGCTTATCGGGACCCAACTCACCCAGTCCCCTGTACATGTCTGCGCAGTTAGCTCAACCGCAACAAGGAACCCCTTCAATCCAAGGAATGCCTCTACACGGATACTCGAATCTACCACTAACTCTCGAGTCGTCACCAGCCGAGCTGGAGGTGATGCCGTCGCGACCGAAACCACAATGCTGGGACCACGGATGCAACGGACGACAGTTTTCCACGTTCAGTAACCTTCTACGCCACCAGAGAGAAAAGAGTGGAAGTGCGATCAAAGCTACCTGTCCCCACTGTGGGACAGAGTTTACGAGAACCACGGCGCGAAATGGACACATGTCTGGAGGCAAATGTAAAGGCAAGGCAGACGCAGAAGCGTCGAATCTGGTATAACATACCTAACGCCGGGCAATTGTTGTTGTTCTTTTTTCGTTTCGTTTCCAAGATTTGATTTGAATGAGAAGGAAATACGTAAAATCCGGCCGATCTCATTTCAGTCAGTCATACTAGGTACTACTACTACCTACCTATTCTGCATATGCGCGCGCGCAAAAGCGTTCAAGAGAAAAAGATCATGAGACCACGAAATGCCGGGGGATTTTTAGTGGGGGAATCCACGGGGGAGGCAAAGGGAGGTACTTAGCGATTTGGCAAACTTTACCCAATACTACATTACAATTCTCCGATCCATTCTGTATCTACCTTACCTTCTAACACCGTTTCGACTCCAAAGTACCTATCGACGGTTGGTTTGTCGGGAGGTAGGTAGTACTCACGGGACAACGCGGGGGGAAGGGGGGCAAGAATGAAACGGTTGTATTGTGCTTTCTACTTGACCTTGTATAAAGGAATGGATGGCGTGGACTTTTGGTCTCGTGCAGAGAGAAGGAGGGGGCTCAGCTGAGGCCCACAATCACAATCCTCCAACATCAGATTCGCATCCGGGAATTCTCTCATGCCCATGGGGGTGTGTCCTTTGTGTCTATGTGTGTGTGTATGCATGACTCAGATGTCAGTCATCAAAAAAGAACAGAAAGTCTGTTTATGTGATGGTTGACATTTTTGATGAATGTTGCACCCCGCCAATGCGTCGATCAGTATGCGGATCGGTCGCTGTGTAAGGTAGTTCTACCGTATGTAGTCAACGTAGGTAATTAAGTAAGTACTGTGCCGAGAGCCGAAAGCTGCAGCCGTCGCCGCCAAAAGGACGAACCAGGTAAGATTAGGTAGATTTCGAGATCAGAAACCAAAGTCCTGTGTCCTGGTGGTAATCAATCTATGTCCTCGAATTTGGAATGTGAACTAGGAACATGCCGTGATGTACGGAGTAAGTGTCGTGTTGGTGGATCTGGTAAGGTAACCATATCCGCAACCGATAAAGTCAACTTGATTACGGAGGACGTTTTCTTCCCTGGACTTTGCTTGTGAACCACTGACCTAGGGGACTTGTCCGCGTAAAAGAACCGTGCTATTTAGTTTTGGGACAGAAAAAGCCCAGTGGTGCCATGGCATCTCCACAAAGGGACGCCCGATTCTAGAATTAGAAATCGTAGCTTTGACTTGGCCAAGGAGGTTCCTAACACTGATCAGGAACCTTAGAACCCAAGACTAATCTGGCACCTTGAGTTTCCCGATGCTTTTCGGGAGGTTGATGCTGGGATTGGTGGACCATGAAACACGCCAATGAACACCGGCGTTTGCCGTCGCAGGCCAGCAATGTGAACGATGTGGAGGAGGGGAGCTACCAGGGGGGAAATACTTGGGATGGGGCGGAAAGTGAGGAAGGGGATCCAAAACTCTGGCTCTAACTGCCAGCTTTGTCTTGAACACATTGAACTATGCAGTTGAACTACTGTATGCGCCCGCAATCAGCTGGGATCATATCGCTACATCTGGACTCTTAATTGGCTGGTTGACAATGTGTAACCGGAGAGCTTGTGGGCTGCATACTGTAGGCAGATTTCAAGCCAACAGATCGTCGTTCAAACCAAACGAAATATTCGATAACTGTGTTGGACAAGCTGCATTTTTAGCTTCCATGTATGTGTAAGGCTGTAATCCTTGGCTTCGCTAATGACCGGTGAATTCAAGACACCTTGTAACCTGTAAACATGTGACATGATCCGATTGATGAGGGGCAAACGCTGCAAACGTAGGCGGCGTGTACTTGGCCGGTACAGGATAGGCGATGGAGGAAGTACATGAGAGGTCATGGAGGGGGTACAAGGCGCGACTCGGATATCATTTGATCTTTTGGTATGATTGCTTGCTTGCTTGCTTGCTAGCTTATGGGAATCGTGACCACAGGCACAGTCACCATCACAATCGAAAGACGCGTACATATGCATATGCATGCTATCTAAATACTACTTAACATGCTTAGACATAGGACAATAGGGCTATGTGGGCTACAAGGGTATGGTGGGTCGACCTTACTCATCAACAGCCAGTACTCCGTACTCTGTAGATCAATATCTCTTGTCCAAATAAACAAGATTCGAAAAGCAGCATCTACGATTGACTCGATTAGGATAGATTAGCTTTTGCGGTGTTGAAAGTATCGAGCAAACAACGGCCCAATCAACCTGAGACCTACCTGGTTTCCGTCGGTTGACTGAAACAAGGGATTCATGCGAAATACGGCGTACGGCTGAGTCGACGACCTCGGGAGTGTCTTCGAGATTGCGCGTTCCATCCTTCCAAGCAAACCTTTTTGGAATAGAATCGAAAAGTCGGTCGACGAGAATGAACTATCGATCGAAAGCGGCAACATCAACTAGACAGTTGATAATACCAATGTGTAAAAAACAATCTTGCTGCGCCATAATCACGGGCCTACTCCGTACTTAGCTTACAGGGTCTACGGAGTAGGTAGCTCCTTGGAAGCACCTCGGCGCTTGATTTAGCAAAGATTACCTACTCACCTTAAGTTAGGTTTGATTTCCTTCATATGTACGATTGCCTCATTAGACGCTGTAACACTCAAACTGAATAGGCAACCAAGAACGTTGTTCATCTGTATAGTGTCGTCATTCTCGCTATTGACTTCCATCTCTAATTCATGCTACATTCCTCGACATTCATCATCAATCGTAATCATAAACGAATTTGATGTACCACGAGGCTGTCCATCTCCCGGCGAAATGTTGCTTGTATTTTGCTTTGGCATGCTTCGCCAAAAAGGCCAATCAAGCTTTCAGACAAGTTAATGTCCAGTCGGCGATTTTTCTTCGGTCTGGGGATGTCAAATACGTTAATCCGCCAACCTGCCACTCCGCTAACTCCCGGAGATCTTGGTTTCGGAAACTAATCAACCACCGTCGACCGAGACTCTGGAACTATGAGCCATATACAGAGTACATACAACGAACGAGTCATGGGACATTGTCATATATCAGAGGTCTCATCAATGATTGAAGTCGGACGCCGGACAAACAAATTTACCCGTTTGTGTAGAGAATTCGGTTGAGTATCATACCGAGGTGGCTAAGGTAAGTTTGATATGGTTGAGGATGACACACATCTCCACAACGACCGTTATTTCTCCACGGTGGCAAGTAAGTGTATTCTCATCTTGATCGCGAATCACAATCGTGGAGAAAGTGTCATGCATCGTTTACTATGACAACGTCACTTCATTCCAAAGTTCCTCTACAGTGAGATACCTTGGTGTCCTTCAACGGATCAAATCTCTCTTCGCATCGCCCCCCGGTGGCACCAGCCAACCGGATACACAAATGGGCCCTCCTTATTGCAATGCACAGACCCTTCCACCAGGACCGCCCACGACACAGTGAATGGTACACCACTTGGCGAGATATGAACTGCCGCTGGTCGAGAATGTTAGGTAAGAACCCATGTCATTACCTTCAGACCAAAAAAATTGGCCATCTGTCGAAAGGGACGCATATCCGGCTGTTCTTTTGTCAATGAATGTCTAGAATTGATGGACCTGCATGGAACAATCCTCCTGAAGATATCCCCTTCGAAAGCGCCGAGGGGCTTGAAAGGGGGCAACCGGGGAGGGCGGGAGGGCGAGGCAAGACAAGGCTCAGCAGTGGGTGTTGGTGTGGACTCACTCACTCACTCACTCGTGAACCGAAACTTGTTCATCTGCCATCGACTCAACAACGCCCCCATGTCGTTCTCTCGCCTCTCCGGCTGAACAAAAGCCCTAGCAAGGTAAGGCACAGTCGATGTCAACGGAAATGAAAAAAGATGGGACACACATATCGTCTTTCTCGACGGCGATCGATGTCCCCGTACATACGGAGTACTCGATGCCGTCAGCAAATGTGGCGCATGGTTCGTATAGTCTCGTCAAGTTCAGGACAAGTCGACGGCATGGCGCAGGACAAGAAGGAGCCTTCAGCCCTGAAGGATTCACCCCCTTCGCTTGATCGTTGGGTCCATGGGAAGAAGGATCAAACGGGCAGTGGGTAGACTCACTCCAATTCGCTTGATTTGGCGACCCCCCCAAGCCCTATCCTATCCATTCATGCATGCATGGCTCTTTTTTCTCTCTATTGTATTTGCCGACAGGCACGACGGGGTCGTGGCCACTCGTCTCATCCACCGATCCACACATCCACTTGGCAACCTAACTTTCTGCTGCGAAAACCATCACTATCACCAGCTCGGGCGGACGTTGGCATTCGCTGGCTGGGCAGCATCCAGACCCCCTTTTGGCCCCCGAAATCCCTTTCCCTTCCTTTCGCTTGTCTTTTCCTTTCCCTTGTCACGGAGAAGAGCCTCCGTATGTATGTATAGCCTCTGTTGTGAGATCAATGTAGGTGGGACATGGGTAAGTGGCCATTCTGTATCTGTATCTGTGTCTGTGTCTGTGTCTGTGTCTGTGTCTG